AGTAATAGTAGTAGTAGTAGTAGTTAGTAGTAGGAGTAGTAGTAGTAGTGGTGGTAGTAGTAGTAGTAATAGTAGTAGTAGTAGTAGTAACAGCAGTAGTAGTAGTAGGAGTAGCAGCAGGAGTAGTGGCAGGAGTAGTAGTAGTAGTAGTAGCAGGAGTAGTAGCAGGAGTAGTAGCAGGAGTAGTAGTAGGAGTAGTAGTAGTAGAAGTAGCAGGAGTAGTAGCAGGAGTAGTAGCAGGAGTAGTAGTAGGAGTAGTAGTAGTAGAAGTAGCAGTAGGAGTAGCAGTAGCACTAGCTGTAGCTGTAGCTGCACATTGCTGATAGCACCTCACATCATTCCGGCAAGGACCCAAGAAAGCATCAAGTGAATCTGGGGCTATCTAGGGCAATTTGTGGCTCCCAAGCATCTGAGTGCCCGGCTAATGATGAGAGACGCATATTTTGGCGCTTCCCACAACTCAGTGGCGACGCTAGCCCTAACATGCCGTAGATCCGAGCATCGTCAAGACAAAATGATTGTGTTTTTCCAAAGCTGAATAACTAACAATCAGCTTAAACGGTAACACTAATAACATGCACACAAATTAATAATCAATAATAAAAACGATGGACATGATGATCTGATGATCTGATGATCATAAATCATAAGAATATATAACAAAAACACATAACAATGATCATATAATAAGCATCACACTATCCATCATGACCCAGCCAAGCGGCATCCGCCACACAGGAGATCTGAAAAAGGCAGGCCCCTACCAAGAAGGAGCAGGTGCCAACCTCACTTGACAAATGGCTGACATCCCCGAAAAAAATGTAGGGTTATAGATATAAAATTTCCTGCAAATCACCTTTTACCAGAGGGTAAAGGTAGTTAAGCCACCAAAACTATGAGAAGATTGGGAGCGGCTGGCTAAAGATGGATCATTTCTGGCGATTTTCTTGGTAGGGGTTTTCACCAATTCTAGAGGTTCGAACCATAAGGGATGCAAGATGAACATTTCCAATCCTAGCGTATAAGATGATTGGACCTGCAACTGATGACTGCTGACGAATACTGACGAATCCCAAAGATTGAAACAAGTTCTTGGACATCCCCAAATGTGATACCCTCTGGTGAACTAACATAGCAATGGAAAATCACCATTCTTAATGGGAAAATCAACTATAAATGGCCATTTTCCATTGCTATGTTAGTTCACCAGAGGGTAATCCTATGTGCTTGTTTGTGTTGCTGCCAATGTTTTGGGCCAAATTTTGGGACGCCTCAAATCCCAACCATTCGGCGTTTTTTTCGAACACAGTGCCAAACATTCCGCCAAAATTTGGGAGAAAACCTGAAAAAGTCCCCAACCTATGACTTTGGGAAAAGATCCTGCCTAGAAAAAAACATATATCCTCTTTTTGACTTCCATCGTTGGGTTCTGCAGTCTCCATGTTCCCACGTCGCGTCACGCTGGCAGTAGAGGTCGCGCGCTCACCAATCCTGGACCAGTCAGGGCAAAGGATTCGCAACGCATCAACCTGCCGCGGGGCGTCGGAATCGCAGCTGGGCGTCTGTGAAAATAAGGTCGGTCCACCAGTCCACCCATTTTTTCGCAATTCTGATGCGAATTGAGAATTAAGATCAATCATGAACCGATTTTAAGTGGTATTTTGGGGTGCCCCATTTTAAGAGCCACTTGAGAGTGGGACATTTGGGGAAAGATAAGCTCCAGCTCTCCATTGGTTTGATTTGGTTTGGGGATATTGACGATAACTTTCGCTTAGTCCTTCCAGCATGTATGGCCTGCAAACGAATCCGATCATTGAATATTCAGAGCAGATCCTGCCTTCAGGGAAAACCAACTCCGATTCCGAAGGTTCCCTGCTAGAGGGGTACTTATTATAGATTTGCTCCATACATATCACATTTTGCAGGGGGAAAACAGCACTATTTGACTGCCATTTAAGCTGATGTTTGATCCGCAGCCCCTGGTGTCAAGGGACCCGTCGGGTGGGCAGGTTGATCAGCTGCAAGTACATCAAGTAACCTCGACGTAGCGCCACGGTGATAGTTGGATGCGCCACGGCCATGCGATATGAAGTGAAACATGATAGTCAAATGTGATTTCCTTTCAGTTTCAGGGTTGAAACATGTTGAAACCTTTGAACATTCAGCCGTTCGAATCTTCTACTGCTGTCAAGACCCACATCGTACGAAGAGAAAGGCTCTTTCAACATTAGGTTGATAAAGGGTAAGCGGGAATGGTGCTTCCAACAATGTATGGTAACCGCCAGAATTATGAAAAAACAAAGGTCTAACTTAGACAGGCGTCGCCTGTCGCCTGTTTCCGCTTCGTTCTATAATTAGGTTCTCCTCGTAAGAGTTCAACATATGATATCTCGCCTCTATCTAAATCAACCAACCATCGCTTGTCAATTCTATCGCCGCATTTTTCGAAAGTGCAACCCCCATAGTTGATAGTGAAATCCCATGCAAATCCCATTTCAATCTGCCCATAACCATGAACCTACAGTTTTATCAGTTGCTTATAAATGTTTGAACTTGCTTAACTAGCAGTGTAGCTGCGCATCTCCAAATGATCAATGTCTTACACGCTGGTTTCCCAGGAGCATTTATCTCCCAATGCTGGGTTTGCCATAGTTAAGCTACTGCCAGGGCAAAGAAACAGTCCCCCGGACACCGTAGTCCTGGGCAATCCGCAACAAACAAATCCCGTTTGGTGAAGAGTTTCAATATACCCTCCGCTAATTAGGCTACTAATTCAGAAAATGACCCAATTTGTTCGATGTTCTCCCTATTTACTTTGTGATTTCCAGTGCAAGCTGTTGAATTATCAGACGGTATAGGGCTCGGCCGGAGCCAGGCTGCACCCTCAGTGACAACAAAACAAACTCTCTCTGTTTCAGCTCAAGACGCTCATATCACCATCATTTCTGCACTATTCCTTCCTATCTTTTTCCCCGTTTTTGAAGCTGTTTGTCCAATACTTTTATTTTGGTTGTTTTATATCACCATGTCCAATCGTTTTTTTGTTGTGGTACGCCCCTCAGACAGATTGAAAAGTACGTTATCACTATTTTATCCATGTTGTTTTGGTAAACACCATTATTTATCCAGATTTATCCCATTAAGAGTCCCATTAAATCCCATGGAAAACCATGAACATATAAATAACAAATTATCAAAATCCCCATCTTTAAGGACGTTGCTGACCATCGACAACCCACCCATCGGCCAAGGGACAGCCAGTGATATAGCAACATGAGCCGAAGAGATTCCTGTGGCAGGGTAGGGTGGCTGGGAAAGGCCTGAACCAGCGGAGGTTTGAAATGGGGAAATGGAGGTGTAACCATTAACAATCAGGGATTTAATGGGGTTTAATGTATAGTTTATAGATGGGAGTTCATTGCTTTAATGGGATCTAATAGAGTTTAATGGGATCTTTGATGGGGTTTCATGGGATGGCAAACAGTCGGAATGAGCAGAATTGTTCAAAGCGTTGGCATGCAGTCAAGAACAGCATCAAAATTGTCCTAAAGTGGGGGTAGCAAAATGTCACAAACACTTCACATGAAAGCGAAGTGATGTTACCATGAACTGAACCAACACCCACTTCTGAAGTAAACCACTTCTACGGAGGATCTTTGAATAAATGATCAGAATAGTAAACTACCACCCATGGTGAGGTCGAAACATGTCATGTCATTGATTTGGTACAGGAAGGGGCCCCCAGTTGGAAATCGACTAGCGTAAATTTGCCAACTCATAAACCAATTTACATATCATCAATCACCTACATATTCTCATTGTTTGTGGGTCAAATACTTCTTTTCTCCATGATGGTTAAATCATGTTCAATCCCAATTCTCCCGTTGTTTCAAGGGCCCTTCTCTATCACTAGCTGCTAAGCTTCGGCCAAACCATCACCACACGGCCGCCATACGCGTGCAGCATACGATTGCTGGCATTGACGCAGAAGAAGATGGAACCCAGCAAGAACAACACCTCGCCATCTCTGGACTCAAAATTACCGAACCCCATGACATGGGATGGTTAAATCATGAACTACCAAAATGGTAGTATTATATGGTGGTTCATTATTTTGCACTATTGTAGTAGTACTTACTGTGGTGGTTCATTATTTTTCTGTACTATGGTAGTTAAAACATGTTAAAATATGTTAAAATCATATACTTAAGCGACTTTTTGTACTGGCTACAAGACGACGGAAGCCCGTTCCGTCTTGTTTTTAGCATCTCCCAACATCAGCCATCAGCAAATGCCAAGAATGCAATATGGGATTCATTGGATGATAGATGATATTGAAGATCTTGTTCACCAACCCCCATTCCATGCCATTCCAAGAATCTGAGATCCAGTATGCAATGGTGAATCGCAGCTGGAAAATCGAAGCAGTTGGATACCAATACTCAAAGCCTCGTCCCGTGGAAAGGTGGCCACAGAAAGGTCTGCAGTTCTGCAGTTCGCTGGGGATTCTATACACCAACCAGTATTAAGGTCATATTGGGGATAATGGTTTTTAAATTGTTTCAAATTGGGTTTACCAAGTTTACCACAATATGAATTTATATGCTAATTGCGAAGTATTTACGCAGGTGCATATGTATGACGTGCGTAATGTAAATTAAATGAACAGGTTTCCCGCAATGGCCTTATTCGACCAAACTCAACCATCACAGTGAAACCATGTGTTGGCACACAGGTGCTCCCCTGGCTACCTGAAACCCATGACAAGTTGGGATGATGCTCCCAACTAAGGCTATTCTGTGTTGGGTCTGTTGGGTCCAAGCATGCCTTGGCCGTGTTTTTTTGCTGATTTCAAGCTATTTGACAAAGCAATTACCATTCACTAGTGAGAATCATTGAGAATCCATATGTTAATTCGCTTCAAAAATCGACATGTTCTATGATGTTCCCAGTGTCTTGTTGGGATGTATGGAAAATACTGTGACTGGGGGAAGAGTACTTATTATTTCCCATTTAAAAAACACCCATAAGAGACGAATTCTTTCCATCAACTGGTGATGGTCATTGCGGATCATCATCACAATCATGGTTGAAATAAAAGAATGCAACCACCAACCAGTTGTATAAGCATGATACCAAACAGTTGTGCGTACTTTTCCCTGAAAGTCAAAAAGGTCATTTTAGCAATTTTACCCACCAGTTGTTTGTGACCACGATTGACCAAGGGGTAATCCATGAGTCACTGAGATTTTCGGGTGCTTGGCATTCTTAAGTGGTTACTTCATTATACTTAATCTAAAGCGTTTACTTAAGCCCAACATCCTAATTAAGAACCAACACTCGTAAACTTAAACGACAATGATTAAATCCCAGAATAGTTCACTATTGGCTTGACCACACCACAGTTGTTGATTGTTAGTTAAATCCCAATTCCCAAAAATATAAACACATTACATAAAAGCACCATGTTTGATTCTGGCGAACATGTGAAATCGTTTTCACTCAACACACCCCTCTTTTGATGGTTAAATATCCATTTCCAATGCTTCAGCATGCTTCATGTTCCCTGGTTAACTCATCATTTTGACGGGTTAGATTATGTTAAATTGGTTAGATCCTCATGTTTGCCGGGGTGAACTCACATTTTGTTTTTTCCCTTTCACCAATCCAATGACCTGGGTTTGTGAAGATTTTTCCTATTAAACATAATCCATTTTTAAGGGGGAGTGTCCCATGATTTCCCTGTATGATTTTCCCCACAAAGTCCACAAAAAAACAGCCCCCACATCCCACCCATCTGGTCGTCCAGGGGCCATTCTCCGTCAACCCTTGCTGTTCCAAGGCCTCTGCCGTTAGCTCGCCCCGTGCACCCTCGGGGCGACCCCGGCGCCATTCCAAGTAGCCCTTGCGGTACGCCACATACTCCTGGCTTTTCTTGGGGGAAAATCCATGGAACAATCCCCGAACTCAACGGATGTTGAAAGGAACATCTCACCACAGACCTGGGGTGGATTTTTTTTGGAAAATCTGCAGAAAAGCATATGTTCTTTCAAAAAACCATGAAATATAGGTGTTTCATGCAAACGTCATGAAGCTGAAAAACTGACGCATACTGACGCTTTACTATTATTTGATGGGACACCCATGAAGTTCACCAGCAAAAAAGATTGAAATGCTGAAAAACTGACATTTCACCTTGAAAAAAAAATAGGATTTCATGGGATTTCACTTGGAAACCATAGGTGGGCGGTTTCAGAAATGCTGAATTCTCTTGGATCGAACCACTCAAACGTTTGCTTTTCCATCGCGCTAAGCGCTTTCCGGGGATATGTCAACTGGGATCTTAATGGATTTCATCAACAGGAATGGGGATACCAATCTGACAGGTTCCAAAAATGAAGTGCAGAAAATGGGACGCTCTGAACTCGTGGTACCCCATTTTTAAACAAACACATCTTGGGCAGCGGCTAGGAATATACTGTATTTACTGTTGAGGTCAATGGTGATGGTCAGTGATGGTGGCAGGGGATCACCATCAAGGTTGGCAGACAGCTCCTCCCCGATCCAAAAAGCTATGCAGATGCCCCAACAGGTGCTACATGGTGCTACCCTGTCCTCATAAATTCCATTGGCTTTCAAGTGCTCCGTGAGATCTGGCAATTCTTCACGTCCAGAAAAGGTGCTGTACCCGCCACCGTGACTAGGGCTGGGGCCGCCACCAGGGCTGGGGCCCGCAGTAGGGCTGCGGCCCGCAGTAGGGCTGGGGCTGCCAGACGAGCATGCCCTGCCATCCATGGATGTTTTTCGTTATCGTCCGGTGCCCGGCTGGCCACAGCGGGCCAGCCGGTGGAGGGTAGAACTGAGCCAATGGCTTCGGCACGCAGGGGTCAAGAGAAAGGGCAGCCTCTCCAACAAATCAGAAAACGTGAAATGAACTGACACAGATACCTAGGAAGTTGATAGTTGAGTGTCCGATGTTCTTTTGGGGATTGATCATAATACAGATGATAGAATATTAAATGATGCTAATATATACTTTATTATGTCACAGTGATTGCTATATTGCATGACAGTATTAAACACTATGTTGCATTCTGTCTCGCTACGTCTAACTACGTATAATGTATGTTTTATGTCTTATCATTTTATGTCAAATCATATTATGTCATACTATCATATTATGGTAATGATTATGTCACACTTGCTGTATATGATATATCTTGCTATACAATATTATGCTTTATATCCAAGCCTCTAACACTAATCACTAAGTGCGCAGTGAAGTCGCTATGTCACCCATATTTGGGACTGCGTGGCTCTCCTTTTTTTGATACGCCTACACTGCTGCAGCCGCCACACTGGTGTGCGGTCTTGCTCAAGCTGGAAAATCCCCATACCCTCTGGTAAACTAACATAGCTATGGAAAATCACCATTTTTAATGGGAAAATCCACTATAAATGGCCATTTTCAATAGCTATGTTAAATTACCAGAGGGTAACCATGTTCAGATCTCCACATTGCGGATTTCCATGGATTTCCCAAGCATGTTTGATGACACATTGCGGAGTCATCATGTTGGGACCTTTCTGAGTTTTCCCAAGCCCCAAAACAGGGCTGCAGCACCAGTCACCTTGCTTCCAAATCCTTGGACATGTTTCTCGGCATTGTCAGTCATTTAAAATCATTTCAATGCCCAAAAGAAGGTAAAGTACATGAACTAATTCAATATTTGTACCATACAGGAAGCCAAATCCAAGGATTTTTGGAGAATAATCATACCACTCATGCAGCATATTATATAATCACATCGTCATTTGCTGCTCAATGCCCCTTTCAGAGCTCCCATTAGTTGTTAATTACCCGCTGTAGTTGCTTAGTTCTGATGTGCAAATCACAGAGGTTCACTGACGACCGGAGAACCGAGCCCTCCAACGACTATGTTTGTCTCTTGGGGTCAAGTTCTCAAGTTAGGATGCTAAGTGAATAACATTGAATAACTATAAAATAGATTCAAAACATAAAACTGCCAGCAAGCCAACTATTTGTTGAGCATCTGCCGCCTCTTAGATTCACTCATGTGGACTTGTCTCATGATCTGGTTCATGAGCTTCCCCATTAATGTAGCCATATATTGGTGAGCATGCCCCATTCTCAAACACAACGGTTGGGTTTATGGCGATAACAACTAGGCTTAGATAACTTCAGTTGGTGGTCTTCACATGGGTGATCCTGCATTGTAACCTAAGCTTACCCGGGACCCGAGGGGAAGCACCCGAAGCATTTGCTGTTGCATGGCTATCTGAGGGCAGCACCAGTCAAATTTGCTCTCGGCACTCCTTAGGTCGCAACAATCAGAAATCACATGGTTGCTTTCTATCATAGATGTGAATCTGAAACGATGGCAAAAAAAAGGTTGCAACATTCCCAAATGTTTTTGGTTGTTTTCCTGCATCAGGGAAATGGGTCTGTTTCAATCCCAGGCACAAGCTGCTTGTTTTTGCCACGGAGAAATGCATCACATGTCTGGTTCATTTCAAAAAACTTGTTTTCGCCAAAAGGGGTAGGAGGCAAAACATATCATGGAATCACCAACCAAATCACTATAATGCCAACCCTGGATTAACACACCCTGGTTCATTAACAAAGTTCTCCTGGTAACTACTGGTAGCTACTTAGCAACCCCAGTGAAATAGCAATGCAAAATTTGACTGAAATGCTTGAAGTTATGTTCTGCCTCTTTAATTAGTACAATTACTGAAACATCACAAACCGACGAACAGTCGATTTCAACGGCAAATGATTAATCTCGGTGCAAATGATGCTGCTCTTCTATTAAAACTGGTTGGTGGTATACCTACCCCTCTGAAAAATACGAAAGTCATATTAGTCAATTGGGATCATCTAGTCATTATTCCTAACTGAATGGAACAATAAAATTCCATGGTTCCAGTCACCACCAGCCAGTCAGCCAGTCTCGGTACCCCCCAAATATCCCAAATGATCAGCACCGAGCAGCTTCCAGTCGCTGCACTTGCTGGTCATCTTTTCAACCACAGTGGCCTGGTCCATCGAAGAACACAAAGGGTCCATCGAAGAACGCCGCGGGAAGATTCACGGCACTGAAAACACATTTAAAAAAGTGGTGGTTTAACAAACATGGATTGGTTTTGGGGGAAATCCACCCTCAAGAATCAAGAAAGATTATTCAATAGATATTTAGAGTCTCAACTTGCTGTTTTTTATCAAATGATCTGCAGGAAATCATGGATGTTACAATCCAAATCTGGAGGTATATACTTCTTGGATGTTTCACTGAAAAACAATTCCACAATCTGCAGCTCATCCTCAGCTCCCTACTACATTGCCCGGTGTCACCTTGGAACTGACATCTGGATCGATTTGTGTTTAACACAGTTTGACAAGACCATGTGGATCACACATCCCTATCATCCATCGAAATCATCGAAGAAGTGCCAAAAATATGTCCAAAAAAAAACATGGGAATGTATTTCCATGTATTTCCCATTTCGATTTTTCTCCACGAAATAGTGTTTCTCCATGGGAAATTCATTGCCGTCTCTCAGGCATCCACCCTGGACCAGTACCTGGCAAATGAGGACTGAAGTTGGGACAGGGTAAGTTCTATCTATATCTAGGATCAAGATCTATATCTACATATATTGATTGATATCTATAATAGGATACAGAAACACACCATTCTTTCCATATGATCATCTACCTTAGGGGTCACAAATAATCATGCAAATAAGGCTAAATAATCATACACAATCAACACTGTATGTACTAAGTATGTACTAAACATGGCTGGTTCTGTGGTCATACTTTCAATCCTGCAACTGATCCACATTTCCAGGACATAGGATTTTCCCGATCCTATGAACCATACGCATCCACAAAAAAAAACAGGAATGGTTGTCATCCAAAGATTGCTTGTTGTAAAATGATATGTTCCGACGGGATGAAACATGTTTATAAACCATGCATGTCAAATAAATATTCTGAACATATGCTTATTCATACTTATATAGCAATAAAGCTAAACCCGGGGCACTCGTGGCACTTGGCCTGTGCCGCACTCAGGACCTGACCCAAAGCAATGTGGGATCCACAATGCCACAATGTCAGGGATTTGTGGAACAGAAAAGGGGTATAATATGGGTATAATATGGTATAGAATGGTGTATATATATAATACAATAGGATACACAATGGGGATGGTTCGTTCTTGCAAACCCCACACCATTCTCAAAGAACCTGGTGCCTTGATTATATCTTTTGAACGCTTTGGTTTTCAAGCTGGATTCAAAAATGCTTAGGGGTTTCTCAAAACCAGCAGTACCACAAAGTCTACGGGATATCCATGTATGTATGAATGTATGTATGTATGTATATGTATGTATGCATGTATTTATGATATATATATATATATACATACACGTCGTACAGGTTGCTTGCCATGCATCTCTACTGGTAAGCCAATTTCCTGTTGCTTCAAGGAAATGCATACTGGTTTGTTCAGGGGGCAAAGGTTGATTTATAAAAACACAATCATCTATATATATATATATATGTGAATACATACACTGTATAATATATATATCTCTCTCTCTCTCTCTCATTCTCCGTCACCTTTGGATGAGAATTGATCCTATTACAAGTGATAAGTCTAATCTTCTTGAGTGATTTTGCAGTAGGTCTATGGTCTAGTAGTCCGTTATAAACACAATGATTCAGAAGAAAACCGTCAGATTCGGTATTGTTTATTCCTGTCCTTACCACATGATCAACTCTTCTTTAAAGTACCCTCTGGTAAACAAACATAGTTATTGAAAATGGCCATCTATAATGGATTTACCCATTAAAAATGGTGTTTTTCCATAGTTTGTTGTAGGTTTCCCAGAGGGTATCTTCAACGGTGGTCATCTAAGCATCCTAAAAACATCAAGGACGACGCATGACGACGCGCCAAGTGATTTTTTCCACGGCCTCGGGTTATCGGGTTCAACTGACATCGCGCTACGAGAGGAACATTGCCATGGTACGAATATGTGGGATTCCCCCGTTAATGGGGGTACACACATATATATATACATGATTATATATATATATAACTATAGTATCATATAGTTATATACATGTAATTATATATTGTGTAAAGTCCAATGTGTGCTTTTAAAAAGTGTTTTTCAACCTCTATGGTTCATCAACTCACCAGTGGGCTACAGACCGAAACAATTGGCTGGGGGTTTCCCAAAAGTTATGGGAGATCCCCAAAAACCATTGTTGTTCTTTCAATACTAAATTTATCTAAAATGATCTAAAATGGCCATCCATGACTTAGATGATTTGGGCTATCCCCATGTTAGATGATGTTAGGGGGGGTTCATCCTTTGCTCAGTTTGCTCGCTACTTCGGTTAACAAACTAGGCGATCAAGTTGGTGTGAAACGTATCCTCAGAATGGCGCAGCAGAACAGCGCAGGACCGCCACTCCGCCTATGGGCGACATGAACGAAACATAGCCGACCCATTGGGATCTGGGTGTAATAATGTTCCCAACACCCTGCACATGGACTAGACGTTCATCCGTACAAGAGGTTGGCTTTATCAGCTTTGCAGCTCTTACGCTACAAATTTTAGCAGAAAGCAAATGTGATGCCAAAAAAAAGATAGAGAAAGTAGAGTCAGTAATTCCAGTTAAGTTATATGTTACAAGATGTTATAAGACATGAACAGTTCCCCAAACCCAAAAAGGAATTCTCAGAATGAATGATGCTGATACACTTCATGAAATAATAATATCGAGTATACCATCTGGTTATTTAACATAGCCATGAAAAATCCCAATCATAAATGGAGCTTTTAATGGGAAAATCATCTATGAATGGGCCATCTATACCATGGCTATGTTAAATTATCAGAGGGTAACCAACAACTTATCATCAACCAACATAATCCATGGGGCATTGCATCCCTAATCCTGCCGCCCTGTTCCAATTTTCCTTCCATGCGACCAGTGCGGGGCCCGGCAGCCCGGGTGAGACTAAGGAAAGTGCACGAATCACCGATGAACCTTGGCTCCGAACAGGTCTGGTTGTTGGTTGTGGCTTGAAACCACTTCAAATCAAAAAAAAAAGTTAACCGGGACACCAGAATGTGGCTGAGAAAGTCTTAGTAGCTTATTGGCTCCCCATTTAATAGAGAAAATGGAAACCCGTAGCTCCTTAGTTCCCTACTGACTGCCAAATAGGACAGTCATCCCATCTTTTGGGAGGAACATCACATTTGTTTGAAACCACCCATCAAAGATTGGGTTTAACAAAGGCATGGTGGTAATAATCTGTCTTCTGGATCATTGCCATGACATAAAGACCGGCAAGCATCCCGTAAACATACGCATAATACATATGCACGTTGTGAATGTAGTACAGGCATGTTATATACATAATTATATATGTATAGTATATATTTAATATTTAACATAATATATATATATATATTTCAATACATGTACACACACACATATATATAATATATTTAAATATCACGCATGCATATAATCAAATTATATTTAAAAAAACATGATATTTGCTGTTTTGGCGTGCGTGTAGCACATGGGTTTCGATCGTTCGTTTTGAATTAGCATACCAACGAGCAGGGGCATTGGGCACTCCTTGGCAAACCCAATGCAATGAAGCTATGCCTTGGAGTGGGATGCACGGTCTGATCAACCGTGTGTACCTGCAGTAATCTCAGTATGGCAACTGGGCAAAGCCAAAAACCCAGCATGAGGAAACATGAATTTTCATTTCATCTCACTTCATCGTCTCCCTTCGGGGTGTTTCTAAGTGTGTAGTGCTTTTCACGCACCTGGATTTCTGATACAGTGCCAGGGAAGCTTGGCGGTGCGCCCGCTGGGGATACCAGATTTTGTTCAGAGTTACACCGCGCCGGTTGATCCAACGGAATTCGGTTCAAAGGTGTTCGCACCTTATCATGCTACAGAAGTAGATCTCGCACCATGCGTCAAACCACTGCACAGATTCACTCTTCAGAACCAGATTTGATACCAGATCTTCGAAGCCAGATTTTTCCATCAGATTCCTCCTCAGAGTTTTCATTTCAGAATTCCTCGTGTCATTCCCCCTAACAAGCTTCAACCACAGTATTGTTTCATTTGATTCCGCAGTTGAGTTTCACCAGTGGGCAAGTAGCCGCGTTTGCGCTTACCTCATGGAGCATATGCCGTCGTCAGCAGACTGGATGTATCGACACATGTTCGGGACACCACCGTGGACACCAAACACACAGACACCACCAACAAATTCATACCCAACTCCTCAGCAAAGATTATCAACAACATCTCAGCTGACCATGCCAACAACATCCACAGCAGCGCCATTTGCCATAAGCTCAACATTTCCAGTTTCAGTTCCAGCAGCACAGCAGCAGCTCTATACACCAACACCTACTAGCCCGGCACATATGCACATGATTCCAGCCACAGCATCCCCAGCACCTTTTCCAGCTTACCAACCACCATTGCCAGCAGCAGCTCCTGCTACATTGTTTGGAAAAAAAAGCAACAACTATCCAGACTTCCTGACTGGCTCCCTTTTTGACTATGGACAGCACACATCGCCAGCACATCAACACACAGCAAAACCCAGCCACACAGACAATATCTTACCATCACTAGCCACACAGCCACCTGTTCATTCTACATGCGCTCAACCTCAACGAGTGGAACAACATTCACCACATCACGCCAGCCGGCGACGCAAGCGCTCAAATACTCCACGATCTAGGCGTGGGAGCCGAAGAAGAAGTCGAAGCACACGGCGTCAACATCGCCGACAATATCACCGCAAGTCACGCAGCAGAGCAAGGGCAAAACGGTCAGAACGAAATCCCAGCACATCGTCCAGACCCAGATCCAGACACGCTAAGCATCACCATCATCAGCGTTCATCCACTCGACGACAGCAACACCAAGCACCCACGCAGTCTGAGAACATAGCAAGCCCAACACCGCAGACACCAGCACACACAATAATGCCACCACCACTGCTACTGCCACCACCCAGAGTGCGCCTTATTGAAAAGATTCAATAAAGTTATTGATTTTCATGCCAATTATTGAAATGTAGATTTTATTGAAATTTTTCAATACTTTTATTGGTTCTTATGTGGATACTTTTATTGAAACATTTCAATAATTTAAAAGCTGTTTCAATAAAGGGTTTTATTGGTTTGCAACTGTTAAACCAATAAGAAAACGAAATACCTCATGGTTGTCTTTCCAAAGACAGAAGATGTTTGCATCCCTTGTTTGCTGCAATTGGGCTCAGCCAAGCTTATCTGGCAATAAAACTTTGAGCCTTGCAGAAGGGCCAGCCCCTGGCTCTGCAAAAGGGCTTGGGAACTTGGGACCTGCAAAAGGTCTCTAGAGAGCCATGTCACAACTTCTGCAGTTTGACCCCTTGGATTTGCTGGACCAAGACATGGTAGATGGAAGGCACCAAAGAATGCAGCCCTACTGGTGCTATCTGCAATGTGTCCAATGTGACAGAGGCTGGGTCTGGAGGGAAAAGATGGGTGGTGCTGGAGAGGAGTGGCAGCTGGAATGCTATGTGTGTGGCTGCAATGGAGAAAAAGCTACATGCAAAGGAATGGCTGGTGGTACTGGAGCCCAAAATATAAAAGGAGATGGTACACCTAACAAGCTGCCAATGCCTACACAATAGGCAAAAAGGCCCTGCAAAAGGGCTTCTGCATAAGACCATGTGTGTGAAAGGGCAGCACATGGTGCAGGGTGTGGGTCTTGCAAAAGGGCTCCAATAAAAAACAGCTCACAAATGTTAAAAGAAAGGAGGTGGGAAGCTGCCTGCTGGAACTGCAGGACACTACATGGTGCAGCAAGTTGCCACAGCAAATTGTTTTTCTGTAGCCTTTTGCAGTCCTTCTAGGCTCAAGTGCTTGCAAAAAACTTTTCCACAGGCCTTGCAAAAGGGCTTTTGGCTTGGAAGGCCCTGCAAAAGGGCTTTGTGAAGATGTCTTTGATGAAGCCACCCCTGAGGAAAAGGAAGAAGGGGGCTGGGAATTCTGCTCCAAAGAAAAGGACTGCTTTCCCAGATGTTTCACAGCCAAGGCTGGATGAACATCTCCATGAGTATTGCAGGGGCATGGGGGTCAAAGAGTCTTTCAATCTGTATGAGTACCTCAAGCTGGAGAAGCAGCAGGCTGAAAACCCAAGAGCTATGGTCAAACTGGAAAGGTTATTGGCCACCTTGCTGCTGGTGTCCCCCTCAGGCCAGATCAAGTACTCAAGCCTCAAGCAAAGTTTCCAGGTTCTTCTCCAAAGTTGGGGAGAAGAACTTTTGAAGCCACACTGGCCCAACATGCCTGCTGTCTCCCAGCTAGCTGGCAGAGCAGCAGATGCTGTTGGCATCTTGCTGAACCACTGGAGAAGGGTTACACACAGCCAGACTGCTTGGGAGAAATTCATCAGCAGGCTTGATGTGTCCCAAGAAGCAGCCATGGGAAGGTTGAGGAAGCAAATGCAAGGAGGACCCACCACAAAGAAAAGGGCCCTCAAGCCCAAGGTTTCAGATGTCAGCATGGATTCCTTGGGCTTCCCCAAGATGACAGCCATGGAAGTTGAAAAAGGAGATGAAGATGAAGAAGATGAGGAAGATGTGGCAAGTGGTGGTGAAGAAAGCAGCAGCAAGTCTTGTGACCAGGCAGCTATGGGTTCAAGCCCACCTCCTGTGCTGAAGAAAGACTGGAAAGAACATGCCTGCAAGAAGCCAGCTGCTGCTGACACACTGATGAAGAAGCCTTCTTCTACTTCACTTTCCACCACCAAAGTGGGTGCAGGCCTTGCAAAAGGGCTTTCCACAAAAGGCACTGTAAAAGTGCTTGGCAAAGGCTTGAAAGTGGATTTGTCAACAGTGCTCATCCACCAAGACACCATCTCACAAGGTGGTGGGAAAAATCAAGCTTACCTGCAGCACATGCCTGGCCCTGGGAAGAACAAGAGGTTGATTGTTGCAATCACCAAGAACCAGGCTAGCAAAACTTCAAAAACACACAAGCAGCTTGTAGAAATGCTACTCACAGCTTGCAAAAAGCCTGGGGCAAGCAAGGCTGATGTTCATGCAGAAAGAGACAAAATCTTAGCCAAATATGCTAAGTAAACTTGTACAGGGGTTAGCTTAGAAGCTTTGGCCCTGAGAAAGGGCTAAGCTGAAGCCTGGTGAAAAGGCTTTTGACACTGACTGTTGCCTAAAGACCAAAAAAATAAGAAGCTTGTAGCTGCTTGCAATGTGGCATGGCCAGTTCACTTGAGGCTGTTGTGGTTGCACCACATATGCTCAATGCAGCTGTTTTCAAGTCTCAAAACCTTTAGCAGCTAAGTTGGGGTTGGCCCTGCAAAAAGGGCTGGCCATTCTATCAAGTGGGCCTTGCACAAGGGCTCCCTTTTCCTGGCCTTGCAAAAGGGCTTCAGCAGGCAATGAAGGAGGAGCCTGACTGGGGTGACCAAGGTGCTGGAAGCTCTGCAGCTGCAGGGCCTGAGAAAGCAAGGAACAAAGGAAACAAAAAAAACCAAGCTGGGCTGATATGGTGGTACATGGCCCAGAAGCAAAGAAAAAGGAGCTGGAAGACAAAAAGCCACCAGATGAAGGAGAGCCTGAATGGTGGCAAAAAGACTGGAATTCCACAGGGAAGGCCTGGGATGAATGGTGGAATGAGAAAGAAAGGGAATGGAAGGAGTGGCAAGAAGGTACCAGTGAAGAAACCGAAGATGATGGAAAAAACAAAGAGAAGCCACAAGAGAAAAGGTTGGCCAGAAAAAATAGGACTGGCAGCCAAAAAGAAAGAAGCAAAAGGAGGTGGCTGGAAGAGAAAAGCAAAGGCTGCACAGAAGAGGAGAAGGCCTTGATGAAGCTTGGTGCCCTTGGGCAAGCAAGGGCCAGCAGGATGCTGAGCAGGCAGCAGGATAGGGAACAGCAGATGACAGCTGCCAAAGCTGCTGAAGCTGCAGCTGCCCATGCTGCAGAGGCAGCCAAGGCTGCACAGGCAAGTTCCTGGGCCTGCCAGCAGCAGGCATTCCAGTACCAGCAGGAAATGGCCTACCAAAGCTACTGGAACCAAGCCTACTACCAGCAGCAGCAGCAGTGGGAGTGGAAGCAAAACTGGGACCAGTCTGTGGGTTCAGGACACTTTAGTTTCATTTGTTTGCAGTGTGTGTGTGTGTCATGGTTTGTCATGGTGTTGCTTCATGTTTTGTTTGTTGCCATGTGTTGCTTGATGTGTTGTGTTTTATGTTGTGCTTTCCTTTTCCCAGCTTGCCAGGAACCCATGCAGCAGCTAAGCCTGGCAGACCTCAAGCTGCCAAACCTCCAAGGGATGAGAAGGCTGCAACTCCAAGTGGCTCCACTGCTGCCAGTGGCTCCACTGCTGCCAGTGGCTCCACTGCTGCCAGTGGCTCCACTGCAGGACTGACTGGTAGGGCATACTGGGTTGCAGCAGCCACCATTGAATCCACCATTCTTTTACTTGGGTTCTTCAGTCAAAGGTTCAATGAACAAGAGTGATGCTGGGTTACTTTCATGTTTAGGATGTATCACCCTGCACTTTAAATCCCACAGTTTCACCAACAAGTGCTGATGCCTGAAGGTACTAATGGGTCAATCCACATGGCTTCAAAAAAGGTAGCAGTTGAAACAGCCAACACTTGCCTTCACAGTTTGCCTTTGGCCAACACATCTGGGTTTTGCCAGGACCAAAGCAACATGTGAGAGGACCACCTGGGGCCACTCCTAAGACTGCTGGAAGGCCACCCAGAGATTGGATTGGAGCAACCAAGACTGCAGTGGAGGAGAAAGATGACTGGCAGAAGCCAAAGTCAAGGAAAAGTAGGAGAAAGAAGAAGCATGGCCCCTCTGAGAGCTCCTGAAGCTTAGGCATTGAAAAATCCAAGGCCTTGCAAAAGGGCTTTGAAATGGTTGAAACTGTTTTGGCATCACCAAAGGCCTTGCAAAAGGGCTTTTTCCAAAAAAACTAAAATGGGTTTGGTACCACCAAAGGCCTTGCAAAAGGGCTTTTTCCAAAAAACCTAAAATGGGTTTGGTACCACCAAAGGCCTTGCAAAAGGGCTTTTTCAAAAAAAAACCTAAAATGGGTTTGGTACCACCAAAGGCCCTGCAAAAGGGCTTGTTTCAAAATGAATGCAAGGGCTGAAAGGGCCCAGGCAGACCAAGTTTGTGACCTGAAGAAAAAAGTGATGTGAATCTGCCTCCATGGGGACCCCAAACACACCAACCTCATATGATCTCATATGATATCATACGAGGCAGCCCTTGCATCATATGAGGCAAAAATGCCTCATATGATGCAAAAAGAGCATCATATGAGGCACCCTTGCCTCATATGATATCATATGAGATCATATGAGGATTGCTCTTTTGTGCCAGTCAGGTTTTGCCAGGTCAAGGTTGCAAGTTTTTTTTGCAGACTGACAAAAGTTTTGGCAAACACATCAGTTGGCTTTTGTGGCCTTGTTGCCAGCCATTGTGGAACCAGATGTGTGAACCTCTGTGTTTGAAGAACTTTTGGCTCAAATCTGCTTACCCAACACGCATTTTTAAGAAAAAAGGCCTTTGCAAAAAGGGCTTCAAGGGAGTGGGCCTTGCAAAAGGGCTCATGGCACCTAAAGCCATCAAGGCAGCCAGTGCCATGAAGGTTCTCAAGCTGAACCTGAAAAGGCCAGCAGCTGCAGAGGCTATGTCTTTGGATGACAAAATGGAGCTGTTCCAGAAAAGGGGCAGCAAGGATGTCCAGCAGTTTTTGGATGGGCTGACCAAAGGACAGAGGGAGGCATTGTGGCAGAGGTTTGCCAATGCCAGGGCCAGCTTGAAGGACCCAGAGACTGAAGGCATGTGGCAGGAAGTTGCAAAAGGGAAGGGGTCAGACCCTGCAAAGAAGCAACTCCTGCAATGCTTTCTGAAGCTGGGTGGGGACCTCAAAGGAAAGAAGGACCAATGGCAGAAGGAGCTCATCTCCTACACCAAAAGCAGTGGCCACTTGGCTGTTTTGCTTTTGCACAAGCAAGAACAATAGATTAGTCTGTGCATAGCAATTGTGCCACTGAGGTTCCAGGAACACTGAAGAGTGGGTGCCTTTTGCCAGCATCCTGAAAAGGTATGGGCTGCATGAGGCTATGAGAAGAGTATCTTGGCAGCATTTCTACAAGTTGTGCAGAAACTGCAGCACAAAAATGTAGACACCCCCCCCCCCTTGTCAAACTTTTTTCCCTGACATGGCAGGTCAAGAGGGGCACAATCCAAGTGAGAAGGGATCCCTCTGACACTGCAGAGTGGCAGTTTGCTTTGAAGAAGGCTGTAACCTGGACAGAAGAAGAGATGAAACATGGCTTCAAGGGGGAGTCTTCAGCCAAAGCAGAGGTTGCACAATGGATGGAGCTGAAGGCCCAAGGCCTTTTCAAGGATGATTCTGAAGTCACTGCTGACAACCAAGCATTGGATGCTGTGCTTGGAGGGAAAAACAAAGACAAGCTGCCTTTGGAAGACAAAGATCAGCAGAGTCCTGGAAGGAAGTCTGCAAGCTCCAAGGCCAAGGATGGCCAAGTGGTGGAAGCTGACCTTCTGTCAGAAATGGGAGGGAAGCTGAAAACTGAGGAGGCACATGTGAGAATTAGCAGAATGGTCAAGCTTTTGAAGGAAGTGAAGAATGAAGTTGATGAAGAAAACTCCACACCCTTGGACCAGTGCTTGACAGATCTTCAGAAGCTTGGGAAGATGGGCAAGAAGCTGAAGATGGACCATGCCAAGGGCAAGCTGTTCGATGCTGCATTGCAAATCAAAAAGGCAAAGGCCCAGTGAGTGCATCCTACAATGGAGGCCTTGTGAAAGGGCTTGAGGTATCAACCAGTGCTGTGGCTGGCCCTGCAAAAGGGCTTGCAGCACCTATGTTAAGCTGGCCTTGGAAAAGGGCTTGGGCAACATGAATGCCTTGCAAAAGGGCTGTGCTTCCCAAAAGGTGGAAGCTAAACACTTGGGCAGCTAACCCTTGAAAAGAGTTGCCACTGGTGCTAGGCAGTGGGGCCAGCAGCACTACCAGCCACACTGCAAATTCAACAACACAGGCCACCAGTACATACTTCCCTGCCTGCAGCCATTTCCTTTCTAGGGCACAGCATCTGCGGTGCCCTGCAAAAGGGCCCATTTTGCTTTCAGCACTAAAGGCCTTGAGAAAGGGCTTTGAAGCTGATGTCAAAGTGGAAAAGGAAGAAGTATGAAGAGACATCAGGCCTGAGCAAGGACTCAGCTGAAGATTTTTCACCACTTGGGTTGTGCTTGCTGGAGCACTTTGCTTCTGGGATGTCAGCCACTGGGCTTGCAAGTAATGTGGCATGCTTGTCCTTTTTGCAACCATATGTTGCTACTTTTTTTGGATCTGAGGGCCCTTCTATCCAAGCCATTGCTCTGGCTGCATCCAAAAGTGGTGCAAATTCCTCAGATATTGAGTCTTTGGCTGCCTTGGGAAATTTTGGAAGGTCCAGTGAACACATTGCTGGGCAAATGGTGAGCAAGTATTGCCAATCCCCTCTCATTCAACTACCAGAACCATATTTTGCAGAGATCCCAGTTGCTGTGAAAACATGTGATGACTGGACCATGGCTATGAAGCAAGTAGCCTGCTTCTTGCCACATGAGTGGCTGAGTTGGCTTGAAGGCCAGGAGCAGGCAGCTGGCTTTCAGGAGCTGAAGGCATTCTGGAAGAAACATAGCAGAGAAGATCCAAAGTTGAAGGGCAACCCAATTTTGGTTGATCCTTTCCAGCACCTAAGTTATTCATAGGGTTGGCCTTTGCACCCCCTTCCCCAACTCTTCACCAAAGCTTTTCCAAGGAAGGCTGCCAGAAGTATTTGCCTATGTGTTTGCATGGAGATGGTGGGTCTTTCCAAAGGGCTGATAGCATTTTGGTGCTGTCAATGAGAAGCCTGCTTAGCTCAGCTAATGTTGGCCTCTCCCAAATGCTGCTGGCTGCCTTACCCAAGTCAGCAGTACACCAATCCACCAACCCAGCAGAAGATACGTTGGTGCAGCTGTGGAGGATCCTAAAATGGTCTTTGGACCACATGTACTATGGCAAATTCCCAGAGATGAATCATCAGGGAAAGCCTTGGCCTGCCAAGTCCAAAAGGGGTGAAGTAGCTGGTAGCCAACTACATAGCCAGGGCCTATGTGGGATGATTTTCTCCATCACTGCTGATGGTGAGTTTCATCAAAACCATTTTGGGTTGCCTGGAGCCTCCCACAATGATTGCTGCTGGAGTTGTGGTGCCAACAAAAGCACACACCCCCACAATGACTATAGAGCAGAAGCCAAGTGGAGAACAACTTTGAAAGATCACACAGTGAAGAGCCCAACTGAGCACATCATCACCACAGTTCCAGGTGTGAATGGCTACAGCTTTGCCTATGACTCCCTTCACATCTTGGAACTTGGTGTGTCCAGCCATATCCTGGCCAACATCATGTTCGACTTGGTGGTGAAAGGTGAAATCCATGAATCCACCCAAGAAGCCAGGCTGAAAACCTTGTTCAGAAAGCTGCTGGAACAATACCAGGAACAAGGTGTTGATGCATCCCACCAAGTGAGAAGGCTTCAGCTCAGCACTTTCTGTCAGCCAAAGGCAAAGTACAGCTCTTTCCCTGATCTGACAGGTATCAAAGGCAGAGAGGTGAGGCACATGGTTGGGCCTTTTGTGGAGATTTGCAAGGACTTCAATGATGGAACCCCTTACAAGAAGCACAGGATGCTTTGTATCTCCAACCTCAGCAAGATGTATGAGTGTCTGGAAGGGCAAGGGCTCCACCCATCAACCAAGGCTTACCAATCCTTCAAAAAAACACAGACTTGTGTCTTGTACATTATTCAAAGCTGGCCAAGCTTGCCATGTCTGAGGGCCTGCTCCAATGGAATACAGTACACAAGCACCACTTGGCTTGCCACATGCCAGACCAGTTCCAGTTCTTGAACTGCAGGTTTGTGGCTACATACACTGGAGAGACGATGGTGGGATTCATTGCCAACTTGGCACATGCCTGCTTGAATGGCACCAAACCACACCTTGTACCTGCAAAGGTGGCCTGGAGATACAGATTGGGTATGCATTTGAGGTGCGCCCATGGTGATTTTGGGGTGCTGAACTCTGATGATGAGGACTGAGTGCCTAAGCAGCTTTGCCTTGAGAAATGGCTTTCAAAGTTGGCCTTGAACAAGGGCTGCACACCAGGCCTTGCAAAAGGGCTTATAGGTCCTGCAAAAGGGCTTTTATGACCAAGCATTGGGCTTATAGGTCCTGCAAAAGGGCCTTTATGACCAAGCATTTGGCATCAGTGAAAAAACCTTTGTCTTCAGTGCATTTGAATACCATTTCTTGGCATGAGAACAATGGCACTTTATTGAAATGAAGCTTCAAACCAATAAAGATTTTATTGGTACAAACCAATAATTTTATTGAAAAAAACAACCAGCAGAAAAAGCATGCTTTTAAGGATTTTATTGATTTGACCCTCACTTATTGAAATGATCGCAAATTATTGAATCTTTTCAATAAGGCGCACTCTGGGCACCACTACCACCACCACTACTACCGCCACTACCACTACCACCACCACTATTACCACCACCACTACCACCTCCGCCACCGCCACCAGCGCCACAACCGACAACGGTGCCACCACAGACATTATCAGCCCAAGTCCTACGAGTGGCAACACGAACAGCCACTTCCAACGCCATACCGGCCAGTACGGCGCCACAACCCAGGCACGGATCCACTACTACAGCAACGGCAACATCATCTAACTTAGCAATGACACCAACAACAACACAAGACCACTCCGACGACCCACTTGAAGCAGCTGTTCAACGCAATATCGACAGCAACACATCCGTACTTACACCATGGCAGCCGCCAATCAGAAACCATTACCACCCGTTCAATTACAAAGCACTTCAGCAGCGCTTGCACTCAGCAGCAGCACGTGCTCAGGAACTCACCCCCCCATCAGTGTACTTTCGTTTTTTGCAAGACAGAGATAGCAGTGTTCGTGAAATTGCTACCTTGCTTGAAACATCTTTCCCACCAGGGATTGACCTACCACAAGAACACATCATTCATACACTGTCAAAATATATTGTTACAACTGGAATGCCTATCCAAACTACGCTTGCCCGCATCACGTTCCACCAGCATGACAAATACCGAGTGTGGCAATTACACCTACGCAACATGCCACGCAGCACCTCTACAGCAATGTCGCAAGCAAGCAACTGCCAATACCATTGGGCGCACGCCACCAGTGAAACAGGCTTCTTAGGAACTTTACTGTACGGGATGGTACTACCAACATGTTCTGAAACAATGTCAGGCAGGCAATCTCAAGGCTTCTTCTGTGCAGCAACAATGGATGAGAGCACCATCGTTCAAAAAGTAGTAGACCGCTATCTCAGCGGAAAGGCACATGTTCCTTTTGTACTTGGCGGTACCTTGTGGGCAACACACAAAGCCGTCCCAAGCGGGGGCACATACACAGAGCAGGAAGAGGTCGAGACGCATGGCATCGTACATCGGGCAAGGGACAAAAGGTGGTGTATCCACGCTACGATAGCATCCATTCAGTCCATTTGGATTCTTGAACAACAAGCACACACAACAGAGCCACCGCAAAGTGATCTGATGCGTGAAGATGCTCCGCGGCTGACTTTACAAACCGATGTGGAAATGAGAGGTTATTAAACCTCAGCTCTTGCCCCGTAGTTTCACCAAGTGAACAAGCGACAATATGTTCGTTTTTAAACGGCAAACCAGGTTTGCAAATTCTTGTCACAACACATTTTCACCAGCTTGTTCAATACAGAGTCCATACCACACGTGAGGTGAAAAAAGGTGAAATTCGCACCATTTACGACAATAGGTTGACCTGGCTTTTGTTGTGGATTTTATGCGCGTGGTTGAGTCCTTCAACAAACATCATGTAGGATTGACACCATACTACCATCAAAGGTTTCATGATTAGTTCAGCATAGACAGAACCTATTGCTTTCATTAGTTGGTTTCAGCAGAAGTTTATAGCAGCTTGATAACGTGCAAGTGTGAGCAGAGCAACTTTGCTCACACACACCGAGCGAGTCGTCCGTGCGTTGTACAGATTATGATGTCCTTTAACCTTCAAGCAGCAGTTGCTATTGGAATGTCTTGAAAATTGAACTGTTTCTTCAGACTGAGCTAATTCGTGCTCAAGTACCGCTCCGATCGTTCTTTCATTGTACAGTCATGTCGTGGCGAAGCACCAGCAGACCGTGGAACTGGCACCAGCACCAGCATTCAGCACCGCACACACCACCACGAGCAACATACCAGCATCCTGACTCACAGTACCGACATGAACCACCAAGCCCACAAGGAACCAAACAGTTCAACCGAGACATACCAGCCAATTTCCAACCTGATGCCAACCACTTTGACACCAAGCAACAGTATGGCCTTTCCTTTCCTCGCCAAGTCACCTCAACAGCCTGGAGTCAGAAGTATCATCTAGCAGGAAGACCCATTGACTCCGTACGACTGTATGAATTGGCTTACCTTGGTTGGTCCAACTGGAGCCTTCGAGCCTTAGCCAATGGCAAATTCACATCACTTGTGTTTGCCCGCAGCATCAAAGAGTCCATTTTCTTCCACCATTTGTCCATGAAACTTCGAGATGAGCATATGGATTTAGATGACATTGCAGCAGCATATTGCCAGCAGCAAGGTATTGCGATCACCGATCCAGATCCCAATCAACTCAAAAAAGCCAAAATTCACCACCTTGTGAATTCCACAGTGGATCATTTCCGGCAATTCTCCAATACAAGCTTACAAGAAGCCCAAGACAAAATTCGACAGCTGGAAGCACAGCTAGCAGCAACCCAGACCATTTCCCAGGTACCCACTGACGAAGAGCAAGCCGCATCCCCACAACCTCACCCGCCAACCACACCTGATGAAGCACCACCGTCACCAACACCCGCACGCAAACGAAAGCCCGACACATCCAACACACAAACGGCCAAAAGATCGCGCACTTTGACGGACATGGGGATCACCAAACGGCCGGGCAACCATGACACCAAAGACACACAAAGAACACGCAAACACACAACCTCACCCACTGCCGTACCGGCAGCGGGCGCACATGATGTACCAACCAGCACTACTATTGGAGACCTTCAAGCCAAAATCACGCAACTCCCTGGCACCAATACTGTCAGGCCATTTGCCTCAGCATCGCCCAACAACAGCACGGCCAAAACCGTTGATGCCTGGATCAAAAAGCAGAGCATTCCCAAACAACACCAAGCAGCATTGCAAGAAGCTCTTGCAACACTCACCGGACTTCTCAAGAAGATCCCAAAGCCCGAGCAAAGCACCTTTGCAGACAAGGCCGCCTCACTCGGCCTGCCAGTATCAGTGGCATCGAAAGCCCGCGCGGATGAGCTCTACAAGTTGCTGCTTTTTGGGGTGACACAGCTTGAGTGACTAGATCGAGATGACCCGAAACATGTACAGTTTGCTGCCGCATGTATCGTCTTCTTCGGTTGTCTCGAACATTTTCCGCTTGATCAAAACTGTTGTTCTGTATCTGTTCGGTTGGTTCTCCGTGTTGCTGTTTCTTTCTGTGTTTTGTATTGGATTACAAATCATCCTAATCAAAATTCGTGTCGAAAATGGAACCGAAGATTCAGTCGGACACATTTGAAAGATGTCCGCACTTTTGAGGATATGCGCCAGTTGTTTCACCAATCCAATGTTGTATATATTTTGCTGCATGTTTACGGCACAGCAAAACTCAACATACACTTGTCGTCTACAGAACATTACATCGGCAGCACCATACACACATTACATGATCGACAGAACACCCGACACCGCAAGCTGAAACAATTACAAAACGGTCAACCAGTATCGTGTGAGCTTGCATTGCATTGGTTCTGTAGCCAAGGCAACTACTATCAGTTTGTACCACTCCCGTTATTAACAACCTCGTCACAACTGCAAACACGAACACTGGAAAGTTACATGATCCAGCTTTGGTGCCCACCACTCAACTATCCACTCATAATGCAACGCAAGGTCACTAAACAACATTCAACACCACACTTGCGACAAGCAATCGCCAACACATTCCTAGGACATGGCCAGCGACTGTATGCGCGACTCCGCCGCCGCATGATGTACAAGCAAGTATTCCACTTTTACAACCACAACCTGTCCAAACACACCACTGCCTGGCTTCAACTACACGTACTCGCGGAACAAAGCCAACGGTCGTTTGACATGCAAAAGTTTATCCGTTCCAACAACACACACTCAGATCACCTATTTGCACTCTACAAACTTTCGAACAACATGGAAGATCCACCAAGAACAAGAGTTCGCAGTTTGATCAAATCAGCTATTCAATTTCGACAACTACCACTACCGCCAAGTCCTAGACCACTGATACTGCCTCTACTGAGCCACAAAACATTCAGTCACCAAACACGCCACTGGCTTCGGCAGATAGCCATTCAACACAAACAATGGCTACCACCTTTTCACATTCCAAAATGCAACATTACGGCAGGAAAGCATACCACCATGCAACAAGCCCTTTTCAGCCACTTTTCCTGGATGAAGAAATTCACCTGGAACGAACCTCCACCATGTTCTTGCCAACAACTTTTTGCAAAACACCCACGGCTTACCAGCACTACAATATGTGATCAACCACATATTGCCAGTCCTGCTGCAAACCTGAATGTCCCAGCACGACTCGCAAATTTCTTAGCCACGCATGCTGGCACACAAGTGTACCCTACAAAACACCACTACTGTCAACAAACTTGGCCCAAACTACAACGCTGGCTGCAACATTACAACATTAACACAATCACGTATGCAGACTGGCAGAGTTACATTGAACAACAGTGGCCACAGCACTTGCAGCAATCCAAACAATGGATTGGGCACAGCGACATTCAATACCTCAGAAAGATTATGCAACAGTTTGTGGTTCACTGTCGCGACCATGCTGCTACAGCCATTTTTGTGTATTGTCCTTTTCTCTACTGGACAGTCCTCAAGAAAACATTTGGAGATTCATCGGTGTACACCCACCTCACTTTGACACCACCACAAGCAACACAATACCTACAACAGCTTACACATCAACCCTGGCTTCAAAAATACAAATGGGCATACAACACCAACAGCGACTGCCCAACAGCCTACATACTATTGAAGCAGAAAAAACAATTCCTTGCCGCCAGGCCCATCATCAACTATCGTGGTTTTGTTTTTGAGAAGCTTCTCAAAGCCACAGCCATCGTTCTACAGCAGATGCTTCAAGCCTGCATGTCCAAGACGTTTGGACTACAATCACTCCAGCAAATTTTCTATACACTCCACACTTTCTTTCACAATGCACCAGCAGACCTGGACCTTGCCATTTACAACCAAGATTTGGCAGGGTTTTTTACATCCATACCAGCAGACCGCATCCTTCACGCACTTGCCAAGCTGTTGAAGCAATATCAACAACAACACCCACATGTAAATAACGACACTGTTTTCACAGTGGACATGCAACAGCCAGACACCACACTACGACTTTTTCGAGGACGGCCTCGGCGAGCTGCAATGACAAAACGACAGATCAGGTTTGGAGACATTTACAACATATGCAGTTTGTCTCTCCAGGCATCAATTTTTTCACAGCTCCAGCAAACATTTCAGCAAATTCGCGGCAGCGCAATTGGCAACCAAATCAGCCCAGTCCTGGCAAACATCACGGTCAGTCTGACCGAGCAAGATTGGCTAAACCGACCACAGGTACAACAATATCTTCACACACACTCAAACAGAATACTGATCACACGATACGTTGACAACAGGCTTGTACTCATTGACCAATCCCAACAGCACCACGCAATCATCCAACCATTCTTACAAGACACCTTTTACCAAGAACCGGTCATCCTTGAGGATGAACCAGACAATTCCTTTTTGGGCTGCACTATTGACTTACAAAAACATACATTGTCTTACATTCAACCAAACAATGCTTGGCAGTTTCAATCTTTTGGCTCTGCAGCTTCCACACAACACAAGCTCTCTGCCGCATACAGCCGCATCTGCCTAGCAGCAAGACACAGCCACCCATACAAGCAAGCACAGCATGATGTTGAGTTTTTAATTCAATCGTATGTTTCACTTGGTTATCCGTACAAGCCATTACGCGCTATGGCAGCCAGAATGTTGAGCATCCGGCGGTAAGTTTTCCACATGAATATTTCTATGATTGATGGTCTTTAATGCTTCGCTGTTCCAACACAAACAACCTATTGTTTTGTATTGCAATTAAGCAAACAAGGTGCTCACCTGAATTGGCATGAGGGGTGACATTTCAATTTACTTAGTCTGAGCAACAGGCGTGCCTAAGAGGGGTGGAAAAGCATGTGCCCATACTGGGCTTGTTGTGTGTGCCGACCCCTGAATCAAAGGGAATGTTATGTTGATTAGTTCAGTTCAGACTACATGTTCTAGATAGCTGGCACGAAGAAACCCACTGCACCGTGAGGCATCTTGCGAAATCGCGGAGAGTGGTTCGACCGTAGATTTACGAACTTGCAAGTGTATCGAAAAACATCATAACAGCTGAGCATGTTCAACCCAGTTCGCAGCAGTCTTTGCATGTATGTTAGTATAAGATCCGAAAGGTCAGTGCCCAGCATTGCCTTGGTGACCTGGTAAGTTTGATGATTGTCCTATCACGCGCCACCAGCATGTTTCTTCCTCAATCCGTGGATTTGCGTGTCTTGTGAGTGAGTGTATGTGCTGAACCCTGAATCAAAGAGAATGTTCTGGTGATTAGTTCGGTTGGGACCACATGTTCAAGGTAACTAGCGCGAAGAAGTCCATGTTGCATATAAGTTCCAATCCGACACATCTGTGCATCTTCAGGCGTGCAGCACATGGGTTTCGATCGTTCGTTTTGAATTAGCATACCAACGAGCAGGGGCATTGGGCACTCCTTGGCAAACCCAATGCAATGAAGCTATGCCTTGGAGTGGGATGCACGGTCTGATCAACCGTGTGTACCTGCAGTAATCTCAGTATGGCAACTGGGCAAAGCCAAAAACCCAGCATGAGGAAACATGAATTTTCATTTCATCTCACTTCATCGTCTCCCTTCGGGGTGTTTCTAAGTGTGTGAGCGCGCAACACCGTACAGCCCACGTAGAACCCTCCGATTTTTGTCATCCGCAGCCGCTTGCAGCGAGGCGCAGCATTAGTAAACCAACACGTTGGGCAAGCCGCCACCCACCGGCAGGTTCTTAATCTTTTCAATGACGGCCTTGCAGCGATGTTGCCGTTGGGAAACTGGAAGCCTTGGGAAACCGTAGGGCCGGCCCGGGCCTAACCATCACTGAAATTGTCCGCGACAAAGAGTTTGTTGAATGATATCACCACCGGATTTTGCAATTCTTGGGTTCACTGTTTTCATTTCTCTCTCGCGTTGTGAAAGAAAAAACGCCATAAAACACCATTCCTATCAGAAATGATCTCCACACATCATCTTACTTCTGGCTGGGTTGAGATCAGTACTGGGATGCACTGGTTTTACTGCACTGCCACTGAACACTATGCAAATGCGACATGTGAAGAACATCATATGTGCGTTGTCAAGTTGTTTGGAAAGCAAATGTGCAGCAACATGCAGCAACGAATAGCATGTACATGCATGTGCTATATTCTTGCAAACTGTTGATTTTTCTTATTTCTATTGGCAACAAACACTGGTATAATTTTCACTATCCCATACACTCCATGTATGGAAGATTTACCAACATGGCCCAACTATAGCTAAATGGAGGTTTCCTAAAATGGGGTTACCCCCAGCTATCCCCAGCTCATCCAAGTCATGGATGATCATGAGTATTGAAACAACCATGGTGACTTGAGGATTCCGTATTTTTATGTATTTTTTAGAACCCCAAATATGCCATACATGGAACAACTATGGCTATCCGCTCTCCTCACCGAAAAGCGCCTTTTGACGATTGGCTTCACGTTCAGCTTCCCGCTCAGTGCGAATTACCTCAAAGGACGATGGTCCAAACTGGGTCACAGCTGTGGTCCAAGTGATCAGGGCCATCTCGTTGGCATTCTTTTCCCTAAAACACTGCCTTCATATCCACTCTTGGTGGCACGCCCCTGTCTTGACATGCTCCTCGTTCCATATTTCTCTCCATAGGTTGTCCAATTTTTTGGGTCATACAAGGTGGGCCCCCACAGTTATAAGTTGGTTTATAAACCCCATTAACTATAGTTATAAGTACCATAAACCATAGTTATTGGAGTTATAAACCAACTTAGCTAACTATGGGGCACCACCTTGTAGTCTTCTCTCCCATGTTTCACTTGCCACTCCCTCCACAGCCTCCAGCCGCGTCCACTTCTCCTCACGCTTGGCAGCGGCTTCGTGCAGGTCCCGCAGGGCCTGTTCACGCTGCAGCTCGCGCTTCAAACGCGCGTCCTGGACGCCGAGTCGAACAAGGGCGAAACATGAAAATCCATGGGTACAAGGTGGGGCCCCCCAAGATAGCTAAGTTGGTTTATATAACTCCAATAACTATGGTTTATGGTACCTATAACTATAGTTAATGGGGTTTATAAACCAACTTAGCTATCTTGGGGGCACCACCTTGTAGAGGTTAAGGAGTATATTCATGGTTGGTATAGACTAGATCATAATGATTGATTATACAGTGTGTATCACTGGAGCCACTGCATCACGCAAAAAGATAGAACCGAGGTAAACATACCAGTAAAATAGTGATAACATGTAAAAAGTGACTTTTGTATCTTTTTCGGGATTGCTTTATGGATATATATGGAATAGATCATGGTTGATTCTTGACTCGAGGGTGCTTCTAGATCCATCGCAAGTCAAATCCACGTTTGGCGAGTTACTGTATATAAACCTCCACGGGGGTAGTAAAAAGGTACCAATTCTTTCCGGTTGAGTCCCAATACCTGGTGATTCAATGTTCCACAGCAAATTAAAATTCTGGGGTATTAAAAAAATGCACCTTTCAGCAGGTAAGCTCCCTCTTTGTTGACGACTACTAATGGTTGTCCTCGAGTTTCTTCTTCTTGGCTTCATCTTCGGCACGCCATTCCTTAATCCTGCAGGCCCATCAAGGCGGATGAAGGTAAGAAGCTCCCATCAAAGGTTGTGGTTAAAGTGCTTGAGGTAAGTTTACTTGTCAAGCTGTGGGACATCATGTTTTTGATAGTTCCTGCCGATGGGTACCCTTCAAAGAAAAATACCTTGCGGAACATTCCGAAGACTGCCATGTGGTAACCAAACGTCAGGCACGTTACATGGCATCATATTATAGACACCGCACCCCAAGCATCCAAATGCATCCAGGAGAACAACATCAATCTACCCAACATCGGCCAACAAAATCATTGGCCTTTCATTGGCCGTACGCTTTCCTACAAAACTTGCCGCTCAACTGTATCGAATCCACTGAACTCACCACCTGTTCGACTCTGCCAGGTTGGGATTCTTGCCGCTCAACTGCTGCATCTTGCCTGGCTGGAACTGATGCGAAGGGCACCCGCCATGGATAGGAACAAACATGATTTACGCACGTCTCTGGTCATGTGTTCAGTCAAAGCAAGGTCCATATCGGAAAGGGTATGGTTTTGTCTGAGTCAGCCCCATGTACCACATCCCTGAAGTTATCATCTACCAGTTAAATCCACACATTTCCTCATGAAAACCATGTACATTCCTGATTACTGTAACCTCCTAGACCCTGCAAGTCCCATAAAGAAAACTGGTGAAAGTCCAAAAATGGCATATATATATATAGGTATACTATTAGGTATTATGCAATTTTTCTACTTGCAGGGCCTGGGTATGTTCCAACCACGGTTTCCATCTGCCGCTTCCGGCGCCTCGCTTCTCCGCTTCGCGTTTCAGCTTCTCATCGCGCTCCATCTGCCGCTTCCGGCGTTCCTCGGCCTCAAAGCCCTTGCGCTGCATGTCCTGCGAGGCCAGTGGGCCATTGGAGTGGTCACCCTTTGGTAATTCAACAGTTTGGTATATAGATAGACGTATAACTGTAGATATGGATATAGATGGCCCATGTAATTCAATGACTTTCCATGTCTTTCCTATTAAACACATGTTAATCTCCATAGACATTTGTTTGGTTACAGTGTTTTCACCATCCAAGTTTTTTCCACATTACAATTCAAGCATCCCAATGGGGATTGAGTATGTTATATTATATTGAATGCATTGGTCAAAGGAAAACACTGAAACCATACTGAAACCCAAACCTCTCGGTTGTTCCATGTTGTTCCTATTGAAGGGTGCCAAAAATGCCATCAAACACAGAGATGGGATGATGAAATCAAAGAGTCGCCAGACTCATAGACTCCTCGTCTTCGGCTGTGGGGCTGGCCCCACCCTGCTTGGCTCAAGATGGCTCAAGTACTGATTTTAGGTTGACACTATAGCAATCTGGGACTATGGAGGCAGAATTTGCTGGGATATTCCCAGAAATGCACAAATGAAAAAAGTGACAAACATGGAACATAGCCTTTCAATTCTGTTGTCTACATGCTTCACGATATATCTGACCGAAGTGCAATACCCGAATCATGTCTTTGTCTCGGGGAGGCTGAATCTGTATATACCCTCTGGTAAACTAAATCACCATTTTTAATGGGAAAATCCACTATAAATGGTCATTTTCAATAGCTACGTTAAATTACCAGAGGGTACACATTGTGTAGCCCGGCCCAGCCCAGCTGCTGGCCTCCAACATGTTGCCCTCTTCGCCTTCTCCCTCCTCCGCGTGTTGGCTTTGGACAGGTGCTCAATGATTTTTAACCCTTTGAACAAAAACAAATAGAAGTAACAATGGGAAAGTGATAAATCATGATAAATCGCTATATTCTTGTAGTTGAACTTAGTTTCGTAGGCTTTTGTTTTTCTATCTGTTTCGGGCGTTGCTGTATCATGATTGTGTGATCCCTTCTTGCGGAACGGCCTGCCATTTCACCCCCACAATTGCCCAGACCTTCATGAAGCTTCGTGTGGCACCTAAGATATCTGGGATGAGTGGGAACCCCTATCACAGGATGTGTCAAAGGAAAAATGCCGAAAAACAACATGTGTCCTATGGCTTTCTACTATCCAAATATAGTGGAGTTTACCTACAACAACTGTAGTCTTGAGAATCCATTGGTCATCCAGTGCCGTTCTTGGATTTGCAAGTTCCGGGGTGCAGTGTGGGCTGTGGGAGATGAAGAAACAGTGAAAAGTGCATCGCACCTACTGAACTCTACCCTGCCAGGATGATTCTGCCAGGATATCTCAATTTATTGTCATGTGCTTGGGAAACTCAGTTCTTAGCTCCAACTGGCTCCGAACCGCTATGGTTAGAGGTTCCATCTTTCATGGTGAAACCCCCATGAAATCCCAATCCTTACCACATCAGCCAGCGCCAAGCAACGCATGCTGTCCATAAATTGCGATTCACGGAAGCGCCGGAGACGTGCTTCTTCCCGTTCCTGGGGAAGGGAGACATGGTGATGCCCACGAACCTCAGGGAATTGTTGGTGTATAACTAGAAGAACTGGTTCAGGGTTGCTCCAAACTCCCTACAAGTGGGGGTAAATTGGCAATCTTTGTGCCAATCATCCTACAAATTGGTTGGAGCAACCCTGTGGTTTATGGTGATTGTAACTAATTATAGTTGGATGGATCCCTATAACCACTGCCACAACCTCCAATTTTTTGATGGTTAATACCCATCCATTTATGACAAAGTTGGGAAGGAATTATTGGGTTTACCGGTGCATGGTTTACCACATTAATGTTGGATGCTGATTAGTGGATAGGTTCGCTATTGTGCGAAAAAAAAATCTGAACCCATGCATTGTTTGGCAGGTTCGCTATTGTGGCAAGAAATCTTGGGGTGTGGGGCATTTTTGTTTGTCCAAAAAAATGTTTGTGTAAACAATCTAAACATTTTTTTCTGAAAAAAACATTGCTTTTCTCCCTGTCCCAAAAGAATCAGACCGCTTATTAAACCCTAATTAAAGAACAGTTTCTCCACAAATGTCCAAGGCACTGGGCCATGAGAGGGTCCAATTCACTTTAGTAGGTTGAACATGGCACCGAACGCACAATATCCGAAGGGGTCGTTTTGATAGGAAAAAAGGTAGTGCTTTGAGAATCTATGAGGCCTTGCAGTTGTTGTATTCTAATGTATTCTATAGGCTATAGGTTTTCACCACTAACTCATTCCCGTCGCTGCCATTGTCAGAGCTTTTCTGATGATTATTAAATGATATGACCATCCCCCCGAGCATGGATCCATCATCCCCAATGACTCGCCATTTCTATGGCTGGGATGAAAAAAAAAATATCAATTTCTGTGGTTTATCACATTGCCCACGCCCACCAAATTGCATCCCGGAGCCTGGATTTTCTGCTCTCTACGGTCAGTGCGACGAGCTTGCTCCCGGGCTTGCTGAGCCCTGAGTTGAAAGAAAGGCTATGGCGCGACCGTTGATATCTCCTGGACAAAGTCCTCTAAAGGAAAGGCCGTTTACTCATGTTTAGTCCTACACTCAGAATGCCATGAATGCCCACTTGCAACAGTGGATCTGCAGCCGCTCCCAGAAATGATGTTGCTCAAAGATTCCAACAATATTAAAGAATTAGAGCGGGACTACTTGGGCCAGAAAGGGCCCAAAGAATGTGCAACCACATGCAACCACAAGCCCGTCTCATCCACAAATTATGTGTGATGCTTGCTTCAAATAATTGATTCTTTGTGTTTGCGGATTTGCGCCCCTGAAAATTTTACGGTACCCCACAATTATGTGCTTGCAGGACAAGCAGCCTGTTGCTTGCCTCCACTTTCAAATCCAAGAGGTGCTCCTGTGTTTCAAGCAGCTGGCCCCAATGGATTTTACTGAATAAATGTATATGTATATATATATAATTCCTCGCTGATTGCTGAATGGAACCCTCTAATCAAGCCCATCATGAATGCATGAAACACTCAAATGCATACCTCGCTCACATTGGTCTGGGTCAAAGCTAGTATGGACCACCCGCTGTTTCCAGTTTCTCATCCACAAATCTGCAAAATTCTGACCTACGCCCAGCACCCTCGAGAAGTCAACCTTTTTACAGCAGTCAAACATCACAATCGAACATCCCAATTGCTTGTCATCCATTGAAAAGTGATGATTCTCCATGGACGGCTTCTCCATCGTCCTTTCGCATCTTCTCTCGTCGTTTGATGGTGGACTCCTTCTCTTCTTCAGCATGTTTGCCTCAGCGAAGAACAGTTTGCCCTGTTTGATTGGCCTTCCAAGGATCGGATAAAGGGACCAAAAGCCTTGCCCTGGTGACCATTTTGAAATTGAACAAATGATAGACTAGAGTAACAATCAACCCAATTTTTGGGGATATAATTATGATAATTGCGGATTTTTTGTATTGATCCATCCCCATTTCAAATCTACCACTTGGACGATCATGGAACTTCAAACAGTGTTGGCATATATATATATTATATAGAAGTTATAGAAGGAGGTTACAACACTTCTTCATAAGCCAGCTGCCAGTCATGCAATATCCATTCTATCAGTTCTGGCATCCGCGAATAGCGACTCTCTACCTATCTATCGATCCATCCATTCATCTATCTTCACCACACTTTATGTGGTAATTAAACCCAATAAACCATCTCATATCACCTACATATTTATATATATATATACATATACATCTAGCCCCGAATTTGGGGCACCTCTACTGCCATCAATGCATATATATATATATATATATTCATTTATTTATTTATTTACTGTAGATACAGGTTTACCTATAGCCATCTACCTATGCCTCTACCTGACTCTACGCCCAGCCGCGAATGGCTGAGATCTGCTTCAGCTCGTCCATGGCCCTGCGCCGTTCGCGCTCCACCGTGACCTTCTCTCGGATCTCCTGGCGCGCCGGAAAGCCTTGGGAAAACATCAAATCACCATGGAAAACTACTTGAAATAACTTGGAAAACATAGAACATGGAAAATATCACCTAGGTGATCGATGTAACCTCTAGAATTTCTAAGTTCTGCTGAATTGGCGTAGCATACCCCTATGAACCTGTACTGTAGCCAATGTCATGGCGGTTCAGATGTTTCAGCGCCAAAGAGGCGCCTCCAAGCGTTGAAATTCGCGTTCTTTTTCTTCACGTGCCAATCTTTCCTGTGCTTTCGTCTTCCAGACCTGCGAGTTCACCATGTTCACCGGGAGAAGTCATCTCCAGCATTGAAGAAATCAAAGCATCTTCTGGAATCTTGTGGGGGCACTTGAAGTATCAAGCTAAATACAGTCATCATTTACTTATACATATAGAATTTATGAGAATTTAAACCCTGATGACTGTCGAAAGCCCCAGAACACCTTCAAAAACACTCGAAGTTTCTATGAGTCATTCCGCAGGCCTCCTGGATAATCAGATCCTTCGCTTCTCGAAGTCTGGCCTGAGAAGGCTGGGAAAATTGAAGAGATGTAACTGGCAATCCTGTGGATTTCGGTAATTTGCATGGTGTAAGATCATGCTAAGCACATGTCAAACATTTAAAAAAACGGTTGGTTTTTGTTCAGCAATGGAAGATTCACAAGCCTAGAACTGCAACTTTGTTTCCCAAGCATCTGGATAGAACCAACCAGGTTGATCCTGGGCCCTAGTCCATCTGTACGCATCAGTAGTGGGGGCCGGAACCAATGCACAAACGACTGACAAAAAGGCGTGTTGGCGAATCATATCTACTTGCTGAACGGAGGCCTTGTTCACAAAGGGTGCTGCTTACAACATCTTACAACCAACCACTATTGTATGGACTTAATTTATCTTTCCAATACTGTGACTCCTCGAACAATATTTTTTGTGCATTGGAGAGGGTCATTCACTTCGCGCTTCTGATTTGAAACTGTGGCAAAGGGGCAACTACCGTGTGCAGGCATGCTTCCATGTCAGGGGTCACCATTATGATTCTTGTTTCATCAATTTTGAAGATGCAACGAGCTTGATTGAATGAGGAAAATATTACGCTTTGATTCATTTCGACCCCCTGTAAGTAACATGGTGGAAGAAGAATGGAATCTCTTCCACCTCCCAGGGAGGGAAAACAGCATAGCCTCTCATGCAATGTGACCACTGCCTGATATTCTCGTTCCTTCATCTTTTCGTCTCGAAGGACTTCAGCAATTTGACCTCGGCCATTGACAGTATCTGGTTTTTGGGGAACCCCACAACCAAGGCAGACATACCGTTACTTGTATTCAATTAAGACAAGCCCGCAGCTTTATGCTGCCATGCTGCGGTTCTTCTTCAGGAACAACGCTCGCCGTTTCTCGACCTTCCACAACGGTGAGGGTGAAACACCCTCGGCCCTGCCTGGTCCCCTGCCAGACCCTCAAAAAATACTGGTACCCTAGAAGCTAGAAATCCGCTATTAAAGTATATCAAGGTTTCGGGTTGCTAACAAATTATTTTCCACACACGCCTGGCATTTCTGAATCCACATACCAAAACGGCCTGGCCAAGTTGTACTATAACACACCCCCAGAAAGATAGAAACATGATTTACCATTAATTTACCACTGTATTTGGTGGAAAATTACTTTTCTATACTTTTCTATCTTTTTGGATGTTACTATATAGGGTTTTCATTTCAAGAAACTTCTTCGTTGAAAAGATGGAGAGTGGAACACCGATGGTCCACACTCTTGACTCCAAACAGCATTTTGTTTGAAATGTGGCAACACCAATAACAAAGCATCCAAAACAAAACACATTTTTTGATGGGTGCTCTAAACCATTGTAGCTTTATTATTTTACTTACCACACTAGTGCAGTGGTATCAAGTACCTTCTGTCCTTGAACAGTATGCCTTGTTGCAGCCTTTGCAAGCAACAGCAGCGGGGCCTGCTCATCACGCTTTCGAGCCAGCCTCAATACCAATTCTGAATGCACCGTGCAGCAAAAAATTGGATGAACGAAATGAGCACGGTCTAGGACTGGATCATTTAAGACTCAATTCTCGGTTCCTCTTAGTCCAACTTCTCCGATCAACATACTCCAGCAACCGGCTTGCTTCAAAAAACATATGAGGGATCATCTACTACAGTAGAATCCTCGCAGAGCTGAGGTTCAAGTTTTCCCCAAAAAGATCAAGGCTTTTCGGATCCACCGGTCTTCCAATTTGTTTGTAAGGATCGCAGAGCATCACACTGTACAAAAAAAAACTTTAACCAATACCCAGCTATAGCCTGGTGGTTCCATTTAGCAGTGGGGTGAGCTACCCGGCTACCCGGCTACTTGCTCAATTTGTACAACAAGGTGAGCAGTGTCAATACCTACTGGAATATCTCATGATTTCATACATTTTTTTGGATTGTTTTGGTTCAAACGGATTCCCAGCTCATGGATAATGCGATGATTATTATCCCAAAGGCTTCCACACTGGAAATCATGGTTCAATCCCCATGCCGCCATGCCATCTCCACTCAGCAAAAGGTTTTTGAAACTCCAGAGGGAACCAGGGACCCATCAAAGGACCCATTAAGTCCAGGCAGTCCAGGCACTGCTGCGCACGTTCCTCTTCAATGGCTCTCACTTCAGCGGCGGAACGCTCCTGCATCTTACGCCGCTGACGTGCTGCGTCCTTCCTCGGGCACGAGTCTGATGGGGGAGGATGGGATGATGGGGGCAGCAAAACGCAGCTTGGGAACGTGGTTACACTTTTGTGTATTTGTGTTTTCTTGCTGATGTGTTCAGATCCTGCAAGTTCTTTTATGTCGTGTTTGTTGAACCTCTATTAATTTGGGACATAGTCACGGGAAAATGTGACCAGTGGACGTCGTAATAGGGAATTCTCATGACACCCTGTTCCCAAATGAGACATTGGTTGCCTACCACTAGGGATGTGCTTAACTCTCTATGTGGACCTTTCAACACAGCAAGAGCGGCTGAACCGCTGGAGAGGACCTACCACGACACCAACCATGACTACAACCAAACATGCGCACAAACTGTGGCTCCGTGGCTCTGACCAGTCAACAGCCAAGCTGCTCACGGCCCATACCACGATCTTGTGCATCCTTCTCTTGGATCAAACGACGAATCGCTTGGGCCTCCTTTTGCTTCATCAGCACCTGTGGTCCAATATCCCGATCATGCCACAACATGTCACATGTCACTACTTAGTAACTAAGTAGCGTAATTATATACGTATATTATATAGTTATAAGTTATATGTATACATAAAACTCCGGAGAAATCAGGCAGGGTGATGAATAATTCACTTTTACTGCACTGCAACGGCTCGGTTTCGGCGATACCCAATAGCCAGTTGAGGCAAAAGCGTCGCAACGCCACCTCGAGCTGTGCCATGGTGCTTTTCTTGGCTTCTTCTGAGGCTTTGTGGGCTTCAGCACGGGCGTGTTGCTGTTTCTTGATCAGCTCTAACCTGAGCAAACATGGGGATGTAAGATGATATAAGGGGGGTTATTATACGGTGGAAGGAAGAAATCCTGCACCAGTTGATAGGTGGTTTATCCCATTATTTATAGGGTTTCAACCATCCAAGGTGATGCAGGATTTCTTCCATCCACGGTAGGGATATGATATGATAGTGATATAATAAGGATACATGATATAACATGGGGATGCAATAAGAGTTGTAGTAGGGATATAATGGGGATATATAACTGACAAAGCCAAATGTTTGCCATGCCCAAGGAAACCTCCCCGCCATCTCCTTAGAATAAGTAGTCCTAACCTGCTCCAAAAAGTCTTAAAGGGCCGGAGCAATTGCAGTACCCAAAGTATTACCATACATATATATATATTATGCATATGGTTTTATAACATTTATAACCTTATTATATTACCTAAAATTCTATAATCATGAGCCAAGTTCAAGTGTGCTCTGGTGAACATGGACGGTCGACCAGTCGAAGTCCATAAAATGCCAAGCAGCTTTGCAAGTCGGGCTTCCCTGTCCTCATCTGCCTTCTGAAGTCTTTGGGAGGCCTCCACGCAGCATGGGATTTGTTATAGGAATGTTATTGCACAATGTTTCTACAAGATTTGTTTAAAAATGCTTATAAGTTATAAGGTCTTATTCATGATCCATATGTAACTTAAAGAAAAAACACACATTTCCCAAGAAAACATCAACAATGGATCCCATCCTCCCCCATCCCCAGCTCCACCAATCCGCCGTAGCCCCGCCTTGAGCTGCTCCAAGTTGCGCTTGGCGTGGAGCTCAGCGATGAAGCGCTTCCGTGCGCCTTCGCTTTTGACCTCGGAAAACGCGCCACCCGGTTATTTTGGGGGGAAGACGTTTAGGGAAGACGTTTGGAGAAATGGCTAAATGTGCAATGTATATATATATATAGATATACATATATATATATATACATATATATATATATACACACATGACTTGATAGGGAACATGATGGGAAAATGATAGTGAATCATTTTTTATGTCTATCACTTTACCCCCTATCTGATCCAACATCTAACAAAAGCAAGTTGCAAGGGCCGCGTGGAGTTTCGCATCATCGTGGGTATCCAATTCCTTCAGCAATTTCGCTCGGGTCGCACCGTCAATTTTGCCTGGCATTCGTGCTGTGAAAAGGGGCGGCCATCCATTCTGAAGCGGGCAGGAGGCGGACACAAAGATGTCGAACCTAACCAAGAAGGATGCTAGAATTCAACATTGCAGGTGCTAAAGATAGCAATGCGTATTAAATATTGCATGGAGATAAAGGTTTATAATGCATGTGCTTTTATGCGTATATGTATATAATACACATATATATATATATGCATATGTATGAATAGTGACTTGACTAAATGTATTTTGAAAACACGACTTGTCAATGCATTACGCAAATACAAGCGCTGAACTTGTGAATGAATACAGGTATCTCACATATTCCCCAACATGGTGTTGACGCTCAAGGGCTGCCAGCTGTCGCCTCCAACATTCGCCGGCACAGCAGAGGTTGCTTTCCTCGGCATCCAGAGAAAGGAAGTCCTCTTAGGAAACAAACAGCCATGGTTACCCCCCTCTCTTTGATATTAAACACTCCCTAGAAACCAGGGTTGAGTAGGGGATTTACACATATTTGTCACCATTGGGGGGGTGGGATTACTGCATCATTTTCAAAACCATTGTTCACAATAATTTCACCATCACTTAACATCCAGCTATCTAATTATTTTACATACGTATAGTTCACTATGACTATAACCATAATCTGTCCTATCTTAACAGCATTTACATGAGCTATTTACATCTATTTAACTCATGATTCGGCAAGTCTCCCGGATTTTTTTCTCAACCACCCGAGACGGCCGACGGCACCTTCGACAAAAATTTTGGAGGTGTCTTTTGGGGATGGTTCATCTGAGGAAACCACTCTCCTAATGACCATCTCATAGATAGTAACATTGCCAATAATAATGGTTAAGAAATGGTGATATAGATTGATATAGTTCATTTGGTTACCACAGATGGCTCATAATATCTCATAATTATATACTTTGCCAAAGCCAAATGAACTAAATGATTGGATCATATTGGATACTGAACTAAACATTGGCAATAGATCCACTATTGATCCACCCGGATCCACCCTTGAAAACAATTCTTTCAAAAAAAACGACCATTTTATGAGGCAAAAACCCAACTCATCAAAGAAATTGTTCCATGTCATGTCCAGTTTCGGCTTCTCTTGCACCAAATCTCCTTCATCCTCCACTTCCGCCGTTGCCTGGCCGCCACCAAAAACTGATGCTGAACCACCCAGGATAAAATTATGTGGCTAAAATGTTGGATCACAGATCGAAAAATATCGAAAAATTGGTTATGGCTATGATCAACATGGCACATTAAATTATCAGAAAGGGACGTTGTGTGGGTGTTTTGACAAAGTCACTAAAAACATCTTTGGTCACTATATCATCAAATGTTCATTGTTATATTGTTTTAATTATCTTTCTGATATTTTTAATTCTTTGACTTAGGTCATGAAGATCAACCAAAAAGAAGTTATGTGTCTTTCTAAAATTTCTTATGTTTCTTTCTATAACTTCTTGTACTAATACATGCTAATAAGCAAACTTAGAATATCAAATCAATTATACTTACATTTTCCAATAAATCTTGGTTTTCAGACATATCAGCTTAATGCAGAAAGAGGAATGGACAGATACGGGTCAAATTTTGGATTTATATATTGCTACTAAGCTTTCTGTATAGATTGTTGTTTTCCTTTCTCTCTTCCTGCTCCTCGAGACCTCTGGAAACCTTAAAGCTCTGGTTTTTTACCTTCTATATAAACCTTTCTGAGGGGAGGAAGGTCCCAACAAAAACAAAAACAAGCAAAAAATGGTGACCCCCCCCCCTCAGACCCTATAGGAAACCAGCTTTGACATACTAAAGTCACCGGATCCTCTAGATTATAGTCCGGATTGGCACTACGGTACCGGCCGGACGGATCCGATCTAGTCCGTCGGATCTGCCCGGTCGGCTCCGTAGTGTCAATCCGGCAGCTGTCCGGCCCTTTCAAATGATTCGGTTTGTTTGGTCCGTTTTAATCTTAATTTCCAGAGGCTTTCATGAAAGTATATGTTGCCAAGACTGTTTCATAAATAAAACAGAATATGCCAATGGATAGGCAATTGCATGAAATAGCAAGAAAATATATATGATCAAAAGTGATGTGAAGATAACGTCATCTGTGTATGTCAAAAATGGCTATACTCAGCATGCCAATACAATATATGTTTTTTGTTTTGTGCGCAAATAAACTTGAAAATAACTGCAATGTATATCATATATTTCTTCAGTATGGGTATGACCAATGTACCCTCATTCGAAATGCACACAATTTAATCAAATTTTGAACATTGATAAGTAATATCATTAAAGATACATAGAAATAATGCTACCAAGTTTCCTTTTTTTTGTATCATTTTTGTCGTAATAACTATATGGCAAGTTACAATAAACATTTTCTTTGATCATTGGCAGTCATCAATCAGAGCAATAACTTTCAAGGATAGTTACAACCACCTTTATCATGTTAGTTTAGCCAAGCCAAGTTGTGCCCAAAAATGCGTCCAATTCCACCTTTTTCCAATAACAATGCAATATTAGCATGCACTTTGAGTTTTTGCCCTAGCCTCATCTGACTTCCTGTTGCAGGTCTGATCCTTTCCATAACTGTATATATATATATATATAATTAGCAATATTAAGATTTTAATTGCATTAACCACAGATTACCTCCATGGATGTTGCTATGGACAGTATCATACTATGTAGCAACCATTTTGCCAACCTACCAACTAAGAAGGCCAACTGCATACCTCAACATTATGCAAGGGTATTCTCTATCATGGACATGATTGATTTGAACACAGTGATTGTGTCCAATGTCTCTGTGGGCTGCCAGATTGCACTGATTTTATTGGATATTCCAAGCTCCCTTTTTGATTTGCATTCCTAGTTTGCTAGGGGAATCTGCACAAGGAAGTGGTAAGAGCCTCGTTATATACCAGGAGAATTCCATTTGTGTTTTCTCTTGGGGCCAAATTCTTGGAATGTTTATGTTATGGATCAGGTTGAAACCAATATACTTTAATGTATTTCATATAAATCTAGACTAGTATTGTCTAACTATATATTATATATTGGATTATGTAATTATATGGTTGAGTTGAGTACAAGCATCCTTTAGCATGACATGAACAGTAAATGAAAGTACTTAGGGTCTCAATATTGGAGAAGAATGAGATGCTGCATGCATTGCCATGGTGCCTTGTGATAGGGATGTCATTGATTGTAAGGCTTGACCCTAAGCTACCCTCACTTTCCAGGTTGGATTCATTGAGTTTGTTTTTGGGGTCCTTTTAATTCCAAGCAGAGTTGTTTCTATTGAAGAGTTTGGGATTTTCCTTTGCTGATGCAATTCTCAGCATGATATTGGAAATTGTTTAATTTAGTTTTCCTTGTGAGGTGTATCAAGTTCAATCACTTAGAATACGCATCTCTTTTCACAACACACCTAGTTTACGCTGATATATCAAGGAAGACAGGCTTTGGAAGAGAGAACTATGTTTTACTTCAAGGTATTGTTAACATATTCCACATAAAAAATGTGTTCGACAGGTTTGTTCATACTTTTCAGAAAGCAAGAAGATATAAGATTAAGGGATGCACCTTATTTTTACCCTAACTATCTTTTGTATGTGCGAAGGATTGTTCAGGGACAATAAGTGATATTATTGTAAAAGAATCATTGGAAATACATATAAAAATGACAAACAAACACAAAAAAACGCCGTAAAAACGGGGCCTCCACTCTCTAAATCATGGATGTAATAACTTATTCCATCTGAAAAGCTCATTCTGTAGTGTACGGGTGCAGAATGAATTACAGAGCGAAGGGTGCAGGGAGGCAGTAGGCAAAGGACTGGCCAAGTGATTTTGGTTTTCAAAAATAAGATGGCTTTGGTACACACAAAGATGCCAGGTAATTTGTGGATCCCAGTGGATAGGTGACAAACAGTTCGGATTGTGCATTCCATGCTTTCTCGAGGTCAGCATCTTCCAAGTTCTGCTGAATCTGGGGCCTAAACCATGGCTGATATTGGGGCCAATCTCCAACGACTGTCAAAGACAAACTGGAAATGCAGAGACCCTCTATTTTTTTGGACAAAGTACCCCCATCTCTAAGTTAAACATCACAAATTGTAAATTGAAAATGCTGATATCATTATATACAGTTCTAAATCATGATATATATATATATATATCATACACTATATATATATATCATACACTATATATATATATATCATACACTATATATATATACTCTATATATATACACTATGAATATATATATATATACACCATGTATATATACTATATATACTATATATGCTATATATACTATATATACTATATATACTATATATACTATATATACTATATATACTATATATACTATATATACTATATATACTATATATACTATATATATACTATATATACTATATATACTATATATACTATATATACTATATATATATACTATATATATATACTATATATATACTATATATACTATATATACTATATACTATATATACTATATATACTATATATACTATATATACTATATATACTATATATATATACTATAGTACTATATATACTATATATACTATACTATATACTATGTATACTATGTATGATATACTATAGATACTATATATACTATATATACTATATATATTATATATACTATATATATATATAGAGAGTTGTAGTTGCATTAAACCATGTTTACTTATATGATTCATATATACCCATTACATAACACTACATTCATATAGATGTTTATATCTAAATATGTATTTATTATATTTGTAGATGGATATATGAAGATGTATACCCTCTGGTAAACGTTTACATAACTATGGAAAATCACCATATTTAATGGGAAAACTCACTATAAATGGCCATTTTCAATAGCTATGTTAGTCCTCTGCTGTGGCCATGGCCCTCGCACCTCTTCGCCCAGGCAGAGGACTTTCTGCCCCCGCTTATCCTGCACGAAGTCCAAGCGCTCGATGACCCAATGGAAACCTCTGCCCGGCGCAAGTCACCCACCGTTGCACAAAGCGGACGTTGCAAAGCCATGGTTCTTGGGGAGCCAACTGAAGGGTCTATGGGTTGGCTGGTTGGTTGGTTGGTTGGTTTGGTTTGGTTGGTTTGGTTGGTTGGTTGGTTAGTTTAATGACGTTTGATTGTGTTTATAATATTTTTTAGGCCCAAAATGCAGAGAGTGCAGGATGTACTATGTGAAAAATGAATTGATATTGCTTAATTATATTGACATGCGACATCATGTGACTGCTCACTGGGTGCAAGCCATCCCCCATCAATCCAGACATGACGTCAAGTTACGGCCATCCTGGTTGGACGGATTCATCAACTCCGAGTCATACTGGAAGAGTGCATCAAATTGACCTGAGCCAGCTGCAATCTATACTGGGATGATTATTCCCAATATATGGAAAAAAATGTTCCAGACCACCAACCAGTATACCATGTTGGTTTCCTGCATCATTGACAAATCCTCTTTCACAAGATCAGATCGTCATCAAACGTTGATGCAAACTGCAGCTACCTGGCTGAATGTTGGCATTTGACCTGAGAAGTTGGCCGATAATGTGCATTTACCCACTGGTCAGCATCATTTTTGGGGGCGGGTCTTTTACATCTTTCCACCCCAGAGCCAGGTTGCTGTAGGTCAGCGGATAGGTGTAGGTGCAATCATTCTCCAGCTCGTACGCTGAGAACCTCAGCGAAACACTCGGCAGCAACTCCTCTGACAAATATCGGCGAACTATGATAATGCCTAGAACTTTGAATCAAGATATGTTGAACTGCTATATATACATAAAACACACACACATATATATATATATATACACACATATGCATGTACATTGTACATATGTATATATATATATACATATATATGTATGTATATATATATATTTATGCATTAGACATATAATTACACACACATACATACACGCATATATACATATATGATATATACTGAAGATGATTGAAGCCACCCACGTTTTGAGCCATTGGGAATAAGCACCATGGGGAGAAACGTGGTGATCAACACTGACTCCAACAAGGTCCCCCTGCGAAATGGTACAGGTCGCTGGATCATCGTACACGGCAACCTTGACATGGCAAACTGGTTGGCGGTTGACCTACCCCTCTGAAAAATATGAGTTCGTCAGTTGGGATGATGACATTCCCAATATATGGAAAAATATAAAATGTTCCAAACCACCAACCAGATATGGTGGAATCAGACTTGCTGGGGTTGTTGAAAAGCGCCAGGAATGTCTCACTACAGATATGTTTTGTACCTCCATGTGCCTTCCTGCAACTTGGAAATGCAACCCACGCAAAATTGGGCTTAGGACAATGTTGTTTTGATTGTACAATGTTGGTCCTGTTGGAATGAAGCGCTTTTGTGTGCATCGATTCTTTCAGTTTCATTCTCTGGTCCTCGTCATTTCAGCTTAGCCTTTACCCGGAAAAATAGCCAGGAAACTATCAAGCAACTGGGGAGTATGGACTCAGTTTGACACATCTTAATATCACAATATGGTTGTCGAATGTTGGTCATCCCCAAACAAAAACATCCAAGCAACAGACTTTCCAAACCACAAAGATCTTGAGTCATGTCCAACAACAAATTATGGGTGGGCGTCCAACTTTTGATCATACCCATGCACGTTCCATTGCCAACTGCTTAGAGCCTGCATGTCGGGATCCACAATTCAGGACCCAATTCCAAGCCGCGCCAAGCAGAATGAAACAGATCCAAGTAGAACACTGAGGACCTTGCGATGTAGTAATCTCCCTCAATGCACTTTCCCTCTTGAAAGATCAGGGATCCTGGCCGTGCTGCATCTAATCGGAAGGTAGGGTCTCCAAAAGGGATTCTTCCTGTTCAGTCATAAGTCAGACAGAAATCTTGGTCTCACAGAGCATCAGCAATAATCCAACCCAATCCCCCTCATATTAAATACCCGATATACGGAGCCCCAAATGAATAGACCACATACTAACCCGGGGTTTCTAGGGTAGCATTTAATATGATTATATGCCAAATTCAACTTGTTCTTGTTGCTTCTTCTCCACACACCTTACCCCCCGGTCCTCGTGTGTCATCTGGCCGCCGCGCCATGGCTCTTGGAGCAAGGCACGCGCGAGTGCCCGATTTTTTCTGAATTCGGAGCCGCACTGGGCCGGCGACGCTGGGGCGCTGGGGGTGGGCCAAAGGTGAATTCATGTGGACAACACGAAGATTCAACCACTAAACAGTGGATTTCTTTCCCCTGATGCACGGCCATCTTAATGGGGAAAAATGATGAGTAAGCATGAGCTCAAAATTGAGGTAATTATTCAAACATGGATTGCAACTGTATGGGCTATATCAAATGTCGTAGGGTCGTAGGACAAGACTGACCAAAATGAGCGAAAATGCCCAGAGATGTCCCACTTGAGGGGTCACCATTGGTCACCTGTCAGGAGGCCTTGTAGAAATCGGTGACATCACCATGATCCATGCGTTTCACTGAGCGTTTCCACACTTATTACATCTTATTACTAATGTAAATGGCCTGTTTCGGAAACCGTTCTCCTGGGTGCCTTCCTGATCGAGAATGGCTTCCCGGTTTCTCGAGGTCCCCCTCTCATGCAATGGGCTTAGTGAACATAATCCTCTACGAGGTCCTAGAAGCCGATGAATGGCAGAATAATACCCTTCATCCCCCTTCAAAACACCTCGTCAGCCCATTGTGCTCATCACGGGCACGAAAACGCCATGGCTGGACCTTGAAAAGAATTAGCCTACAGCAGTCATGTGACCATGTCAACTGCATAAATTGTGTGCCTTGAGCCCATGGCAGCTGAGGTTTCCAAGTGTGGAGGACCTATGCAGCTCATACATGCGAAATGGCACGTTACCTGTTGGGAAATCTAGACTTACTTAGCCACAACTCCAGGCCAGTTTGTACATGCTGAACCTGGTGATAAAAACAACTCAACTTGGGATAGATATTCATACCTTTCACTGGCCTTTTGAGATATACTGTAGGACATGGGGATACAAATGTGTCATGATATCAAGATGGAGATATACCCAGCTAATATTTATATATATATATAATTTATATATATATATACATTTACACATATATATATATATACATATATATATATATACATACATATATATACATATATATATACATATACATATATATATACACACCACAATGTACCATATTATTGTATTATGTGCCATGCATGGAAGAGTAGTGACAACGATGCCTTTTGCATGGCACCCATCGGGCCCTGCAAGGCGCACCTCCTGCGTCAGGATGCCACGGCGCATCTTGGTCCCAATCTGCGGGTCCAGCGACTTGGTGTTGGGATGACCAGTCACTGCTCCAGTCACTAATAATGGATTCAAATATTACTGTAATAGATACCCTCTGGTAATTTGTTACATAGCTATTGAAAATGGCCATAGAAGTAGTGGATTTACCCATTGAAAATGGTGATTTTCCATAGCTATGTTAGTTTACCAGAGGGTAGCATATAGATAAAGAAGATATAGATAGTATAGATGTAGTCAACGAATGGGGTATCTTAATATACTCAACTGATGTAGTTTACTGTAATCAACTGATGGGGTATAGATGTATCCCAAATGGCAATGTTAATATACAATGTCGTATAGATATTTGAGGAAATTAAATACCGAATGGGGTAAATATACATCCAAAATGGGGACATTATGATGAATTCTGTTTGATTTTTAGGGTGCCCTATTTTCAGCCGAACTGAAGTGCGGATTCATGATGAGTAGATGCACTGGGTAGACCCGAAATCATTTGAAATCATCATCATTAAATTGTGGAAAGCAAAGTGCCTGTCACCACTGTCCAAATGGTAAACTATGTTGTTTCATTTTTTTTCGTCATATACATGGCAAACTATCAAATGAACATGTGTTCATCCATTATATACGTAAATGCCAAGCCGCTCGTCAGACTCCAAAGACCGCAACCTTCCAACAGCACGTGGAGCCTAACCAAGTGAGGATCACCTGAAGCCACTTTTAAGGGTGGAAAAGTAAGACGTATCATAAAGTAAGACATATCAATCAAATCATATGACTGAAACCACCTGACATGACCAAGGAAAATTCCCCTTGCACCACCCTGGCCCCTGGAACCACTCCCAGCAGTTTGCTTTGGTTCGCGACACGCGCCCTGTGCTCGGCATGGTCAAAGGGCCAGCTGTGGTAGGTCGATGATCCAAGAGTTTGGAGAAGTCTTGGATGGTTGGAACACATGAGATAAGTCAAGATAAGTCGAACAGCTATGGCAACAGACCTTGGTGCCTTCCACCTGTTGTACAGTAAATGCTTTTAGATTTCGCAACATGTCTTTGAGGTCCCTCTTGGACCCATCACTGGCTTACTCACCACCTGCTGGCTACTCCCATGAGACCATAGAGCCGAGGCCTATGCTCGGCCTATTTTTTCCACCTCCTTGACTTGTCGTGTCCCTTGGAGGAACGACAGCACGGACAGGTGCCCGAGTCGAATTGTGATGGCAACATCCATGGCTTCTGCTCCCATTTGATCTGTTGCTCTTTCTTGGCCCATTCTGCCAGACACGCTTGGTGAAAATTGTTCTGGCACTTCCTGCAGGTCCGGGGCATGGCGCCGGCGGCTTCAAAGCCCTCCAAACAGATGGGGCATTTATCCGGCGGTTTGTGCCGTGCCGTCACCGCTTCCGGCACCGGTGGTGCTGGTGGTGCTGGTGGTGCTGGTGGTGCTGGCACTGTTGACACCGCTGCTGCTGGTGGATACCCTGCGGGGTTGCTGGCAGGCTGCGTTGTGGGAGGTGCTGTGGCTTGGGCCTTCACTTCGCGACGTTGCCAGCGCTTGGCGGGGTGGATCTCCTGGGCACTCTTAGTCTTGGCAGCGGACATGGCTCCTTGTGAACCAACCAAAAAAAACCCTACAATTATGGGAGTTTTATGAATTATGTTGAACTAATTTTGAATTATATATAATTATGTATATATATAATATATATATATATATGTTTGTGAGTCAAGATCTGAACATGTGAAGTGACTGAGTCACCTACTCAGCTGCCAGAAAGGACTGGAGAAAAACTTGGGAAAAGGGGGTAGGATGCTATCACGGCAGCAGTTGCTTGGACAAACGATCTGCCCATGTCAATGACAGCCTTTTGCCAACAATCCGCGTCACATTTTGGTCATGTCCCAGTAGCCGTCAGAATTTCTTGGTGCCGGGCCTCAACATGGCAACAAAAAACTATATCTCATTCATCAAAACACTGGTTGGTTAGACTATGACCATCCCCAATGTCTTTTGGGTGTAATCCCAAACTAATCATCAGCCAACAAGGGTTACACCATGAGCTTCCCACCAGCCAAGGCACGGGCGGCACATGCCCTCGTTCCTCACCCGGACATTCAAGCGCAGCCAGCAGTGCAGCAACGTTGGCCGTGCACAAGCTTGGAAGGAGCTGGATCTGGGAGCGGAAAGAAAAGTTGAAAAAGCAAATAATTCATTATATATATATATATATGAGTCAGAATTCAAATATATATATAAGTCATAATTCAAATATGTATATATATATATATATAAAGTCATGTGAGTATACTTAGACCCCCAAGGACCCACTAAAATTGGCAGATGCCCAAACAAAATCAAACAAACAAGTGAAATAAATTTCATGGTGATATAAAACAGTACTACTCTGTTCTAGGTACTTCTAGGGTCTAGGTATGGCAACGCGGTTTTAATTAATCAACCAGCCCCCCGGAGGTGACCCCCGAAGAACATGAAGCATCTGGGATGTGGATATTAACCATGAAATTAGGTCAACACAACACACACACATATATATATATATACATAGGCATAGGGAATTATGACTTGTGACTTTTATAACTATATATATACATATAAGGATGTAATATATAATGATCTGTCATCAGAGTCATCAGCATACACTCGTGTCAGCAAGGGGACGAAACTGGGCAGTTCATGGCAGTTCATGGCAGTTCAGCAAATTGTGGTACAGTAGTAAAGGAGCAGATGGTATTTGTGCGTGCCATATCGCGCCACAAAGCTCTACGGTTGATCATGGCTTCCCTACTGGCAGGAAAGATGACTCGTCTGCAGCTAGGCGGCTTCCTTCCTCAGCAAAGCGTTCTTCCGGTCAGCTGGACAAGCATCCAGAAGACAAAGCAAAGAAGCTCTGGTGCCTGACTCTGATCGGTTTAACCTCTATGCAATGCCATGCATATCCTCAAATTAAAGAAATAATGCGTTTTCAAATACAATCTCTGATGGTTATAGGTATATCACCAGATAACTCAGAATTTCTACCGGTTCAAACACCTCCATCGCGGATGGAAACAAATTGGATGGCAGAAACAATCGTATGGTTACAGTTAAAAGGGAGAAAAAAAACATGTTGCACGGCCAAAAAACCTTCGTTTTTCATGGTTTCTGAGTACCATCTGGTTATTTAACAGTTTGCCATGGAAAATCACCATTTTATAGATGGTGTTTACCTATTAAAAATGGTGACTTTCCATGGCAAACTGTTAGTCATAACCAGAGGGTACATCCCGCACCTGCCATGGACGGCACGGCCCGGGGCAGCAACTCCAAGGCATCCAACAGGGCCTGTGCCACGGCCGAAATCATGGGGACGCTGACGGCGTTGCCGATGGCACGGTACCAGGCCATGTGTTTGTCATCGCAGTGCTCCAAACGGTAGGACTCCTGGGGGCTGGGGAATCTCGGATTCTTAGAGCTAAAGTTCTAAAGAATTTGTTGGAGGTCAACAAAGTATCGGCAAGAACGCAATGATGGTGAACAATCACAGGCACAGTCTGGGGCACACTCTGACGAGGAAAATGAGGAGGGAATGGAAAGAAAGAGAAGAGTTTGGAATCATGAAGTGAAACAATTGAAGATGTTCAACATACAGTATGCTCAACGTTCCGTGATTCTGATCATAAATCATGATGGTCTCCGGATGACGCAGTTAGACGCATACCGCACATTAGGGAGATCGCATCTGCATGTACCATACGCACCCCCACGATGGCCATGCACAGCCCAAGGCACAGGAAAGCCTTGAAGTCGAGCACATTCTCGTTGTGAAAGCATCCGTGGACGCTCCTCACCTGGTCAGAGATCTCCCTTGCAAGAAATAACCACCATCATCATCATCATCATCATCATCATCATCCCGGTCATCACCCATTATGCAACGATCATGATGCGTCATACATCAATGAGTCAGTCGACCGAATCAAAAGCCACAGCGCCTTGTGGCACAAACTGCGTGACAGCTGCAAAAGGGCCCGCACTCCTAGCAAGCACAGCGGAGGACACCGGCTGAACCATTGCTGGAAAACATGGAAAGTGTGTAAGCCAAAGTTGGGATATGTTCAGCATCCAATCCAACTATTTTTGGAACCATTGCCCTCTCCACCTTCAACATCATGCCCATGACATCAAACGACATGCATTACCACTCATGCAACAAAATCCAATAGCATAAAATACACTACCAATAATTTTAAATAACATCAAAACAAACTCAAAAACTACCTGGACATATTTAGACCATCTGAATCAGAAATTATTGGAAGTGCAGGCTCCCATCAGCTCCTGGTTGAACCATATCCACTGATCAGCGGTGCCGCAGGCTCCTGAGCATGGAACCGGCGCCTTGGGGTCTCTGCCAGACCCGTGCTTGGGACCCCCTCACCCCCGCCCCGAAGGGCGCCTCCAACACTGCCACGATATCACTGGGTTTCTCCAGGTAGACCTGCGAAGTCACCAGCTTGGACCAATACTTCTCGGAGACCTTGGTCAGAACGTGGCGCGTCTCGAAAGGATCACGGATTGGAGGGGTCAACACTGGGATGTCAGGGGCATGTTGCGGTAACCCAGAGTACCAATGGTGCCTCAACATGTTTTCACATAAATATTTGTCTTTCAAGGAAAACAGAAACAACTATATAAACATTTTTTGCCAAGGAAACTTTTTTGACATTTCTTGGCTATACTGATATATACTAATCCATTTAGCATTCTTCAGGCAGCCAATACTTTCAAATTGAAGGCGCGAACCCTGAGAACAAAAAATCGATCACATTTGAAAAACAAGTTTGTTTTTTTTGTGCAGGAGGAAACATATTGATCTTGGATGAATAACATCATATTGATCTTGTGGCAGTCTAAAAATAGTTTAATGATATGCGTGCGTGTGTTGTCACATGGACGCTTGAGAACGCTTTTCCAAAGCTCCAAAGCGTGTTCCCGATGCGCCATGTCGGGAATGTTTGAACACATTTACCTCGACAATGGTCCGGTCCTGTAGGCAAAAATCAATACCCTCTGGGTAAACAAACATAGCTATTGAAAATGGTACCTTTATAGTTGATTTACCCATAAAAAATGGTGATGTTCCATAGTTATGTAAACGTTTACCAGGGGGTAAATCACATGAAACATTTGGCCCAATTTGGCTATCCAACAGCGCTGGCACCTTGATGCCCAAGTGACAGTGAGGTATCCCTTCTGTTCTTCAGTGATTGGCTCAAGCACCTCCTGCAGCGCTGGGTGACATAAGTGAAGCCATCCCATAATGTTGTAATACCTTGTGTAATCAATACTTGCATGATGAGTATTGCCATTGTTATCGTAATTGTCCATTATCATTGTTGCTACTATAGTTAGTGCTATATCTAAGTAATGGTTGACTTAAGTAATTGCCAAACAATAGTTAATTATAGTTATAATAGATTGAGTTGACAGTGATCCATATACAAGTAAATGTCAACACATATGAACCCTTGGTGGACATGTATGAAAAATACAATGGAAAGCCTGGGAATCAGTGAGAAAACTTGAGAAAACATCATCGAACTACCATCCTGGAAATACGATTCTACTGTTTGGGGGTTGCTATTTTTTATCTGTAAGCAGACATTGTCTTAGTTGTGCATGCTATCATGTATTCGCATTGTTGTTGCTACCCGTGTCATTATACAATATTGTTGCCCTAAGTCTAGATGAGAGTTTTACTTACTCTCTCTCTCTCTCTCTCCCTCTCCATCGCCGTTACTATGCGAGTTACACTTTTACTATCGATGTTACTATCATAAATATCAACGTTATCACCATCATTCAATACAATCATTATTACTATCATTCTTAATTAATGGTGTTATATTTTTGCTAATGTTCTATCACCACTATCATTACTATAAGTATTCTTATCTAAAATCATGAGTACCAATTACAACAGTGAGTTATTACTACCATAATTATACTAACACTTTCATTATGCTATCATTAAACGATCATGATCATTATCATATCATATTAGATTATCAACAATCAATAATAATAATAATAATGTTTCTGATTGCATTGATCATGTTCCATTATCATATAGTGAAACAATGACTATCATCAATCCATTGTCATATAATTACTAATAAAGATCTGGGTAAATTGCAATCTTTCACTAACCTGAAACTTGCCATTTGGAGATGATTCCCGTTACTAAACAAATGATTCCAGTGAGATCAAAGTAAGGTCACTATACCAGAAAGGCAATTTGTTTGGCTCTACTTAGGTGGGGAAAAAATCCAGGGACCAGGCCATTGTTTGGCCTCAACATTATATTGTGGCCCTTTAATGTTTGGGGTGGGCGTATGTTTCTCAAATGTCAAAATTATTATCATATCATTATAAAGATGTAATAATGTTGGACTTATGTGATAGTGAATATGTGATATTGTAAACACATCAAAATCTTGCTGGTTGGTGGATTCAACCATCTTGAAAAACATGAGTTCGTCAATGGGAAGGATTATCCCATATATTCCATACAGTACATTATGGAAAATAAAAGCCATGTTTGAAACCACCAACCAGTATACGGTCTATACGGAAATTATATCATTACAAATAATCAGGATATATTAATTAGGGCTTTAGATATCACTAATATATCACAAATATATATTATCATCAATATATGTCATCAATATTAGCGATATATTATTTATCATCTGCTTATTTAACATAGCCATGGAAAATCACCATTTTTTAAGAACGGTAAACCATCTATTTCTATGGGCCATCTAATTATCCCATGGCAAACCGTTAAATAACGGTAAGGGTATCATCACCTATTCTTGATGTTCCCACCTCCAGGGCCCTTTTCAGCTGTGGAAGCCACGGGAAGCGAAATCCTTAGGCCCCGTTTTTGGCGAAACGTGAGGAAAACCATGGGATTTCACCAAGAAATCCCTGGAAGCACCGGCAGAGATTGCTATGGAAAATGGCTATTTATAGTGGATTTTCCCATTAAAAATGGTGATTTTCCATAGTTGTGTTAGTTTACCAGATGGCTATCCCACTGTTATCCAAGTGGCTTTCACACGCCGGCAAGTCCATGCGGATAGCGACCTGCCAAGTCGGACTTGGATGTTTGGATATGGGGTTCTTCTCTACCAATTTGGGTCCTTGCTTTGCCAAAGCAACGTTCCGTTCAATCCATGGCAGCATCACAAATGGCGAAGACTAAGGCACTGCAAGACTGAAGCTTCCATAACCCATAGGATCCATGGTGCTGCTATATATGGTAACATGGATTCCATCAATATACCCCAGTCATGTTAGCATATATGCCAGCACCATGGATTCTATGGGATAAAATAGATCAGTGGACTAGATGCTTCGTGAATGTCTTTGACAAAGGTCCAATCTCTCACGGGCCAGGTATCATGGTCTGCTGGTTTGGAGCTTCACCAAGAGTCTGCAACATCTACGGTCATAAATGGGTCATAAATGTTGACTTTTTGACGATGGGAAAACCCTACTTGGAGGATCTGTGCCCCTTAGTAACTGGCTAGGAACCCTATAGTTAGTAGGTTTGCAGTTGTGGGTTACAACTATGGTTCTGATTGACTTGTTGTTCGTGGGATGGTCCAAGCAATGCCAACCTCCAACAAATAAAATCGATGTTCCAAGGCACAAAGTAAACTCTCCGGCGCTTCTGTGGCAGAATGGATGAAGAATCCTTGGCCAATACGGTACCAGTGGCAGCACTTGACGATGAACGGTGCTGACGATGCGCAGATCACATCCCCAGATCACCACAGCCAAGGCGCAATGACTCGGTGCGCCACACGATATCCTGACTCCTCCAAGCCCTGCAGAACCTCTGCCATGACGCGACCATCGTCACCTGGACTGCTTGTGGTTTCAGCACATCTCACCATGTTCACGAATTCATGGATAGATAGCCATAGATATATCCTGTAAATGTTATTTATAAAATATGGCAAGTAGAAAAACATGAAAGCACTAAAATATACAGCGAAGGTTGACCCAAAATTGGGTTTCATCTTCCCGTTTTCAGGGATGGGAGCAAATCAGTACAGTTCAGTTATACCTCAAATACTTACATCTAACTATAACTACATCATAGCCCACTAACCACAGGCCACCAGGCGCACTGCTAGCTGCCCATTCCAACCAAGTGTCAGTTTAGGATTCCTGGCGCATTCTCCAGCAATGCGGCGAATGGCTTTCCTAGGCGCAGCACATCCCGTGCCTTGCGTGACATTGACATTACTTTATGGTACTGTACTGCATAACACTGCACTGGTTTGGTGGTTGGTGGTGGTGGTGGTGGTTTCAATAGCTGGTGGTGGTGGTGGTGGTTGGTGGTTTCAACCCATCTGAAAAATAAAAGTCAGTTGGGATTATTATTCCCAATATATAGAAAAATAAAAAATGTTCCAAAACCACCAACGAGTACTGTACAGTACAGAGTATGAACACACATTATACATCAAATACCGTTCATGTACCTGTTTTCTTGGAAGAGTTCCCCCATCTTTGAGCATTCGGTTCTATCAGAAACTGGCTTCATTTCAGGATGTCCATACGGAAATCATCGTCTGGTGTCTGGGTTCTATCTTACCCTTCAGCAAACTAAAATAAATATGGAAAATGGAAAAGCTAAAGTTTTAGTTTTTTTCATGTTTTATCACAAATAACTATTCAGACATGATAAATAAATATGTGTGTGTGTAGATTGTGAAAAGCTATGGTCTCCGCTGAATAGTTTTATCATGTTTTATCACACACTGAAGTTTCAGGCAGTGTTGTCGGATTTTCTTGGACTTTCAGTGCGCATCATCAAACTTGTTCAGTACCCTGCACGAAGGGCCCCCAGCTATCATCGATTAAAAATAACTCCATAAAAAACCATAGATACAGTATATATCCACCATATACATCCATAAACCCAACAGTTAGCCAAGTTGACAACCAAATTAGCTATCATCCATCACACATCATATAAAGAAAACAAGAACCTCTTAACTTCTTTATAATCTTTTGGTCACGTTCAGATCCCCATCGTTTTTGCCATGTGTTGATGCTTAAAACGCCACTGTTCCCGGGTAACCGGCGTTCGGGTGCCCGCCCCGAACGCCGCCGGGAGGCGGCTCCGCAGGATCCGACAGATCTGCAGAAAGAGGCGGCCACGCTGATCCGCCAAACCGCCCTGCTCGCCCAGGGTGGAGAAAGGCCTAGGCCATGAAGTGATGGTTCACTAATGGTTAATTAATGGTTATAATTCATGTTAGTGGTTTTATGATGGTTAATAATCGTCAATGAGTGATTACAATTGATTTTAATGGCTCACTAATGGTTAACTGACAGTTTTATAGTGGTGAAGAATGATGAATAGTGGCAAAAAGTGGGCGTATGACTGCCAATAATAGTGAGTAGTGTGGCAAACCCATGGCTGAAGTCCACAGCTTTTTTTTTCTGGATTGTGTGTGCCTTTGAAGGTGGGAAACTTGAACAAGACATTGGAAACGTGGCTTCTCTCCACTTGAATTTTGAGGCTTAGTAATAGCAACGTGGTGACCCACAAGTATAAGTTGGTTTGTCCGTTTCACCCATCAAAATCTATATGGATGGATGGTTAGACGGATGAATTAAGATTAAAACTAAGATTAAGATGATGAAAATGAAGATTAAGTCAGATTTACATTGAGTTTTAGACTAGACTAGAAAAGCCTAGCTAGATTTGAACAAACATACACACAAAATGATATAACCACCCTAGATACAGCTTGGCCAGCCTAGTTAGAGTACATCTTAGCCTCTTAGCTATCTACATAAATCAATGTGGGGGAATCAACTTCTGGATGTGTACGCTTGGAACTGTCTTAGTGGGGTATCAACTTGTTGGTGTCAATTCAAAACCCTCCTCCCCTGCACAAGAAGGGCTCCAATAAAAAAAAAGTCTACAACCACAAACTATGTATAGACAAATATGTATGCATATGTATGTACATGTGTGATAGATCTATATAACTATCCATCAGAAATCCAATAGTTCGCCAAGTTCACCCAACTTGCCTAGCGCTTTTTTCAGGGCTCCTACCGGCTCCTACCGGTATACCAACACAGAGAATTCCCTTGGCATCTTCGCCGGGACACTGACAAGGGAAGCCACCCACCAGCAGCTCATGGTCTGGCACCTCTTCTGCTGGCACCAGCCGGATGTCGCCCTCCAACTGGGCAGATGGCCAGTTCTCCAAATAGATGGCCCGCGCCGTGGGGTGCAGTTCCGAGGCAAAAACACACTCCTCGGTGGTCGGACATGTGGTTATGGGTCAATACCCTGGTACCCTAGGTACCCCAAAATAGCTGGCTAATGAATGGTTATTCCCCCAAATATGGTAATAATAGGTTTTGATCCATCCCCATGTGAGTGCTATATAGTGCTATCAGCTATCAGTTGGCACTTGGCACTGGTCTCAATGGAATCCACATTGAAAGACATATAGAACTAATTTCTCCCTATCAACTCATTGGCACTTCAGGTTATCACCTCAGCTTCACACATTTCTGACTAATCCATACTAATCCACCTTCTCAAACACCAGCCTCCCCAGCTCCCCCCAACCCCTGAGTCATGTTGAGTTTCTCCTCCCAACCGCTCCAGGGCCAACCGAAATCCCCCGATCCCTGCGAAGAGCTCCGCGAAGCGAAAGGCGCCACGAGCTTCAGCTCGGCACGGCTGGGCGTCCTCAAGGCGGATGGAACCCCTCCATTTTTCACAGAAAAAGATAGTGAAAAGATGTGAAAAGTGTTGAAGACCCAGAACCGTAGAGATCACCAACCACAACATTCCCACAAAAGGAAGCTTCGAGGCACCTTTTGGGTTTGGATCTGCTGGTAGAGCTTCATGAGTTCAGGTTCCATGCTGGACTCCTGTTGTGCAGGCCTCAGGGGCGTAAAAACCCTGGAGGATTTGTAGCATTTTGTAGCCCGCTGATGGGCACATCTGCAGGGGAACTACTTCCGAGAGTTGTTCTGAGTTCTGACTTTTGATGCTTGGGGAGGGCTTGGTCGGTGTGTTCACTGAATTAAAGGGGGCTACAAAACCGTTGGAACCGCAGATCGCGCAGAACCAGAAGGGGCAAACCCTCATCAGAATATGATCCCTCAGCAAATTTGGTGGACGCCCCAAGTGAAGTGCAATAAGTCCAAGTACCCCAAAGTGCTGTGGAACCATGATCAATGGTTTCATGGCAAAAGGAGTCCCACAAACACCCACATGCTGACTGTGACTGTTAAACCTGGTCCCATGGAATGACAAACACGTGTGACTTCAAAAGGAGATACAATACTTTCACTATCCTTCATTCAAGCATCATCCTAAACCATCCAACCTCCGGGATCCCATGGTTGTCCATGGTTCAACCTTGCCTCTATACACCTGACTGAATGGCCATCCCACCTGAGCTTTCTTCAGTTCCCAAGGCACAAGGGTGCCATGGGGCCTACCCTCGAGACCGCTGGAGGACATGGATGAAGATCATCCGGTTCCTTGGGTCCGCATCCAGCCCCAGATGGCCTGAATTCACCAAGACATCTGGATGATTTTCATGCCGAACCATGAGCCATCTGTTGGTTTCAACACATAGGCATAGAATCTAGCATAGAATGTTTTTTAACTTACCAAAACACTTCAGCCGCTTTAAACATGGTTGGGTTCCACTGGTGGAAGGGGGTTCCCAGAAATGGCTTCTGACAATCATGCCCGAAAAAGTAGAATGCTCATTTCCGGTTTAGGTGCCCCTATCAACCCAAAAGAAAACCTTCCAGGCATTTTGTTGTTTCAAAACAAGTTAAAACATGAAAAACATGACATCCATAAAGCCCTAATACATGCAAGTTCTGCTGGTTGATACCCTCACTGCCCCAGAAAACATAGAGTCCAGTACCAGCCAAATCTCTCACAGAAGATGATTGATGACCAAAACTCTGGTTTCCTTACAGAGTTTCCTTAAAACAATCCATTGATGTTGTCTGAATGGTTTAAGCATGGTGAATTCCAATTTTGTATGCTGAAATCCCATGGTCTCAATGGTAAAAAATTACCCATTGAGACCATGGATTCCTCTGAAAATAGTGTACCCCATGGCACCTCTAAACCCAATGGTTCATCATCATGTTCCCATTTCCATTGCAGACGATTTTCCGGAGAGGTTTCGCATTGGCTTTCCCACATCTCATTATTGCTTTCCCCTAAAACAACTCCCCATTTCATGCTTCAATCATCTGTCTGGGTAAATTATAATATTTCACTAACCTGAATTAAGGCCATTTGGGGATGATTCCCCTTACTAACCATGGTTCCAGTGAGGTCGCAGTGAGGTCGTTATAATTTACCCAGATCTATCCCACTTTTAGATGCTAATCATCTAAAAACCACCTGGTTTCCCAATTTTAGAGGGTGAACTCAGTGAACTCCGCATTTTCTATGACTTTTTGAGCCCAAAAAAAGTCCCATCCGCCGGCCATTTCCAGGCCACAGGCAGCGGCTGGAAATGGGGCTCCAGCTGGGCCACCTCCAAGAGCTGCCGCAGTGCGGGGTCTCCTCGGAGTTCATGGGATGTTTCATGGGAGTTCATGGGGAGTTGAATGGGAAATGACCAGGAAAATGGGATTTTTCATGGGATGTTTCATGGGATGTCATCTTTTGTGCCGATTTTCCGGCAAACAAAGATCGGAACATTCGGAAAATGACCATTTTAATAGGTAAATCATCTGTAAATGGACCATTTTCCATAGCTATAAGTGCGTTTACTGGATGGTAAGCCCTTCTGTAAACGTCTGGATGTGGAAAAGCCGCCATGCATGTAGATCATGTTCCGAAGAAGAAACCATTCGTCATATATGTATGTCTATGTTGGTTTACCATAGCCCATAGGATCCATGTATGGTATATATGCTAACATGACTGGGGTATATTGATGGTAAATGTTACCATATATAGCATACATGGATCCTATAGGATAGGGTAACCAACAAATTTTCGAGAAATAACCCAAGAAAAATGGATCGTTTAAGATAATCACAGGGTCCCAAACAGATGGCAATCGCCAAGAAAAAACTGCTCAAATCGCCACGGCCAGTCCTGGATCAGGATGAGTCTCTAGCAAGTTCTTCCTTGGGCAAACAAGGATTCCACTTGACATCCAGAACAAGCCGGCAGAACATCTCATGTTGTTGCTTAGGACAGAGGGTGATATGATGGCAAAATCAATTGAAACAAGCACCAACTATCATCGAATGCTACCAGCGGGGAAGGAACTAGCAATTGTACCAATGGTTGATCTAGAATCTACAGTACCTTTACGCTCCGCGACACCACTGGGAGCATCACACTGTGGATGAGGCCGAAAATCGAATTCAAAAAAAGCTTGGAATCGAATTTAAAAAAGGATTAAATTCGAATTTAATTCCTACGTGTCTGGTCTTCATCGACCTTAAAAAAGGATTAAATTCGAATTTAATTCCTACGTGTCTGCTCTTCATCTGACCTTCAAGAAGGAATTAAATTCAAATTTAATTCCTGTCATGGACGGATTTTGACGGGAATTTCAGACATGGAAATCTTGAGAAGAAGGCTGTCACACTTCTGTGCGTGTCATCCTTGCGGGTCCATGGAAATCTTTGCAAGGCGCATCAAACTCACACGGGCGACTAAGGAGAACTTACGGCTTAAAATTCTGGAGGTGAAGGGGGCATCTTGTGTCGGGGACCCCTGCAATAGTATTAAGGGGGCCTCACCTGGCCTCGCCAGACCGCGAAAAGTTCACAAAGCGGGCCCCCGGCCCTCTCAGACCTTCTGCCAGAAGAATGACATCTGAGAAAAGGATTAAACTCGATTTTAATTCTTCTGATACATGCCCAGTAGGTTGGAAACTAGAGAAGAATTAAATTCAGATTTAATCCCAATTGAATTTGATTTCCAGTCCTATTTATGTTTTCATTGGCCCCTCTAGCCCTTCCTAGGCTTCACCATTCACCGACATCGTGGGTGGGGGGGTGTGTAACCGAAACTAACCGATCTGCAGGTAAACTGTAATAATTCACTAATCTGAAACAAGGCTACATCTTGATAATTCCCACTAATAGCCATGATTCCAGTGAGGTAACAGTGAAGTCACTAGAATTTACCCAGAAACTATCTGTGTGCTGCTTTGATCCCAGTTGCATCCCCATATGTTTATTGTTTCATGGCCGATTTTTGTGGGTTAAATCCTAAATGATCCTAAATGTCTGGTGGTGAGACCGTCAGACTCCCATTTTTGTTTGGTTAAACCACCATGTTTGGCGTGTTACATCCCAATTGGTGGTACATATCACCACCCATCATCACTTCTACTCAACGGAATCAAACGTCCTTCTCCCAATCTTTCAACATTGGCAAAATGTGTCCAATCTCAGTGAGGCAATGCCATGAATCAATATAAATCACACATATTCTGTGGTTTATTATACCCACCAAAATAAAGATGGCAACATCATGTGTTTTTTTGGTGGTGGATCATTATTATACCCACAAAAAATGGTAAAATCAGGGGTTGGTGTGTGGTTTTTTGGCGGGTCCTATTGTTTTACTAACCAGGGATATCCTGCCATGTTTCATCTTCAGATCCAGGGGAGTCGGCAGCTCAATGGCCCTCAAGGCTTGCTCCGAGGAATCCCGGTAGTCCACTTGGTAGACCTCGGGGTGGAACCGTTCTCAGAGATGTCCCGTGGTAAAGATTCGTAAATTGAAGATATAATGAGATCATGTGGGAAAGATGGCAAAGATAAGTCTTATCTGATAAGATATCATGTAGTAAATCCATGTAAATCCAAGGTTGAAACCCAATTGCAGAAGGTTTTGAACCTAGAAGTGCACAATGGCACAATTGCCGCAGGTTTGTTTATTAAAAAACAAAACATTTAAAACATCGGAATCCGTTTTATGCCACAAACTTGGCATGGCTCAAGGGGTGCCCCACCTCCTTCATGGCAATTCCGCTTTGTAACTGGTCATCAACCAGGTGCAACACCCAAGTTCCAAACAGTCAGAGTGTTGACCCATCATTGGCCAATCTTAGGTAACCCTGCAATTCCTTCAGCTTCGAGAGCATATTAAAACATGTGTGGATATTGAAGGTTATATGATGTTATATAGTTATATATGATTATAAATGTTATATGGCAAGAAAAAGTCAAGGATTTCCATCCCCGTAACTAACAATGACCCCCAGAAAAGCCAATTTGAAGGGAAAGCAATCTTCCAACCCCCAAGCAGCAGGGCAGTTGGACCCAGCACCGTCCAGACTAAGGATCGCACACCTTTGTTGCAAGCTTGCCTTGGCACGAGCAACGGCATTATTTCACTGACATTTCTGGCTGTGGTACGTCCTAAAAAACGGCATTCACCACCCAATTGAAACCAATGTGTGGCTGTTTGCATAGGGACAATTATGGGAAAATGATGGTTCACCAGTTCACCAGTGGATGGAATGGGGCGCACTGTTTTCAGACAAACCGTGACAAACCCAAACAATCATGCAGTGACACAGCATTGCACTGCATGGACATCGGACTTCTCATCTGGTTGGGTGTAGAAACACCTTGTGGCTCTGGGGCTTGACATCCAACGTTGCGGGTTATCGCCTGAAACAGCATCACCCTTCCGGACACCGTTGATAGGACTGTACCCGGTACTCTTTGGTATACATGGTTTATATCTCCTTTCTTTCAACGTCTATCATAGTGAGTCAGCGTATCCATTTGGGAAGATCCCACATATCATAATATCGCCACTTTTATTTTTTGCTTAGACGTCCTCTACGTAACAAATTACCAGAGGGTATATCCCATTCATAATCCATTAAATTTCATTAAATCACTATAAAGTCCCATTAAACCGCAATAAACACACTCCCAACGGTTCCGTCCGGTGGGACAAAATGGCCTCGCAAGGGTGGCGTCTTGGCCAAGAGCAGCTTGCCCCAGCGCGGCTCCCAGGCATTCAAGACCTGTGGTGTCGTGGTGTCCCCCTGGTGATCCCTAAGTCCTCGATTCATGGGTGATCCAAGATTTTCTGAACTCCATGGATCCTCAGCCTTGGAAAACCCTGCCTTTAGAGCCTCTGAGACGTAGGACTTGGGCACCAGCAGCGCAGCAATTTCGCCACGCTCCGAGCGCATCACCCGCTGCAACCTGGAAGCCTGGAAGCCTAGCTCCGATTCTGACTACAGATGTCTACTTGGGGATTGGTCAAAAGCATTACTGGTTGGTGGTTTTAACCCGTCTGAAAGATATTAGTCAGTTGGGATGATTATGCCCAATATATTATGGAAAAAATAAAAAAATGTTCCAAACCACCAACCACATTATATATTATATGATATAATAAATATGAATGATTATGAATAGAATCTGGGTCAAAAGCTGGATTTTCATCTCCTCATGGGTTTTGACCCACAGCCAAATCGAAAGCCATTTGATATTCTGCGCCACCCTGCTGTGTTATATAATTTGTCTCCCGACTTCTGAAGGCAGCGAGAGCCAAAATGATGACGTTGCAAACTTAAAACATTGCAGGAGAGATGTGAATCCTTCAATTTCTGTTCAACTTGGACACATCCCAGATCTCACAACAGTTCCACGGCTGTCAAACTGCTAGGACGCTTTGCTTGGGCATGCATGACCCTTGAACAAGCCGAATGAGGTCTCCGAACTGTAAACCAACAGAGGTTCGGGGAGCCTGGTGCGTCATAAATAACACCCTTTTAAGACACCCTTGGAGCCTGTCCCCAGCATGGCCCGTTGTGCGTTAATGGGGCGCACCCTGGTGCCAGCCAATCGACGACATCGCTCATCCACATCCATGGTGGACCAGCTCTTCTCTTGAATGCTTTGGACCTAAAGCTGGGTGTTCACTTTTTTTGGCCGAGTCAGCTGACATCAATGGATTGATTTAAGGGAACAATTTTTTGGGAAAGCGTGATTTTACCAACCAAAAAAAAACGGGTGAACTTTTCCCCTAGACCAAGTCAAGGATGATGAAGAGGCAAATCATACATGCATGGGAGAGAGAGAGAGAGAGATAGATATCATATATATATATATACGTATATCTTATATACATATTGTACCATCATTTGCATTCATTTGCTACATAAATCACCCAACTGTTGTAAATATGGACCATATTGGACCATATTGGACCATACATGAATATACACTGTACAATTTGCGATGCATGGATGGTATGGATGATTTTGTCGACATCCCACGGCGGTTCTGGGCTCCATGGCCAGCTCGTCAATGTCCTTCTCCTTGTTCTTTTCCCACATGGGGACCTTGGGGGCTTAACACCCAAAAAGAGACAACAATTGAGGATCTATCGTTGTAGTAGGGTATAGGGGATACCAATGGCACACACACACACAATCTTTCAACAACTGCCGACTTCAAGCTCGAGAAACCACCTAGATGGCGTTGCTGGGCTTGTTCAACCCTAAACCAACGATTTAAATCCATTCAAATCGTTAGTGTCTATTAATTTTAAGTATTCCCAAAAGATTGATATATACTGTAAATATAATTTAAATATTCCCCCCAAGCATAGATCCAGACTGGAAGATTGCCTGTATCAAATGACTTCTGAAGCTTGGTATTGGTCAGCTTGCCAAATATGGGACATATCAGCATCTTTGTAGTCCATCAAAAAAACTTCCATCCAAATGCGGGGTACTTTTAAAATCGTTTGAACATCCACCCACCTAAGACCTAAATTGAGGCAATCTGATGGGTAATCTTTGTGAAGTTGAGTTTGTTCATTTTCGTTCCCCTTCTGAAACATCTTTTAAACATAATTTTCGCTGAGGTCCTGATCAACGGCTCTTGCGCCAGGAAATCTGAGCATCCAGCACACTTGGCAAAGGCCATCTCCAGCTCTTGCCCAGTGCAAGTGGGAAAATTGAGTTCTGCAGGTAAGGTGCCTTCCACAATGAGAGCTGGGGGTTTGGATTGCTGGGATCTTTCAACAACTGTCGATTCCAGCCTTCGGACTCTGTAGGCCATGCGCCACTGAGATCCTACCAACCTGATGATGTCTCAGTGCCTCCACGCAAGATGGTCTGCAACATCTCGTGCCCCTTCTCCTTCACCAAGTTTGCTAGTGGCCGAGCCCCCAACACGCATCGTGAGGCGTTTGAAATCATCCCCCAATAGGAATGGGATACGGAAAACCAGCCAAAAATCAGGTCGGCCCCGAATGGTGGATAAGATGGTCGATTGAGGGCAAAGGAATTTCTCATATTATATTATTCCGACAAGACACGCGAGTCACGACCTACTGTGGTGGTTGGTACAACAGCCACAGTTTAACAAAAGGAACTTCTCATAAAACAGTCTTTTTGCTTACTTACATCATGAAACAAGGAAGAAAAGAACTAGACGACGGATGGCCCGAGAGCGTAGAGGAGCAGGGTCTTCTCTCGTTAGTATGGAGACACAATTTTAGAAACAATATATGAAAGATGTGTTATAGGCAGTCGAGAAGAGGAGTATCAAGACAAAATAGTGAGAAGTGCAAGACAATAGTTTGCATCGCAAACACTTTTACACACAGAAGCTTTTACACACAGAAGCTTTTACACACAAAAGCTTTCACACACAGAAGCTTTTACAGACAGACGCTTTCACACACAAAGGCTTTCACACACAAAAGCTTTTACAGACAGACACTTTCACACACAGAAGCTTTTACATACAGAAGCTTTTACACACAGACGCTTTTACACAGATACTTTTACACACAGACACGTTTACACACAGACACTTTTGCACACAGACCCTTTTACACACAGGAGCTGCTTTTACACACAAACGCTTGTACACACAGAAGCTTTTACACATAGACGCTTTTACACACAGGCACTTTTACATACAAACACTTTTACACACAAACACTTTTACACACAGACGCTTTACACACAGACGGTTTTACATACAGACGGTTTTACACACAAGCGCTTTTACACACAATCACTTGTACACACAGACGCTTTTACACAGAGGCCGTCCCATGTACTCACAGCGAAGCCATCGTTGTTTTGGCCACCTCAGCAATCCGACGGGGTGGTGTGGCGAAGTCCTATTTCCATGTGACTCGAAACCAGCATCTATAAACATGTCATGAGGGCTATGTGCTTTGGGGCCCCCCAACCAAGGTGGTTTGCCATCCCCTGAAAAAAGTATAAACGGGCGGACCTGGCAGGCGGCGAACGTTTCTGGGCTGGGACACACACAGTATTACAATATGACATAAGTTGGTTCTTTTTGGGTTTAGGGTCCTGATTCCTGACTGTGACTGGAATTGAAACTCTTATGTTAACACTCATACATCCATCTCTATATATTAACACTCATACATCCTTCTCTATTTCATATTGCTATTCCTATCTCAATATAAAATATATCGATTTGTCTCTTTGTGGTAGCAGCCTGCCTATCCATGTAATCCATCCCATCTCGGGGCCCTGACTCCATGCAAACCTAGCTGCACAGACCAACTTTGGAATCGCCGGGAAGTTAGGAGGTTATAACGTAGGTTATAACTCTGTAAGTTTTTGATAACATAGGTTATAACCAGCTAAAAATTCACGTAACCTCATAACTTTATGCTAACTTCATGTTTTTTCTATGAGTTATAACTTATTTAGGAGGTTATAACTAAGTTAGCATGTTGGAACGGAAAGTTAGGAATATGTTAGGATGAAGTTAGGAAGTTAAGTTTTTATGTAAAAATGATAGGTGAAGCGTCACGGCATCATTTCAATCCCCAAAGGTTGCGCACATAGATTACGTTGTTTGCTGCAATTTTCCTCTATCAAGGGAACCTGGTTGCTGCATGGTTTTTGCACCTGTCTTTTAGCTGCGGCATGGCAGCGGCGCTTGAAAAGCACATTCTGGCATCCCAGAAATTTCTGGGAACAGTGAGACATTTGCCTTCTTTCGCAGAGGCAAGAGATAAGCAAGTGGAGAATGTGTTGAAGAAGATGAGCAAATCGCCGCTTTCCGTGGAGCAGGCTGCGGCCCTGGTGGAGCGCTTGGATTCTTCCATATGGGGCTCCCATGTGGATGCTCTGAAGTCTGCAGTGGTGTTGGAGGATGCATTAGAAAAAAAGAATACACCATTGCAAGATTACTTGTCTCTTCCCCACTATCTGACCACGGGCCTGTGGAAATCTTTGTCCGAAGATACGAGAGGGGTGGCCTTGGAGAAGCTGTGCAAGCATTGCAAGCTCTTGGGCTTAACGAATGCATCCGAAGCCAGTCAGGCGATGATACTTCTTTTGGTCTTTGATTTAGATGGCAAAATGCTGGGCACGCAACAGTGGCAAGTTACCTTGCGGGAGAAAGGGAATTTGCAGAAATATTTGAAACAGCCAGCTGCGCAATCTCAGCTGCCTCATTTGCTTCTCTTGCCGCAGTCCCGAGAGGAATGTCCGGCGGAGCTGTTGACACGAGCCTTTGGGAACAACTTGCCTGTTCCATGCCAGTGGCCATACGAGGATCTTTTGAGACGCGCCAGGGATTGGCCCATGCGCTCTTCGCACAGGTTAGCGCAAAGCTCTACAGCAGAAACTGTTCCTGTGGGCCCAAGTGCATTAACCCATGCCGGAGGATCAGAGATGATGCAGCAAATGGGAAGTTTCGTTGCTGGTTTCTTGCAGGTGCAGAAGCCATCGGAGGAGTTGGCGCTTCGTGGCTTCAGGCTATCTTCGAAAACAGGTTCGCAGCCGGAGCCTCCAGTGGTCACGGTTCCGGTCTTGGCTTTGGAAGACAAGAAAGAGGAGGAAGCTGTGACTGTGTCACCCGCAGCTGAAGTGCAGCAGGAAAGCGGCGACGCAGCTCCGACCGGGAAAGGAGCTGTTGCTGCGACGTTGGCGGCTTTGCAGGCTGATGTGCAGCCAGAAGGAAAGAGCTTGAAGGCAGCGCAGAAATCCGGGCTGAGAAAGCCAGCAGCAATTGTCCAAAAAAGCTTGATGAAGCGACCTGCAGCATGTTTGCGTCGTCCCGCTGCTGCAGCTGTGCCGAAAGCGGAGGAGGGTGAGTCGCGCGACGCGCGACGAGAGAGGCTGATCAAAGAAAGGGTGCCAAAGGCAATGCAACACAAGTACCGTGGCGGTTGCAGCAAGTCGGAAGGGTTGCACTTTGTCCTGCTGGACCTATCGCGGCTACAACATGAAAGAGTAGGTGAAAGACATGCGGCTGGGGTGAAAAAAGCGTTTGGTTTATCTGGTGGAATTTATCTAGATTTTGCAGGTGCTATCATGACAGAGTTCGTACTCATGGTTCGATACGTTTGGCATACTTGGATTTTGTTTCATGTTTGCAGCCGTGTTGGGCTACTTCGAACAGGGAGGGCACGCGCGGCTGACGGAGCCGACGTGGAGGCCGGGCGGGAGTGGTTGCATGCATTCTTGTGTGCGTGCGTATATCTGTGGGCATCGTGATATTGTAACATGTCTGAAATGCATATAGATAAATATACTAAATGGAATATTGCGTCCATGGCGCTGTGGCTTCGCGTTGCGCTATCGCGTCTTTGCGCTGCGGAGACGCATACGTGGACATAGGGCCTCCTACGTGGAGACAACCTTCTCCTACGTGGAGGATGGCAGACGTGTCCTATATGTGTGGACACATGTCTCCTACGTGGAGACAAAGTCCTCCTACGCGGAGGATAGCAGCCGCGTCCCACGTGGACACAAGGTCTCCAACGTGGAGACAAAGTCCTCCTACGCGGAGGATGGCAGCCGTGTCCTACGTGGACACACTGTCTCCTATGTGGAGACAAAGTCCTCCTACGCGGAGGATTGCATGCAGCCGCGTCCCACGTGGACACAAGGTCTCCTACGTGGAGACAAAGTCCTCCTACGCGGAGGAGAGCAGCCGCGTCCCATGTGGACACAAGGTCTCCTACGTGGAGACAAACTCCTCCTACGCGGAGGAGAGCAGCCGCGTCCCACGTGGACACAAGGTCTCCTACGTGGAGACACACTCTTCCTACGCGGAGGAGAGCAGCCGCGTCCCACGTGGACACACTGTCTCCTACGTGGAGACAAACTCCGACGCGGAGGATAGCGGCCGCGTCCTACGTGGACGAAAGATTTCTTACCTGGAGACAAAGTCCTTCCACGCGGAGGATCGCATCCGCGTCCCACGTGGGCACTGGAGACAGACGCCTCCTATACGGAGGATGCTATGTCCTATATGACAAAAGCTCTCCTTCGTGGAGTGTGATGAGTTCCGAAGTGGAAACACGAGACTTGCTGTTCTGGCGGTGTTGCTCTGCTTCGTCTGTACTATGTAGGAGTTTATATATATATGTATATAGCATAGACGTATGAACGCATGCATGTATGCAGATATCTGCAGAACTTGTAACTCTCTTTATATATATGTATGTTTCCCAACTATACAAGATGCACTTTCATCCTCGCATTCATGTCGGAATTGTTCTGCAGGTCACCATGGCGGGCGGCGGCAAGAGCGTCAGGTCGCCCTTCTCCGTGGCGCGCAAGGAGCCAAGTGCGTCCAGAGAGGACTCTTCCTCTGAGGAAGCCGTCTCTGAACCGGCAGAGGCGTCCAGGCCGGGCTCGAAAGAAAGGGGTCGCAAGCGTTCCCACGCGGAACATGGCCGAAGTGCCAGAGCCAGGCGACACAACCGGGACCCAAGCCATTCGTACGTGCAAAGGAACCTGAGGAGGAAGCAGCGAAGGGAGGGCGAAAGAAAGCACAGACGGCATAGGCGAACGCATCGCAGCAGGCGGGGCAGAAGCGCGACACCAGACAAGCGCCGACGCAGCGCAAGTTCTGGACGGGGTGCAAACGCGGCCAGGCCGCCAGAACCTTCGACTGGACCATCGAAGACTGGAACCAAAAAATGCCCACATTGTTGGGCCGAGGTGACAGTGCAGCCAAGTGGGCGCGCTCAGCACCAGTGGAGCAACCGAACCTGCTTGCAATGGCAATTTTACAACGAAATGGACGCCGAGGTGAAGAAACAAAATGAGACAATGGCTTGGAACAAGGCCAAGGAAGCAGCGGCCGTGCTCTACGAGAGGAGGCGATGTGTGGCAGCCCCGCACGCAATCGAAGACGAGATGCCTCATGTGCCGTTGCCGCCCCTGGTGCTGCGCAGCCGCTCCTCGATTCGCGCCAAGGCGGCTCCTGCTGAGATGGAAGAGGTCGCCGTGGAAGAAGAAGCGGAAGGACCACAGCGACCTGTGAGGTTTGGACACGGTCAGGCGTCGGCTGCTTCTGGATCTACGGGATCCAAGGGACAGGGTCACGGCCCAACCCCCGAGCCGCCTGCTGGGAAGACTGAGACACCTGGCTCGAGCCAGAAGCAGCAAATCGTGATCAATATCACGAGTTCCTGAGCTGCCGGCGCTGCTGCGAAGATATAGAGACCACCCGCTGTGACCGAAGCGAAGAAAAAGGGTGTCATGGGTACGGTTGGTTTTGGGTAAAGGAGGGAGCTGCCGTGTTTTTTCTTTCGGCATTGGAAGTCGTTGGTACATACATGTTATCCTATAACACCGGAATGCTAAATCGCTCCATGCCTTCCATGAATCTCTTGACAAGTTGTGTCTCTGCAGACTTTGGACAAAGGGCTCAATTCTGCGTTGCATCTCCCGGAGCTATAGACATGGCGCACACGACAATTTTGGAGGCTTCTGCGTCTTGCCGACAGGATGCCACATTCCGGGTACCTGTGCCCAAACTACGCTCCTTGCGAGTGCAAGTGCAAAACCTCTTGGACCTGCCGCACGCTGCTTCGTATAATTCGAAGTGGTCGATTCTTTGTGATGATCTGTGCCAAATCCTGACCGGTCTGGAAATGCACTGCAGGTTGCGAGGTGGACCAGAGAACAAGGAAGTCCAGATCCTTCGCCTGAAAAGTCTGCTCAGTGTGGTCTGTCATTGGCCACACAATTGGGAGAAGTTGGACGACGAAGATTATTTTCGTATCCTCTGCCGGCAAACGGATTGGACTGCTGATTCCTGGTGGCGCTGGACTACCCGTTTAGCCGAGGAGACGGTGCCCTCCCAAGAGGAGAAATACGCGAGCGCGGCGGAGCACTTACAGGCTCTGACACGCATCAGAGATCTGCCGGAAGCCTCGTGGATTTGGTCGGCCGTAGAAGAGCTGCAGCTGCTGGATCGGAAGGAAAACAAGAGCGAGCTGCCGATGGAGGCGTGTGTTTGAGCCATTTGTCGTTGTCCGCGGTTTGTCCGCGGTTGTCCGCGGTTGTCCGCGGATGGAACCTTTGCGGCAACTTGTCCGCGCGCCGGAGATGTCCGCGGAGAGAAAAGCAATAGAGAAGGGTTGGGGGTGTTGGTTCCATGTGCTTTTGTCCTGTGTCCGCGTCTTGTCCGCAGTCTCACGCGTGAGGAAATGTTGGTTGGACTTTGTCCGCGGCTTCATAGCCGAAACATTGCATTTTCATATATGTTTGTGACCTTTTGGGTAGGCTCAGGTGGCGAAATCTTTTGCTAGCTGCTAGGTGTCCGCCGCTGTTTTCCACTTGGTTGCGCTGCCATGGCGGAGCCGACGCCTGCTGCTGTATCTGCGCAGAGCTGCTGCTGCCTGTGCGGGCTGTGGTACGCAGATGACAGCGGTCGCCAACACGGGTATAAATTCACATGTCTCGCATGTGGCAATGCGGACAGACAGCTCCGGCGAAACCTCGGAAACAAAAGTGAAGTGGAGCAGTTACCTCATGAAGACCAATTGCAATTCTTTCGACGGCTGCAAGAGGAGAAGAAACAAGGAGGCAAAAAATTGCCTTGGAAGACCGTGAAAGCGCAACTGATCGCGATGGTGACCACCAGGCATATCACAACTGTAACAGCGTTGACGTCTGTGGAAACTGAGGAGTTACCTTTGTCCGTGTGGGTCACGCAGGGGTGGGAAAAGGAAGTCATCGAGAATTGCCCGCGCGAGTGGAGTGCGGAGCTCAAGACATACTTATACAAAGTCCCAATCAAGAAATCTCTCTGGCGAGAGACACATGAGCGCATCAGTGAGCGCATCCTACGCCAGGAGCGTGAAGCTGCCAAGGCCAAGTGCAAAAAAGGCAAAGGGGCTGCATCAGATGGAGAGCTTGACTTACCAGAAGCGGGACCTGGGACGGAGCAAGGCAGCAATACGAAGAAGGAAGAAAAGTCGGCAGAGGCAGCTTTGCGGAAGACGAAGGCCAGCAACGCGAAGAAGAATATGGTCGCAGCCAAGAGCATTGGTCAGCTGAGTAACGACCTGCAAGCATTGAGCAGAGCCGTCTCCAAAGCAGTGGATATCCCTGAAGAGATTAACGCCGCTGCAAAGGAGTCTTTGGAAACCTTGGAAAGCTGGGTAGCGGCTGCCAAAGCGATCCTGCAGCAGGCAGAGGGCCAGAGCGCCAAGGCTGGGGATGTGGAGCTGCCTGCGCTTCCCTTTGAGACCGGAGACGTGAGGACGTTGCATCAGACGTGCTTGGAGGTGATCAAGAACTTGAAAACGCGCATTCCAGCACCGAAGGCAAAGGCAGCCACAAAGCGCAAGGAGACTGCTGACTCTGAAACTGCAAATGGCCAAGCTGACCCAAAGGCTGCGCCCAAGAGGAGAGTCCGTGCCAAGGCCTCCTGAGCCTGATTGGGATCATGTCAAGGGCATGATATGGAAGCTGCAAGGGTACGATCGTGTTGCTTCATAGCCGTTAAAATTAACGTCGAAGCCATATAGTAGACACGATCGGGAGGTGAAAGCAAGTGGGGGCAAAAAACGCGCTTTTGTCTGTTGAGTCTATGTCACATTCTGCATGCTCTGAACGTTTCCATGGTCATGTTAACCGTATCGAAACATCACTTGATGGTGTGCTTATAAGTATATAATATATATATATGTAGTTGTTTTCAAGAGACTGCTTGGAAAGCCATTTTGTGCCTTGTCTTGTCGTTTTACAGACTGATGGCTCAAACTAAAATGCCGCAGGGTGGTTCTCTGAAAGCCCTAGAAGGCTTCCACATTACCCGTGACACGCTGCGCCTCTACCATAAGAAAAAAAATGTGGGCCGCTTTTATGACATAGCTGTGATGCTGAAGCAAAGTCGTGCAGCGGAGAGTGCCGCGCACAGTGGGTTGGCAAGCAAGGCCGCGAAGAAAGAGGATACTACGTGTATCAAAGCAAAGAGCCCAGAAATCCCAGTCTCATCCCAAGTGGACGTCGTGCCTGCTTCTGCCGTGTCATCTCTGACACAGTCTAATCTAGATCGACGAAACCGCAGATAGGATATGCTCGTTTCGAGTACCAGTTCAGATATCTGTGTGAAAAAATGGTGGCCGGCTTCCGGAAGACACTATGAGGAAACAAGCAAGATAACACAGACATATTCTGCTATATATAATCTACGTATCTCTCTCTCTCTCTCTTTCTCTCTCTCTCTCTCTTTCTCTCTTTCCTTTGATGATATCTATATATATATAGTAGATAATATCATATGAGGGACAAAGAAGAGACGCCTGAAAACCCTTTATAACACACAAGACTCTATGTCACGTGGACGAAAAAGTCAAGTTTCCAAGTCGAAAGCATGCTACTATAAAACAGCGCCCAAATGAAAAACATGATGTATATACATATATATATATGCTCATATATATACACATATATATATATGTGTATATGTCTACATATAAATGCATATATATATATATGTAGGGGGATGCAAGTCTGGATGGATTCCGGGGGGGCTTCTTCGAAGCTGAAAAGATGAATTTTGCCACTTAGAAGCTCTTAGAAGCAGAAGGGTTCCAAGAAGCTAAACATACAATTTAAATCAAAACGAAAACTTATCTTCTAAGAAGGCCTCTCCTTCTAAGAGGCTGCTTCTAAGAAGCAAAACCCTTCTAAGAAGCCCATGCAGCTTCTAAGTGCTTCCGCGAAGCAAAAAACGCATCCATCCCGCGTTCCCACCAGAACTGCGTCCCCTTAGATTGGGCCCTCAATATATATATATATAGAGAGAGAGAGAGAGATCCTCGCATATATATCTATGTATACATATGCATCGTGCAAACACGTTGCAAAAAACATATGCGAAGCAAATCTCCCATCCCACTATCTGTGATTGCGGAACCGCATCTATCATAGCCATTTTGGCTAAAGCGTGCCCAAAGCAATGAAGATGGTGACAAAGAAAAGGAAAGTCTTGGATGGGACTCATGCTGAACAATTTGCCGCATTGCGCCAAGTGTCCGAATTGACGCCAGCTGCATGTCGCAAAGTCATTGGTGTCTTACATGAAGGGCAAGGAAAACGAACATGTGCCAGGCGGCAACACTCTCATGCTGCGTCGTTCCCATGCCTCCGAAGTCTCAGCGTGCCTGGAACAGAAGACGCCACGGCAATCAAGGTTCCATGCATGAGTTTACCTGCTTTGATAGAAGCCAAAGTGCAGGCGTGCCCACTGTACAAAGAATCATTGCGCAGGGCGTGCCAGAAGCATCAAGGCCAGCTGACTCTCCTATGCTACGCGGATGAAGTGACTGGCGGAAATGTGCTAAGTGCACCGCAAGCCCGCAAAGCGAACCTAGTGTATCTGAGCTGGTTAGAATGTCCCTTGCTACACTTGGAATCGCAATGGTTGACAGCAAGTGTCTGTCGCAGTGCGGATATTGCAAGAATGCGAGGTGGTATGGCTGGCCTGGTGACGTCGTTGCTTAGCTTCATCAAAGATGAATGCAAGCACGGTTTCCCAATCGCTTGGGGGTCCGAAGACGTCGACCTGATCCGCATCAAAGAAACGTATCTCTTAGCTGATGCCGAAGCTATTCGGAGCGCCAGTGGCTGGAAGGGTTCAGCAGGGGTGAAACCATGCATCCATTGTCTCAATGTCTGTGCGCTCGGCAAGGCGACCGGAGCCGAAGCGCACGTGGATATATCCTCATGTGACATTGCCCGCTTCTGGCCGCAGACATCAGATAGCATTGCAGAAGCTGCAGGCCTCTTGAACAATGCGAGAACAATTTCTGAGAAAAAACTTTTGGAGAAGGCCTTATAGGTTGGAACTGGGACAACTTTCAAGCTGGACCTCTTTTGTCTCCGCAGCTGAAAGATTGGGTGAAGATTGAGAATGTGCTGTACGACAGCATGCACATTTTCTTCCACAATGGCCAAATTAGTCAAATGTTAGGTCAATGGTGGACGTTGCTGCAAACGGAAACTAACATTACTTTGAGAGAGCTGCAGCGCTATGCAGAATTGTGGTTGCCAGTACAGGGAAGTCCAGCCGCTTGTGGTCCGAAACCAGCTGCTTATTTTTCCGAAAGGCTATGGAGGAAAGATGCAGACTTCAGAGGCGACGCAGATGCCGCAGCTGCAGCGTTGTCGCTGGTGGTGGCTTTTTGCGAAGAGATTCTTTGGTCGCAAGAGCCCCTTCGACCCTACATCGAAGCTTTGCAAAGTTTGCAAAATCTCATTGTCTGCGTTTGGGCTTGCAAAGTCTGCCCCTCCCACGCAACCAAACTTTCGGAGCTGCAGAAGAAACACTTCCAAAAATATAAAGAGGCATGGTCGTCCGAATCGATGCGGCCCAAATGGCACTATGGGTTGCATTTAGAAGCACAAATCCGTCGATGCGGCATTTTGCTGGACGCATTCACCCTGGAAAGGAAACACAATTTTTTTAAAAAATTAACGACTGGAAACTGGGGCTTTGCGCCAAGCTTTTCTGAATCCGCGCTGTTGGAATTATCCACAGCAGATCTGCAAGAAGGCCACGCGCCAAATTGGTTGGACGCAGCGTTGCTGGGCCCCACCGCACTTCAAAATTTTCCTGGTCTCAGTAATCCATGTCAAACAAGCACAAGCTTGGTGTTGAAAGGTGTGAAGTACGTAAAACATCAATATGTGATCCTCACTCCTACATGTGCTTGCCAAGTGCAAGCCGCAGTACAAACTGCTGACCAGAAGTTTTTTCTACTGGTGGAAATGTTGAAGCCAATTCAATCGCAGCCAGCCTACAGAAATCGTTGGCAAAGACAACACAAAGCCTGCGCACTCGTCAATTCGAATGACTTGAATAAAAGCATTCGAGTCATGTACTATAGAGTAGAAGATGACTGTAGCGTGTCTCTGCTTTCCTGAAAAAGGTTCCGCGCCTGCAAGACATTTATGAATAACAATGTTATACATAAAACCTATCAAAAAAAGTTAGGAAAAGTTATATTGGCTAAAACGAAGTTAAAGAGAACTTAACATTACCTCAACTTTACCCAGTTACAACCTCTTAACTTCCCGGTGAATCCAAAGAACAACTATATGCGCAAAAGGAATCGGCAGCTTTATTCATCTTCGATGGAGTCTCAGCCCGTTCTGCTTGACGCACGCCGATGCACTGTGGTGAGACAGGATGCACTATGGTGAAACTGAATGTCTCAAGCAAAGATGCGTGCATCAGCAAGTCTCAGACAGTTTACACACAAACACTTTTACACACAGAAGCTTTTACACACAATCACGTTTAAACAGATGCAATTTTACATGCAATCACTTTTACACACAAACTTCTTTACACAGAAACACTCGTACACACAAACCGGTTTACACACAAAGACTTTTACACACAGAAGGTTTTACACACAACACTTTTACACAGATGCACTTGTACACACAAACACTTTTACACACAAACATCTTTACACAGAAACGCTCGTACACACAAACCCCTTTTCGTGCGAAAGGGTTACTCCAGCACACGAAAAATCGCAATTTTACCTCAGTTTTTGCCGATCGACCCTCATTTCGTGCGAAAGCGTTGCTCCGGCACAAGTCAAATCGCAATTTTACCTCAGTTTTTGCCGATCGACCCCTCATTTCGTGCGAAAGGGTTGCTCCGGCACACGAAAAATCGCAATTTTACCTCAGTTTTTGCCGATCGACCCGCATTTCGTGCGAAAGGGTTGCTCCGGCACACGAAAATCGCAATTTTACCTCAGTTTTTGCCGATCGACCCTCATTTCGTGCGAAAGGGTTGCTCCAGGACAAGTCAAATCGCAATTTTACCTCAGTTTTTGCCGATCGACCCTCATTTCGTGCGAAAGGGTTGCTCCAGGACAAGTCAAATCGCAATTTTACCTCAGTTTTTGCCGATCGACCTTCATTTCGTGCGAAAGGGTTGCTCCAGGACAAGTCAAATCGCAATTTTACCTCAGTTTTTGCCGATCGACCCTCATTTCGTGCGAAAGGGTTGCTCCGGGAAGTCAAATCGCAATTTTACCTCAGTTTTTGCCGATCGACCCTCATTTCGTGCGAAAGGGTTGCTCCAGGACAAGTCAAATCGCAATTTTACCTCAGTTTTTGCCGATCGACCCTCATTTCGTGCGAAAAGGTTGACGTTTCGTGACTCGCCGCCGGCACCACCCTCGGCCTTAAGAGAGAAAGATAAAAAGAAGGCGTGAGAGAGAAGGTGAGCAGGTGTGAAGATAAGAAGATGTGAAGATGAGCAGATGTGAAGATGAGCAGATGTGAAGATGAGCAGGTGTGAAGATGAGCAGGTGTGAAGATAAGCAGATGTGAAGATGAGCAGATGTAAAGATGAGCAGATGTGAAGATGAGCAGATGTGAAGATGAGCAGATGTGAAGATGAGCAGATGTGAAGATGAGCAGATGTGAAGATGAGCATATGTGAAGATGAGCAGATGTGAAGATGAGCAGATGTGAAGATGGGAAGGTGTGAAGATGAGCAGATGTGAAGATGAGAAGATGTGAAGATGGGAAGGTGTGAAGATGAGCAGATGTGAAGATGAGCAGATGTGAAGATGAGAAGATGTGAAGATGGGAAGGTGTGAAGATGAGCAGATGTGAAGATGGGAAGGTGTGAAGATGCGCAGATGTGAAGATGAGAGGATGTGAAGATGAGAGGATGTAAAGATGAAAAGATGTGAGGATGAGAGGATGTGAAGATGAGATGTGAAGATGAGAGGATGTGAAGATGAGAGGATGTGAAGATGAGAGGATGTGAAGATGAAAAGATGTGAAGATGATGAGAAGATGTGAAGATGAGAGAATGTGAAGATGAGATGTGAAGATGAGAAGATGTTTTACAGACCCCCACTATTGGAAGAACCCTGCGCCCAGACGCTCTCGGGAAAAACATTAACAACTCAAGCAAACTTATCAAAGAACCACAGCGCAGAGAAGTGTCAGAGCATCCCCCAAAAACACCTATCCACACGACTGCTCCCACTAAATCCACACTAGCACCTTCTATGATGCTACCCCTCTGCGGCGGCTGCTCATCATCCCCCGCCTCGGGCAATTCCGGGCGGCGAGACGAACTGGACGGCGATGCCGCACCAGTGGTGCCAGATTCCTGTGCAGATATGTCGTCGAAAAGCCTTTTCATCACTGCGTCCCTGACTCCGCTTGACGGCAAGCCAATCTCTTGTGCAATGACACGAAGATCTTCAACCTTCAGCGCCTTGAGCTGCGTCCAAAGTCCCTTTGTGCCACCGCTTTGCACGACACAGCGCAACCGTGTAACAGATTCTTGCACTTCGATCTTTGCACAAACCCGGCTTGCGAACTCTTCCTTCAAGCGACTCCCCTCCACGGACATCCCCAGCTCAGAAGCTAAAGCCTTCAATGCATTGATCCCCAGTTTGCGCACCTGGCGCCGGAAGGGATCAACTCCTCCCTCTGTCAAGCCTTGTTGCAACTCTCGGAGCTTCTCGGACATATCCGGTTGAAGCGAACCCAGAGTAACAACTTATAGAGGCCAAGCGCGATACGAATCTCGAACCAAAAGCTGCGCCGACCAGCTTCATGCTTTGACGAACAAACGGAAGACAAGCTTGCAGTTGGAACTCGCAAAATCATGCGGTTTTGCAAAGAAATGTGATGCTAAAGTGTTACCCATTACCCACTAACTCCACAACCCCAAAATGAGTGAATCCCAGTGTAACCTCATTAATCCATTCAAATCTCTTTGGGGGTAAAATGAAACATGCCTACTAAACATGCCAAACAAACAAGTCAGGATTTCTTAACACTCGCCGGCAAGACCTGCACATGACAGAGATGACCGGATAACAAACATGCCAAACAATCAATGGGGCAAGAAATCAAAACATGTAAGCCAGGCCTGAAACATGACAGGGGTGACCGGAAAATAAGCATGCGAAACAACCTCATTAATCCATTCATATCTCTTTGGGGGTAAAATTAAACATGCCAACTAAACATGCCAAACAAACAAGTCAGGATTTCTTAACACTCGCCGGCAAGACCTGCGCATGACAGAGATGACCGGATAACAAACATGCCAAACAATCAATGGGGCAAGAAATCAAAACATGTAAGCCAGGCCTGAAACATGACAGGGGTGACCGGAAAATAAGCATGCGAAACAACCTCATTAATCCATTCATATCTCTTTGGGGGCAAAATTAAACATGCCTACTAAACATGCCAAACAAACAAGTCAGGATTTCTTAACACTCGCCGGCAAGACCTGCGCATGACAGAGATGACCGGATAACAAACATGCCAAACAATCAATGGGGCAAGAAATCAAAACATGTAAGCCAGGCCTGAAACATGACAGGGGTGACCGGAAAATAAGCATGCGAAACCATAAACAAGTCAAGCAAACATGCACACATCTGCGCGAAAGAAGATCTGGACACAAACCCTTTTAGACACAGACACTTCTACACAGATGCACTTCTACACGGAAACACTTTTACACACAAACATCTTTACACAGAAACACTCTTACACACAAACCCTTTTACAAAGAGACACTTTTACACACAAAAGCTTTGACACACAATTGCTTTTACTCAGATGCACTTGTACACACGAACACTTTTACACACAAACATCTTTACACCGAAACACTCCAACACACTTTACACACAAAGACTTTTACACACAGAAGGTTTTACACACAACACTTTTACACAGATGCACTTGTACACACAAACACTTTTACACACAAACATCTCTACACAGAAACGCTCGTACACATAAACCTCTTTGCGTGCGAGAAAGTTACTCCAGCACACGAAAAATCGCAATTTTACCTCCGTTTTTGCCGATCGACCCTCATTTCGTGCGAAAGGGTTGCTCCGGCACACGAAAAATCGCAATTTTACCTCAGGTTTTGCTACACAGAAGCACTTCTACACGGAAACACTTTTACACACAAACATCTTTACACGGAAACACTCTTATGCGAAAGGGTTGCTCCAGGACAAGTCAAATCGCAATTTTACCTCAGTTTTTGCCGATCGACCCTCATTTCGTGCGAAAGGGTTGACGTTTCGTGACTCACCGCCGGTGCCACCCTCGGCCTAAAGAGAGAAAGATAAAGAAGGCGAGAGAGAGAAAAAGGAGAGAGAGAGAGAGGAGAGAGAGAAGATGTGAAGATGAGCAGATGTGAAGATGAGCCAGATGTGAAGATGTGAAGATGAGCAGATGTGAAGATGAGCAGATGTGAAGATGAGCAGATGTGAAGATGAGCAGATGTGAAGATGAGCAGATGTGAAGATGTGAAGATGAGGTGTGAAGATGAGCAGATGTGAAGAGAAGATGTGAAGATGAGCAGATGTGAAGAGCAGATGTGAAGATGAGCAGATGTGAAGATGAGCAGATGTGAAGAATGTGAAGATGAGCAGATGTGAAGATGAGCAGGTGTGAAGATGAGCGATGTGAAGGTGAGCAGATGTGAAGATGAGCAGGTGTGAAGATGAGCAGGTGTGAAGATGAGTTGGTGTGAAGATGAGCAGATGTGAAGATGAGCAGATGTGAAGATGAGCAGATGTGAAGATGAGCAGATGTGAAGATGAGAAGGTGTGAAGATGAGAGGATGTGAAGATGAGCAGATGTGAAGATGAGCAGATGTGAAGATGAGAGGATGTGAAGATGAGAGGATGTGAAGATGAGCAGATGTGAAGATGAGAGGATGTGAAGATGAGATGTGAAGATGAGATGTGAAGATGAGAAGATGTTTTACAGACCCCCACTATTGGAAGAACCCTGCGCTCAGACGCTCTCGGGAAAAATTGAAAGGGACTCTCAGCTGGAGATGCATCGTGCCATAGAGTTTCATTCAAAACCCACGGCGCCATGGACCTGGCAACCACGCTGAAACCCACGACAGACCATACCAAATCTATCCAGACCACACGCCCACACAGGGGGGTGTTGCAGTATATGCATTATAATTATAAGATCTTATAAGTTGGTTTTGAAGAAATTGCTCTGATAAAGAAACTTCACCGTGGGCTACCCAGTAACCCACCAACCATCGCCACTGATCATCACATTTGCGCGGTAGATGGCCTGTGGATGATGCTGGATGGAAGGGATAGCCTCTAAAAAACATGGGCTTAAAAATCTCCCAGTTGTAGATGATTTTCCCCCATTTCTAGGGGATTTCTCCATGGAATTTTCCCATTTCCCAGCCACGTTGCACTAGCGGCAAACCCCTCCTGCGTGCGGGCGTGCTTCATCAGGGCATTGGCGATGGGCGCCTGAGCAGGGCATCCCGGATTCGGTTTGTTTGGGGATTTTCGTGGGTAAACCAAGAATAAACCATCCAAAAAAGGGTAGTATTAACCATCCAAAAAATGGGTGGCTTATTTATCATTATATATCTGGTTGGTGGTTGAGCCACCCCTCTGAAAAATGATGGAGTTCGTCAGTTGGGATTCCTATTCCCAATTTATGGAAAAACAAAAAATGTTCCAAACCACCAACCAGAATAATAAACCATCCCCCAGTCATCACCATAAATAGGTGGGATTGAAACCACTCCCAGTCATGGTTGGTTTATGACATTGTTTTACCCACATTACAGCATATTTGAAACCATAGAATGGAGGTGTTGAATCTTAAAGGGATGGGGATGGGATTAGTTTAAAGCTGACAATGCGAAATCGACCTTCCGTAAGTACCATATGCACACTGGACAATGGATGTTCACTCTCAAAATTGGGACCATATAAACATATTGCCGCGGCATGCTGTTTGGAGCATAGCTCAATGCGTCATTTCTATTTGGTTTTGATTTCCAATTGATGGTACCGTTCCAAAACCCTGGTGGGCAGAATCAGGATCACAATGGAATTTTAGGGATGGAAACCACAGTTGAAACGATGAACTACACCCAAAGACTATCCAAGGCATACTCAGACTTTAAGGAAAATCATGACCTCCATGAATTGAGGTCTCAAGAACAAATCGCTAGTTCAAGTTGAAAGTTCAAGTTGAAACCTTTAGTTAAACTTCCAAATCAAATGTCTTTTCAGCCATCAAGCAGACAAATCCAATGATGATCTCCAGAAACCATCAGAAGTCATCGTTCCCAGACGGTCTGGCTCCCGCACAATGCGATGCTGAATCGGCGGATCCTTCTCGGCAGGCATCTCAGCCTTTGGTCGATTCAGGCAGAGACCAGGTCCTTGTTACCCTCTGGTAAATTAACAGTTCGACCCTGGCAGTCATCAGGGTTGGAAGATTAGTGAAACCAATAAAACTAGGCTATAAAATCAGGGTCCAACTGTTAATTTACCAGAGGGTAAGGCTAAGGGATGTTCAAGTGTGATGTTTTCCGGGATGGTAGTGGAAAGCAAACTTAAGCCATTTGACAGTCCGCCAGTCGGTTAGTTCCGACGACTGGATACTTGGAGGATCATCCCACTTAGTATATAAGTGGTTAATAACCCTTTTTCCCCACCTGCCAGGTGAGGGTTGTTAGATTTTATCAGAGCTGTTCTCCTCCTCCTCACCCGCCGCCTCCTCCTCGCAGTCCAGATCCCAGTGGGCACAGCCGGACCTCCACCGCGAGCTCCAGATCCCAGTGGGCACTGCCGGACCTCAACCGCGAGTTGCAGATGGGCACTGCCGGACCTCAACCGCGACTTCCAGGTCGCAGTGGGCACTGCCGGACCTCAACCGCGACTTCCAGATCGCAGTGGGCACTGCCGGACCTCAACCGCGACTTCCAGATCGCAGTGGGCACTGCCGGACCTCAACGGCCAGATAGAATGCCAGAAGATATGCCAGATGGAATGTCAGATAGAATGCCAGAAGATATGTCAGATAGAATGCCAGAAGATATGCCAGATAGAATGCCAGAAGATATGTCAGATAGAATGCCAGAAGATATGCCAGATAGAATGCCAGAAGATTTGCCAGATAGAATGCCAGAAGATATGCCAGAAGATATGCCAGAATGTATAAATGTCATGGTGGGGATCACACGAAGTAAAGTAATTTTAGTAAATCCCCTAGGTGGATCATTACATTTAATATCATTTAAATGGGAACTTACCCCAGTTACTAGCCACTTACTATGTGAGAAAGTCAACCAGCCAACCCCAACCGGTGCAACTGAGCCACGGCCATGGGAAGCCCTCGTCAAAGCGCACGAAAACGCCAGTTGTGGATAGGAAGCCCCAAGAAAGGATAAAACGAATACACTTAAAAGTAGAATCCTACTCAATTAATTAGTCACTTAGTGCTAAAATGATTCTACTGAAAAACTGTCACTTGGAATCACATCAAAAGGTCCAGCCATAAACCTCACTGTCTCACTCTTTCGACCTGAAGATTCGGACAGTCAAAACATCAACTAACCCCAACCCGAAATGCCCTGGCTGTAACCCACCAAAGCAGTAAAATTGCAGTTTCAAGTTGGAAACTCATCATCCAATTCCCTGCAGAATTCCACATCGGATTTTACTGCTTCAATCCATGACATGATCCCCGCCCGCTCCCGAATAGCAATCTTTAAGGCAGGAAGGGCCACCCCAGATAAGTTGGTTTGAGCATAACTTGGCTACAAACATTGGCACATAGCAGTAGAACATCCCCCAAAAAAATTCCCCCATTTCTAAGGATTCTAGTTGATATAATTATGTTGATATATAGTTGATTAAGACCTCCATATATTAGAGGATTTCCTAGCTTAAGCCACGGCACGCAGAACACCCATAACTTGGCACCTCGGGATCAACCACGCTGCAGCCGTAAAACCCCCCCGGCCACGCGCTTGGTGATCCCTGGAGCGCAGCTTGGCGGAGCTTGGAGACTTGGAACTGCACTGGTTTCAAACAGAGAGAAACAATATGAACTGGTTAATATATGTTCATTATATGGTTCATATGCTGTTAATATGAATGGTTCATATAAATGGTTGATGATGGATAATGATGGATAATGATGGTTAATAATATGAACTGCTTGGTGGTTGAGCCACCCCTCTGAAAAATATGATATAGTGAGTTGGGATGATTATTCCCAATATAATATATGGAAGATGGAAAATAAAAAAATGTTCCAAACCATCAACCAGATAATGTGGGTAAAACAATGATATATAAACCACCCATCTTTGGGAATGGTTTATATCACCTATTTATGGTGATGACTGGGGGATGGTTTACCCACATGATACTGAATAAGTGTGTAAATTACTCTTCTATCCTTTTGTGGGGTTACAATACTGATCTGCTTTTATGACAACTGAATAGGTGGTACTGCACCTTTGTGCCACGTAGCACGGCTTAGCATCCATCATTGATTTGATTCAATTAAATGGTAAAGGAGCGATGAACACACTTGTCTTGAAGACGATTTGGTGACCTTTTTGAGGAAAACAACTATTAATTTAGCTTTGGCGAAACTCCATGTCATTGCTCTATCCATTACTCAACAAATTGAAGCACAAGCGGGTGGATAAAACACGGCAATCAGATGGACATGGGGCATGTCCCGCTCAAATCTCTGGTGCTACAACCTGGCTAGAATGTCACCATATCCAATCGCGAAAGCATTCTGAAACTGGCTAGTTTGCCGTGTGGGTTTGTCTGAAAAGGCAGCCAAACATTCAAAATACGGCTTCAAGACATTATTTGCAAAATAGTCCAAAATATGAAATTGCTATATTATATAGATCATATATAGATTGTGAATACTACATTAATCTATGATGATGTCCGCATTGAAATCGCGGTTATTTCGGTATATCCCCACTGATCACTGGCCGCAGTCCGGCCTCGCTCCCCAGATGCGCCCCGAGGCTGGAGCCAAAGGACGATGAGTTGATCATTGAGAGGATGGTCCAAATGACGTCCAAATATCAAATGACTATTATATATTCATATATATATATATTCATATAGCAGTATAGTTGATGATGAATCATGTCCAAACACTCTGGCTGGAATGGATTGGAATGGTGGATCAAACTGCAAATGACTTCAAACGTGGCAGGTTTCGTGAACAGCGATGTCAGAAGAACAATTTCAACGAATAGGCAATGGTTCTTCCCTTGTTCCCTCCATCCATTGGGTGATAATGCCACTTTGACCCCAACAAATCACCATCATTGTGGTCCTGGATTCTGCCCTGGCCCCATGCCCCAGAATCCCTAGGTGGGCATTGTCCAAAACCACGTTTTTTTTTGGGTGGACATCTCGAAAGAGTGCACGCCAAAAAATGTGAGCTTCCTCCCTCAGGATTAGATATTTTTCGATCACAATCGACGTGGCATAACGTCGCCCTCGAGTTGACCAAACACACCGTCACAACAAGAGACCAAAAAAAAGGAATTGAGTAGCAGCGACATATTTGCTAAACAGTTCACTGATTCACAGTTCAATCTGCAAAAGAAAGGATCAATGCAGCAGCTGGCAGCGATGTTCATTCCCCAAGCTGATCCAGTGGCTACTGAGGCAGCAAAGCCTGAGCCAGGTCAGCTGCGGACATGGCACTGGTGATGCGACAAGGGATCCACAGAGCGCTACAAGAGCTTACATATGCATATACAAACACACGGATAATCATATCATATAGTAGTTATTATATAGTTATTATATAATAGTTATTATATAATAACTAGTTTATAATAGCTATTTTAGAATAGATGATAATCTTATATTTACATATGCATTATTATATAATAACTATATATATAACCATATACGATACACAATGTACAATCATTGAAAACCCTTCAATTTCACTCCAGGAATTGCCCCTGGCAGCACCCAGCTACCCTTGAAAAACATTGCAAAACCAAGCGGCTGAGCGGTCAAGGCTCTGCTAAAATCCGCGACCCCAGGGGGACATCTTCCACGCGAAAATCACACTGGTGAGAACCATCAAAACTCCAACCTCAGGTGGGTACGGGTCAAAAGTTAATGAACCAACAACTCTGGTCAGCTTTACTATAGTATCACACCATACTGGTTGGGTGTAGCAAACTGAGACATTGGCATGGGCAATGTCAAGCCCTGGGCGAAAGCGCCATGAATACCTCTAAGGTGTCTAGAAGATGAATTTCATTGAATTTCCTATAGAATAATGTGGGGGGGGGTCCTAAAATGGGGGATCCTCAAAACCATGGGTTTCATTCAATACTAAAATGGTCTATATAATTTGGTACCACCATTTTAGGAGACCTCCATACAAGATATTGCCACTTGCAACCGGCTCCTTCAGCATCTCAGGTATTGAGAGCTCGGACAAAAGCTGCCGAAATGTGCCCCTTCCATTGAATCACAAGGAGTCAGTCGCCCTCTACCAGCTAAGCTTTCACACATGCATAAAAAAGTCCTGATATGTCCTGATGTCTCAATATGATCAATATGTGAATTTTGTATAATTTTGTTGGGGAATTGCCCGACATCTTGGGGACGAACGAATGGAATTAAGTCCGCATGTTTCAGCGCCAACAAGGCCAGGTCCAGCAGCCAATACCACCAAGTAGTTCCATTCCGATGGACTCAGAAAATTCTTGCCTTGACCTGACCGGGGTTCCAAACCGCTTGCTTCAAGCCGATTCTAATGACCCAAGCAAGATCTGTCTAGCCAAACGGATGATTTCAAAACATATTTATTTATCGAAGGAAGTTTGGAAGTCAAACTTCCGACAATATGGAGAGATGAAAAAGCAGTCAGCAGGGAGAAGAGTCAGAAGAGAAACGATCAGAAGAAAGAAGATGCAGGTGCGCGAAAAGGTAGGAAAGTCGCGAAACACTGTGTTTTTTCGTTGTTTTGTGGCTCCGGAGGGTTGAAAAGTAGGCTCGCTAAAGCGGCGGGTGCGGAGACATCTGGGGAGATGAGAGATGAAAAGTTGCACGCCGTTGTGGCGCGAAGCACATTTGGAAGTAAAATGTGTTAAAAACTGAGGGGTTCGGACCACTTTTGGAAGTTGAGATGTTGAAAAAGTGCACGCCGTTGTGGCGCGAAGCACATTTCGAAGTCAAAATGTACGAAACAACCAGGTCCGGACCACTTTTGGAAGTTGAGATGTCGAAAAAGTGCACGCCGTTGTGGTGCGAAGCACATTTCGAAGTCAAAATGTACAAAACACACCATTGTCGGACAACTTTTGGAAGTTGAGATGTCGAAAAAGTGCACGCCGTTGTGGCGCGAAGCACATTTCGAAGTCAAAATGTGCAAAACACTACATGTTCGCGCCACTTTTGGAGGTTCAGATGTCGAAAAAGTGCACGCCGTTGTGGCGCGAAGCACATTTCGAAGTCAAAATGTTAAAAGCAGCAGGGGTTCGGACCACTTTTGGAGGTTCAGATGTCGCTTCTTCACTACACTACACATTACACTACACTACACTCCACTACACTACAACTACAACTACACAACTACACTCCACTACAATACACTCCACTACACTCCACTACACTAAATTACACTACACTACACTACATTACACTACACTCCACTACACTACATTACATTACACTACACTACCTTCCACTACACTTCACTACATTACACTACACTCCACTACACTACAACTACAACTACGACTACACAACTACACTCCACTACACGAAATTACACTACACTACACTACATTACACTACACTACTTTACACTGAATGACACTGCACCACAGATAGACAGGTAGATAGATAGATAGATAGATAGGTAGGTAGGTAGGTAGGTAGATAGTCAGAGAAAGAGAGAGAAATAGTGAGAGAGATCAATCACCTTTCGCTCCATCAGTGGCTTCGCTCTGCCATCCCTGATTCACGACAAACAGCCTCTCCTATAGGTTTCCTATTTTTGAAACTTCCGCCACCGCCTTGCGCGGTACTACTGGTATATATATATATCGATAACTCGCTAGGTCAAATCTACCACAACATCAGCGGAACCTAATATAGGATGTGGATAAGTGATATCTGACAATATCTGACAATATCTGACATATCTATAACATAATAAACGCCACTAATCATACAGAAACTATACGGGACTTCCCCAAAAGTAGGATACTTAGAACACCTGGCGCAGGCCTTCTGCTCCGGCACGGTTTTCCCAGAAGGCCCACCAAGCAGGCGCTGAGGGCTCCTGGGAGAACCCTTTCCATACTGGACTTTGTTGGCCAATCCTATAGGAAATAAAAGTGGTATAATATGCATATATATATATATTAGATAAGATTAGGTAAGATCAGATAAGATTAGATACGATTAGATAAGATTAGATTAGATTAGATAGATAGATTATGCCATTGATAAATCTCACTATGCTTGGATATGTGTATATATATATATTATGTCCAGTGTATTAGCTGATTATGTATCTCTTGTTTAAATTTACAATAGGATTGTTGTATATCTGTAATTATTGTACTTATATCAAATATTTGTTTTATGTTTTATGATTGTAGTCCCCAACAATTGGATCAGTGATGTAGGTAGATGTATGCTGGAGCCTATGGGAGTGAGATTTGATCCCTGCTCAAAAAAACTTTGTCAATTACTGTATGGGATATGGCTACCATCCATCCAGTCAACCTTCAAGGAAGAAATGGGATAGTGATCCATCTCTGGGATTAATCACTCCAACCATATCCAACCCATAGCTGCCATGGCTGTTCCGTTCCCCACTCCTTCTTGACCTTCCTTGCCCTCTGCTTTGGAGCTTCTGCTTCTTGCTTCTTAACCTCCAAGGATTCTGCCGTGTTCGATACTCCATTCTGTCTATGTTCTCCTGCTGGTATCTATTGGTATCTACTACATATGTGTGATATGTGTTTATTTATTATATATAATGATGTTGACTGTTCACCAGCCTGTAGTAGCTACTCTTACCTTGTAAATCACTACATCCAGCATCGCTCGAGCACAATCCACAACTCACCTGCTGAAAACGCTTCTGGAAAGCTGCTTCATAATCCTCCGGGGAAAAGCGAGGCACGGGAATTGCTTGGTTCCATTGGGCAGTTCTGCAATGGATTGATACCATTTCAGACCTGACTTGGTGAAAGAAATGATTCGCAAATGGGGCACCACCACCACTTGCAAAGGGTTTGCGCTAGGCGTGAGATATGCATAGCATATGTATTGTTGGTTGTGTTCTGCGTGTTTCATAGACCTTGGTCGTCAATACTTGGGTACCCCAAGTTATTGTCTGATCCTCCACTAATGCCCCAACTTTCTGGCCGCCGGGGTCTGGATTATGATGTGTTTATATAGGTAATATATAATTATATATATAGGCACAGAAATTAAATATTATTGTAATGATACATTGGTCCAACTCATCATCGATATGTTGACCTCATATTTTAACCCATCCCCATCGACCTATCCTCTCCTGTACCTCCCCATCAGCACCACCCGTTGGCATGGCAAATAGCTGCCCTCTCAACAGCGCTCGACTGGACAGGGTCCAAGCAGCGCAGAAAACTGCCTGCAGGGCTGTGCTGCGACACCGCGACCGCATCAATGTGGACATGGCCAGGAACTGATCGCAGTGAAGCTGGGGGCGAGTTTTTGAAAAAGACAGCAGAAAACAATCATGTACAAATGATTACAAATGCATAGCCTGATGTTGCCTTCATTTCTTTTTTTGCGAATTGGGGTGGGGTCTGGACTCACATACTGCCAGAAACTGTGATGATGATTCTCTGTTGGGAGGGGCCAGGTTTTTATCGGAGTCTTTATCTTCAAAAAAGACATGGCAAGTCTGACACCCGAATAATTACGTGTTAAACTGTTAAAACAAACACGTGCTCATCTGCTGCGGAAGTTCCTTTACACTGCGGGTTGCGCATCTCACCCTGTTGTGGTTCCATGGTTCAAATCATGTTCTCTGCATTTCTGGCGAATTTTCTGGACCATCCAAGACAAACAAAGGCTTGCAGAATTACCCCCAAACCATCCGAAACACATAAAGTTTCTTGAGCCAAACGTCACTGGGCAGTCATTCCACCTTTGCTGGTGGAGATACGGTGATGCATCGCGACCGGAAATTGGGAACAACCAGCAGGTAGAAAACACAAAAATTATCAGCCTTTGGTAGTTATATTTATGATTATTTATGTATCTTCTGAGCATGGGAATGATAAACCCATGAGCATCCACAATTTGTAGATATACTCCTGTATGTCCCATGGGTTATTCTGTTCCGTTGCTGTTATAGATTGCCAGTGAATACTTTTCAAGTCGACTTCTCCGCATCCTTCACTCCCAATATTGGTTTCAAGAGGTTAAAATCAATCTATAAGAAACCCCTATGTTTTGGATGTAAAGAACCAGGGTGTCGGTGTCCCTTAGACTTTCCATATTGAACCAATCCATTGTTTGGATTCTTGGTGAAATATGGTTGAATCCAAGATGGTTCTCTTCGTTATTTCCCCCCTTCCAATCGCCATCAATCCCAACAAGTTTCGCGCAGAATCTTTTGCTCAGACTCTTCCGCTGGAATCTTCACGTCCACAGATCTGATGCTGAAGCTCACCCTCGCCTTGCTGTCTGAAGGGCGAGGAATGGGTGTTTTTGGACCTGTTTTTTCTGGAAAGTGGATGAAAGTGGCCCATTTGTTTTGATATTTTTGATGGTTTACTGTTAGAAAACGGTGATTTTCCATATTATAGCTATGTTAGTTTACTGCAGGGTCTTCCCGAAAGTTGCGGCTGGAAATGATCCCAAAGCAGACTGGAGAACTACAGGCCCGGCACATCCCGGCATTCACTGGTTCATCATCTTCACATAGATCTTCACTATTGCAGTAAGGTGGGTAAACCAATGTCATGTTTACCACCCCCCCAGTCATCACCATAGAGGTGGTATAAATAAACCATTCCCAGTCATGGGTGGTAAAACTATGTAAAAATGACATCGTTTTATATACCCATATTAAAGGGAATGTCAATGAATGTGCATCCCACAAATTATAGGACCGGGTAACCCCACATGTTACCAACTTTTCTAGACTTAGACTGAGCACAGAAAAGCAAGAAGGGAAGAGGAAGTATAAGAGTGATGGAGGGGTGATGGTGGGTGAGTTTGTGTGTGTGTGTATGCATGTGCATGCGCAGATGAGTGAATGAGAATGTGAGTGAGTGATGTGGGTGTGGCGTGTGTGTGTGTGTGTGAGTGAGTGAGTGAGTGAGTGAGTGAGTGAGTGAGTGAGTGAGTGAGTGAGTGATGGTGTGAGTGAGGTGGGTGAGTGAAGGTGAGTGGGTGAGTGAGTGTGTGTGTGAGTGAGTGAGTGAGTGAGTGAGTGAGTGAGTGAGTGAGTGAGTGAGTGAGTGAGTGAGTGAGTGAGTGAGTGAGTGAGTGAGTGAGTGAGTGAGTGAGTGAGTGAGTGAGTGAGTGAGTGAGTGAGTTGGGGCGTACATCAGACCCCTTGGCAATGCACATTGTCCCACGCCTGCCACGCAAAAGAGGCGGAGCCCCAAGGGACGCCAGGGCGTACATCAGACCCCTTGGCAATGCACATTGCCCCACGCCTGCCACGCAAAAGAGGCGGAGCCCCAAGGGACGCCAGGGCGTACATCCAACCCCTTGGCAGTGCAGATTGTCCCACGCCTGCCACGCAAAAGCGGCGGAGCCCCAAGGGACGCCAGGGCGTACATCCGACCCCTTGGCAGTGCACATTGTCCCACGCCTGCCACGCAAAAGCGGCGGAGCCCGAGGGACGCCAGGGCGTACATCCGACCCCTTGGCAGTGCACATTGTCCCACGCCGGCCACGCAAAAGAGGCGGAGCCCGAGGGACGCCAGGGCGTACATCCGACCCCTTGGCAGTGCACATTGTCCCACGCCTGCCACGCAAAAGAGGCGGAGCCCAAGGGACGCCAGGGCGTACATCCGACCCCTTTGGAGTGCACATTGTCCCACGCCTGCCACGCAAAAGAGGCGGAGCCCAAGGGACGCCAGGGCGTACATCCGACCCCTTGGCAGTGCACATTGTCCCACGCCTGCCACGCAGGCGTGAGTGAGTGAGTGAGTGAGTGGGTGAGTGAGTGAGTAAGTGAGTGAGTGGGTCAGTGAGTGAGTGGGTGGGTAAGCGAGTGAGTGAGTGAGTGAGGGAGGGAGGGAGGGAGTGAGTGAGTGAGTGACTGACTGAGTGGGTGAGTGAGTGAGTGAGTGAGTGTGTGTGAGTGTGAGTGAGTGAGTGAGTGAGTGAGTGAGTGAGTGAGTGAGTGAGAGAGGAGGACGGGAGGCGGAGGAGGAAGGCGGATACAGAACTAAAAACAAAAACCCCACACGTCAATGTTGGGAATGGGTGAGTGAGTGAGTGTGAGTGGGCGGGTAAGCGAGTGAGTGAGTGAGGGAGTGAGTGAGGGAGTGAGTGAGTGAGTGAGTGAGTGAGTGAGAGTGAGTGTGAGTGTAAGTGTGAGTGAGAGTGAGAGTGAGAGTGAGAGTGAGTGAGTGAGAGAGGAGGACTGGAGGCGGAGGAGGAAGGCGGATACAGAACTAAAAACAAAAACCTCACACGTCAATGTGGGGAAAAACTTGTATTTCTAGGTCTATTGATCCATATAGCCATATCATGCCATACTATTGTTACCCACATGATATTTGACGATATCGGCCATTATTAATCACTATTAACCATTATTAACCATTATCAACCATTATCAACCACTATTAACCATTATTAACCATTAACGATTGTATTACTATCCCATTAATATTAATTAAGTATTATGAACCATTATTATATAACCATTCTTGTTTTACACACATGATTCACATGATGACCGTCTTTTGCCAGGTGGCCCGCGTCAGCAAATAATGGATGGCCTCAGGCACCGTTGAATCGAACGGCTCCGGCGGCGCGCCGCCGGAGTCGTTCGCCACCTGAAATGCCCCAAGCAGCGGGGGGCGAAAGTCGCCCAACAAATGGGATGCAGTATGACAATGTATCCCATAGGATCCATGTATGCTATATATGGTAACATTTACCATCAATATACCCCAAATGTTAGCATATATACCATACATGGATCCTATGGGTATGATAGTAATGTTCTAGCCATCATGTAGATAGTAATGTAGTACTATTAGCTATGGCTAGAACATTACAAATGACAATGTATGATATGATGTAGTCATAGTCATGTTCTAGCCATAGTTATATGATGTTATATGATATGGTGTGACCTTTTGGAAGCACTTCAAAATCCAATGATCACCATTGATTACCACATCTTTGGTCCCAAAGACTTCACATGTTGACCCTGCTTTGGCAGGCCCTTGGCCGAGCGACAAGCCAAGGGCGGTAGGCCCAGTCAAACCTGAGCCCAGGCTATGCCCCAAGCTGCTGGATGCTGGCAGGGCTCCAAGTGATGGAGAATCAAACGTGGCTAGCTGGGAATTCCGCGAACTAGTGCTGGGCGATTTTCCAGCCATATAAGTGATTACTGAAGGTTATATTGGTTATATAATTGGATTTCATGGGATTTCATGGAATGCAAAAAAAGAACCAACCACAATTGACACTAAATTATTGGTGAATGTCTGACAACGAGGGCCCTATCTTCAAACAACCCACATGTTGGGCCAGCTCCCCAAATAGATTTGTTGCTGTTATCTGAATCATTGTTGCTGACCAGTAAACAAACACACCCTTTTAATTGGCAAATGCCACCACATGTTTATCTCTCATTGTGGTATGGCTTTAAATCACATTCTAGCTACTAGTATAGCAAGCCCCGAGAAAGATAGAAAACCACGCATCCAATTCCACAATCTAGTGATCAGTTGAATCATATTGAACATGTTCATGCCCTTTGCTGAATCTTTTTGGTTAATATATATATATATACATACCCCATGATGTCCCCACAAAATCCTATAAAATCCCAGCAAAAATTGCACAACATGGTGGGATATTCCATTTTAGTGGCTTGAAATTCTATAAAATCACCACAAAATCTCAAAACAAATCCTATAAAATCACCACAAAATCTTATAAAATCCTATAAAAATCAGTTGAAAAAATCCCACCTATGACATACCCCATGTTTCACCCGAGAAAAAAAGCCATCACCTCAGCCATGGCACGTGGGATCCCATGAGGCCGGCGACGCGCGCCGGAAGGTGCGGCCCTTCATCTGCAGCTTGGGAGGGACCAAAATGGTGGGCACGCCGTGGTAGGCCTGGCTGGGGATGGGGAGAATTCTTGGTGAACGTCCAAATCTTGGGATTTTTTTAACCCTTTGGTTATTTGTTACATAGCCATGGTATAGATGGCCCATAAAAATAGATTATTTTCCCAGAAAGCTCCAGTTATGCTTGGGATTTTCCATGGCTATGTTAGTCATAACCAGATGGTATATTTATGATATCCCATATGCAACCCATGGTGCTGGAATATGAATCCCAACATTTACCCCATTTTTATGACCCAGTCATGTAGGTAAATATACCATACATGGAGCATATGGGTATTTATTGGGGATTCAATGAACTGATTTTAAGTGTAAAGTGGGGTTGAATCATTAAACCTCCATGGAAAATGGGAATTTAAGCAACAAACCCCGCGGATTTATATGTGATTGATAGTGACTTGTTGGCAAACATAACTCCAATAGCTATGGTTTATGGCAATGAAAGAACTATAATTAGTATTCATCGGGTAAAGCCAAACCAACTTATAAAATCACTGGGGGGACCCCACCTCGTAGGATTGCGGGGTGTGGTAGTTATACTTCGATGGGTTTTGAAACCAACTTATGAACCCAGGATTAATATACCCTCCAATTGACCAGTAGGATCGGGGGCCCATGTACGTGATCAGCAGACTTCAACAATCCAGGGTTCACATTGGATTCTAGGTGGGATTGAGTCTCCGGGTGTAAGATCTTCGGTGTGCCTATGATTTCCTATAAAATAATTCAAAACAGCACTGTAGATTCTGAAATTTGTGGATGAACCAATGGGAAAGTAAGTTGTTTCTAGTTGGGAAGGGAATGATGGTTAGTAATCCCTGTTGGAATTCGGACCAAACCTGGGTGTCTGATTCTATAGGGACTAAAACGAAAACCCAGGACTAAGGGGGGGGATTTTCCCTATAGAATAGAAACCCTACCAAGCCAACAGCCCCCTGCCGCTCTTATAAAATGAAAACCCAGCCTCATACTGGCCACTGCTACTAACAAATAATCCCAAACTGGATGGGCGCAATCCAGGTACCATTCTATAGTAGAAACTGGCCTACCAACTTCATCTCTATAGAATCGTATGCCCAGGTTCTGTATTCTATAGAGATAATTCCAAGGAGGATGGTTAGTATACGTAGTTAGTACATGGGCTATGCTCTACTTAGGAGTGATGTTTGGCAACTGGCTTCTAACCCCGCACAAAAGATGTTGTTTATATATATTTTTATTAGCCAACGAGCCATGGTGCTTTGTGGTGATATGTGCCAACACTAATTATAATAAATATATAATGACCTGGGGATATCTGGGGGATAAATGGCTGGTAAGCAGGTAATAACCCATGATACCCTGCGGATCCCTGCGTTACTCAAACGTGGCAGTTGAACATTCACCATTTACAGATGATTTTCCCACTTAGACCCTCCATTGATCGGTGGTTTTCCAGCCAGGTTTGATTGCCTACCGGGTATGCCAAGAACAATGGAGCTTTGAATCTCCAATTCCCACCAATCAAAAAGGAACATCAGTAATATTCAGTAATTATATATATCTGCTTGGTTTCCATCCCCCTGAGGAGAAAAAAATATAAACATGAGTGACCTTGGATCATGTTTTTTCTTTTTAATCATCATCCCAAAACGGGAAACATCAATCCATTGAGTCTTTGACCCGTTGCACGTCCGACCCCAACGTTGCGCCTGCCGGGCACGGTTCGTCAGAACCAGCATGGATCCAGCGGTCAAGAGCAATGGAATTGGCTTCGAGGATCGCGTCTCCTGGGCCCCCGCGATGCATCCAACATGGCACCCGACGATTTGGTCCACCAAAGAAGATGACTTAACGAGCTCACTGTTGAAAACGGACCATGATTGTCTTCCAGGCTTCCACTGAAAAAAACTTGGCAGAAAAAATGGGTCTTAGCAGCAAAATATCGCTGCGTGAGAACCACTTCAAAATCCTCATAAAAATATATAAAAATCAGAAAAACCAAGCAATGTCCAAGCAATGTCCAAGCAATGTCCTTGCCCAGCAAAAAGACGCAAGGCAAACCAATCGATATCGTGACCAGAGGGCTAGTTGTGTCCTAGCGGGATCCCTGGGATCATCCCACTGGGACGAGCCCTTGTGGATGTGAATTATAGCTACCATGGGGATATGGACAAAACAAAGGTGAGCTTCACCAAGAGTATTACAAAGTGGGGCCCCCGTTCGATAGCTAAGTTGGTGCAAATAACTCCAATAACTATATGGTTTATGGTACCTATAACTATAGTATTCATGGGGTTTATAAACCATCTTATAACTGGGGGGCCCCACCTTGTAGGAACAAGCTGTCATCACAAGTTGTTGTCTCTCCAAAGAAAGGGGCAGCAGCATGGTTCCATCCTCCTCCACATCATCGCGATGCCCTCCCAGGCGATCTGAGGGCCGCCGCGCGGCGTGGTAGAGGTTGCCTAACGACGACGTGGGACAATGGCCAGCGATGGGAAAAGGCTGAGGAATCCATGAATAATCGGTGATAAATGTTTAGAAATTACGAGGAAATGACTGAAAATCACTGGAAAATCCATGAGAATCACCTGAATAATTTCTTGAGTTTCCAGATTTATAGCGGTTGTTGGGACCAGAATGTTGGTATAACCAACTCTTGTCTTAGTTTCAAAAAGGACGCCCGGATACTCATTGCCAGCGTGCACTCTGCCGCAAATCAGCTGAAATTAAAGAAAAACACCAAGGATTGCCCAACCATGGCGTTGAATTGCGATATACTGTCATGCCTTCTTTTCCAGATCTAAATGACGACCTGCTATTCAAGTCATGGTCATAGTGGACTGAACATGTTGTCTCAAATATACTTAAAAGAAAGATGGTGGATCTCCCAGCAAAAACCCGATAGACAATCAGCTGGGGCCCTGCACAAAAAAAATAACTGATCACAACATGTACCTAATTTATCCTCATTTATCCCAATTAGCATCAAACCCCGCCGCCCAAACTAAGCAAATACATGGATGCAAATCGCAGCTTGGAAGGTGTGCCTTGGCTGCGTGGTATTTTGCGAAAACATGCTCCAAGGGGTCTGTGGAGTTCGCTAGTTCGTTTTTCATTTTACCACCTGTTGATAGCTGCAACATTTATACATCCACCGAGGCAGGATTCATCAAACATGTTTAACCTCCAAGCGTTGGGCCATGTATAGACAAACTCTAAGAACTGGGTCAGGAGCATGGTCCAGGCATGTCACCAAGATTTGTTGACTATCTGATACAAGCAGTCTGAACGCTCGACATATGCTGGACCTAGCCAATCCACGTCAAGCCAAGCTGCGTGTTGTCAATTTCGCCTGCATCTTTCAACAAGTCCTTGGACTGCAAAGGACTTGTTGAGATATAAACTGAGGGTGGTGGCACGGGATTCCAAAATGGGTGTGTCGGAAAATAGCGTACCCCTAAACCCAATGGTTAATGATCATTATCCCATATTATCCCTATTAAATGGCTATAATTGGGAATATACCCTATTTTCAGACAAACCCAAAATGGCTCAAGAGCCAGTCAAACACAGATCCACTGAGCACCGAGGATCCACCGCCCTTGTGGCGAACGATACCAACAACTCCGGCAACGGCCGGCAGTCATCGGGAAGGTAACCTGTGGGGAATGCGTGGCAACAACGCCTGTGCCGTGGGTTCTGCCCTGCAGAAAGTTAAGATTGCGATGCAAAATCCTCAAGTTGCATGGAAAAATCACGCCACAACACCATGATTCTCCATTCAGTCTGTCATAGGCCTAGGCAAATTGTTTGCACCATTCCGGAAAATTGCTGCAGTTGTTGTTGCCTCGAAGCAAGATTCTAGCACGAAAACCCAGATTTGCCAGCAGGATGCGACTTCGAACCCCTCCTTGATCGACAAGCAACAGCGGGAAGACCAGTCGTATTGTTTTCCCATGGTCACCTGAGAAAGGAACGCAGTTGCGGCACTTCAAGCACCGCCCTTGGCACAAAATTAGCGCTTAGCATGAATCATCATCAAATCAACACTGTATCTGCCACATTGTCATTCAGAGATTTCAGAGTGGAATCTGTGGAAATTTTGGGCCACATATCCGTCATAATTCCTCTCAAACAATCCAAACCGGCGCCAATCTCATCACTAGTCGCCAGCTCCATCATCTAAGTTTGTCTGTACATAGGTCGCCCTGGAATCCGATGGTATATAATCATTGCTCATATGATCTACCATTTTACAGGTACCCTCTGGTAAACTAACATAGCTATGGAAAATCACAATTTTTAATGGGAAAATTCACTATAAATGGCCATTTTTAATAGCTATGTTAGTTTACCAGAGGGTATACCTGGTATATACCCACATTTTTAGACACACCAATTGACACCCATCTTGCATCATCTTGCCCAACCCTCCACAGCGGTCACGGATGTTCAAGGCGCCCATCTTAGCTTTTCAATCACGGAGAGGCTGCTGGGGTCGGGGCCTCACAAGAGCACACGTGGGCCGCCAAAGCCTTGATCCTGACAAGCCCGTACCAAATCACATGCTAGGTCCTAACTAGCGCCTCCTGAGTCACTTCAATCAGCCCCATCCCCATATGTGACTATAAATCAACACTAGATGTCGCCGATTTTACGTGTGCCTGTTGCTGCTTGCAGCCCTAATTAGATCATAATATAAGACTTATGGAGTTCCTGACGCCCCACTTGTGTTGGTCACCCGGATGAAACCAGCATGTCTAAAAATCCAAAAAAGGCCACAGATGAACTTAGCCCCAGGTGCTGTCTTCGGACATGTCGAAAAACTTGGCCAAGCCTTCCTGCAGCCACTCGCCACTCTCCGGTGCCTCTGTAGCTGACGGGTTTGGGCACTGCCAAGCTTTGGGCCCTGCCGGTTGCTGCCACATTGGTGTTATATCACAAGAGCACTACCACCCCACCAGTGGATGGAATGCGCAACAAACTGCACCATGGTTCCACATGGTTCCCGGGGTCCTGTCCCCATCATCCCCACCACGGCCTCGGCCGGCCAAAGATTGCTGCGATTCGGCGGCGTCGCCCAGTCGCAGATCAGGGCGGAGAGCAACTGTGCCTGGTCCTGAAAGCCTCGAGCGCCAGGATGGAGATTTGACCCGACCATCCCTGAGAATGGGATCAAATTCTAGGGGAAAATTGCAGATTTATAGGTGATTTGCCAAGTAAAAATGCTGATGGTCCATAGCTATGTTGGAAATGGGAAGAGGGAAGATTGGGATTGGAATGTTCCAGATATCATCGAGATACATGTTGCCTGTAGGCGTCTCTTCTTGCAACCATTAACAATACATTGAGGTCAGCGACCAATGGGTTTTTGGACCTAAGGAAAAACAAACAAGTCTTGGCTCAGGGGCTCCCCCATCATGACGCAGTTAAGATGCTCAAGAGACCTGGGATGAGGTAGGCATCCCCGTCCACTGCGTCAGACACTAATCCTGAGATTGCCGGCTGAGAAATCTGAGAAATGTTGGACAGGTAAATCATGAAGAAATGGTTCAAATGATGTCACTAAGTAAAGTGGTGAAATTGCACAGCAACCCAGAAATGAGAGCAATGTGGCAATGCCAATGACAACAACCCCCATGTTTTCCATTTTTTTTAAATAATGACATGATAAAATCAGGCATAGGGTGATGTATTTCCCCAAAGCAACCCCGCCAAAAGAATAGAAAAGTCCAATCCATTTACTATCCAAAAAATAGTGGCAAAGTAGCCTCCAAAAAAAAAAAATAATTCATCACTTCTTTGTCAGGATCTTTGGGGGGGTTACTATAATACATAAAAACTATCCTATCTTTATAATTAATGTGGTAAGCTGGCAAACCCAATTCTAATCTATCCCCAATATCAATCAATATAATATCACCTATCACCATCTTTGGGTGCTATAAACTATCCCCAAATGGTAGGTTTATGGCATTAAAGATCACTGAAGCAATGTTATAAACCACCCATATTGATGCTTGGAATCCCACCCATTTTTGAATGCTGAGTCATTGGGGACGCTGGATCCGATTGCTCTACCAACATGATATCATATGTGTATATATATGTGTGTGTGTATAACATTACATAGCTATCATATGACCATCAAGATATGGGTAGTTCATGAAAATTACCCTCTGGTAATTTGTTACGTAGCTATTGAACATGGCCATAGAAATAGTGAGTTTTCCCATTAGAAATGGTGATTTTCAATAGTTATGTAAACGTTTACCAGACCCAGAGGATCCATGTATGGAATATTTACCTACATTGACCCCTAAAGTAATTTAAAATAATCCCAATGTAGGTAAATATTCCATACATGGATCCTTAGGGAGAGGGTACTTTACTAGCACCATTCCCAAGTTGCCAAGGCCCTGGCACCCTCCGCCACCGAGCATCGGTAGATCTCTCCGTCCCTCAGCCGTTGACAGCGCGGATCGCTGGAGGCCTCCGTGAGCAGCTCGCCCGCGAGGCCCGAGAGCTGGGAGGAACGCAGCGACTCCAAGTCACCTGGTGGGAAAATGCTGCATTTCACCGGTGAAAATAATGGAAATATAGTGGAAATATAGTGAAAATATGGGAAAATGGTGGATTTCACCCGTGAAAACTAGGATTTCACCAATGAAAATGGTGATTTTCATCCATGAAAAGTAGGATTTCACCAGTGAAAACGGTTGAACATTGATCTCCATGGCTGCAAAATTCCTGAAGTACATGGATGATAACTGGACAAATCTAGAAACGGAGGATTTTATCGATTGTCATGTTTGACGGCCGATTTCGGTGACCAATGACAATTGGGACTTCACCAGTGGTCAGATAGTGGATTTGAATGGAAAAATGACATGATTTCACCATCCAAAAGTACGCAAAAAATGGATTGATTTGAGGGAAAACCAACAGGCAAACCATGATTTGACGGCCAAACATACAGGGTTCTTCCTCACAAAAAAAAGACTTTTTTTTTGCGAAAAAAATCACCCCTCCAGGTTTTTCAAACCATCCATGGGATCAACCGTGTGTTGGTAACCAAATTCACATGGACAAGCACCCCTTGGCTATTCAACATTATTCAACATGGGTCATTGTCCAACCATGAGGTATCTCATCTATAATTGCCATTCAAAGGTGATGTCCAATAGCCCCAAAATGGGACATTTACCAATCCCTGTGATTCAACTATGCACTTCCCACCCTTCGATCTCAACTGGGTTCCACCTTCATCAAAAGACAAGTTGCGCACGCTACGCCACTGGGAGTCCAGTTCATGGTAAGCATCACTTGTCATTACCTTGTGGGATCATTCAGGTGTGATGGCCCGAGCCTAGCACAAATGGTGCAACTTAGTCTGTCTCAAGCTCCTTCCAATGCACAAACACATGTTCATGCGTATGTCAGTAAAAGGATGGGATGGCACCCCCGTGCTGCTATGTTTCTGTATATGAATCCTGGCGATCAGTGTCTGACAGCCCATCTTTCAACATTGAAGCAAGGAGACATCATCCCATGGCCAAGGATGGAACATTATACTGGTTGGTGGTTGAGCCCTACCCCTCTGAAAAATATGAGTTCGTCAGTTGGGATTATTATTCCCAACTGAATGGAAAAATAAAAAATGTTCCAAACTACCAACCAGTATATATAGGCATACTTGAAACTTTGAAACCAATCAACTGATGAGTGCGAACAAGCTGCGTCTTCGACCCACGATTTCTGCACCACTCAGTCGCAGTCAGTATGGGTCCACTCAGTTCGCCATCCATGATCTGATGTGACATTGCCACAAAAAAGCAGCTGCTGTTCATGCTGTTCCATGCACTACCTGGCACTGGCAACATTAACAACTACTTCTAGGCTCTAGACTGGCACCTGCATAATATGCTGACAGTACCGAGCGAAAATGCTGACATGTCCGAGGTTCTAGATAGTTCTAGGGCCGGAATTCCCGACATGTTCTCCATATATTTCTTCCCTCTTCATATCGTTTGACTCCTGCATCTTGCAGAAATGGGATTTGCCAACGGTCTGGAATGAGTTTCACCTTCCCATATATGAGCTACACATCAAAGCAAGTTGCTTTAAAAGATTCTGCAATAAATGCGGACATGGGTGCCCTATTGGGGATCCTTCTCCGCATTCTCTGAGGTCAAAGCTGCAGTCGCTTCAAGATCTGCCACACCAGAAGCCAATGTTCAGTTTTAAGTGTGATTGAGAAGAGCCCAAAAACGCAAAAAACAGAGCCTATGTACGGTCAACCGTTAAGCAGGTAGTTCCACTGGCAGCTGCACTTGTAATTCAATAGGATTCCCAGCGGATGTACCTCCAACATCTTAGGAAATTTGATGTCAGCTGCAACATGCCCGTCCAGCCAGGTGGGTTTTCCCTTCCTCAAATGGCATTTGCACGCGGCATGTCGCAGTCCGATTCACCATGCTCACTGTGGCTGTTGCTTGCGGTGGTGCTTCCAACCTGAGGGCAGCGACATTGCTGCGCTTTTCCACTTCCAAACTCCTTTCGCATCAACATCAAACGGACTAAAAATGGTGGAAATTCAATGAAAATCATGGCATTTCACCCCATTTATCATCATTTATCCATTTTTTCTTGCTGAAAACTCATCTTCCAGGGATTCCCAGTCCGCCCCACCACCAGGCACCTCTGAGTTGGAGGAACTCAGCTTCCGTGGAGCTGGTGGCAGGGGTGGCCTGTACAAAATCATACCCCAAAATGAGATGATTGGCAGAAAAAAATGAGATGAAATGGCAGCATCATTGGATGAAAATGTTCAGATTCTATCATATTTCCAGGATTTTTTTCAGGTTGTCTGAGGATGATTTGCAACACAAATCTGGGGATCATAGCAGCCCCAATAGATAGATAGAAACGTTGGAGACTTGGATAGATAATATATCGTCTATACTGGGTCCTGGGTTTGTCTGAACATAGGGCACAGCCAAATCCTATGGTTTATCCCTGTGGCTATCATCAAATTGTCCACTTGAAATATCTGGTTTATCCTATGGTTTATAATCCTATGGTTATATATCAATATTAAATTATATCATGTATAATCCTATGGTTTATCAATTTGTCCACTTTGTGGGTCCCATTTTCAGTCACCCAACTCTATGCATTAACCCAGAATCATCTTTCGCGACTGGGATCTTACACATTTCCTGGTTGTTTCTCTATGATGCCCATTTTGACAACGTTGACAATGTTAAAGAGAACCGCGCACACAAAGAACAAACAATGCTTGCTTTCCATCGTTCTTCCAGACTATTGAAGGGAAGGAAACCCCTTTTACATCCTGAAATCCCTCTTACCCTCCATCAAACATGGCAATTGAAATCCTCCCCTTTTACCCATTGGTTTGATCATAAAAAAGCCTCCAATGTCCCCAGCCCGCTGAAACACAGCCACCTCTTCACTGGCGCAACGGGAGGTGTAGGAGTTGGCGGCCTGTGCCAAGCTTAACCAGGGACATGATTAATGAGGGATTTCTGGCAGGTCTCAACAAAAATGAGATAATGATGGACCTAAGCATTGGGTTAGTCACTGTTAGTCCCCATTCTCCAATGCTTACATACTGAGACATACTGGATGGACAAGATCCTGCACCAGTTTGTAACTAATGGTAACTATAAAACGCTGTAAATAATGGGGTTATCAACTGGTGCCATATTTCTTCCATCCAAAGTGCTATGCAACTGTGTAATATATATATACATATATATATATAAGTATATCATTATATATATATATATACACTGGATTCTTGAAAGGTCCTCAAGTTCGGCCCATGCCCCAAATGTCCATAACATCACCTATGGCACTCATCAACATTCAAGCCCTGCCCAAAGGGCGACATTCCAAAACAAACCGCATTAAAAAAAAAAAGAAGAAAAAAAACATTGAAAGAAAAAAAAATGTATGAAACCATCCAAATTCAAGATCCATGACAGTATCCTCATTCATATCCATTTCTCTCCTACCAACCTAACCTATGGCCATCTTTGGAGGAACATCTGGTCACGCACCTTCGCAGAGTGCAGCTTCCGTTCTCTTTCGCGGCCTGGAGCTTCAGTAGCTTTGCGGCCCTTCTTTTGTCCAAAAACTGTGCTTCCCGATCATTTCGATTCATGAGTACGGGGCCCAGGAAAATATAGGAAAGGGTCCCCCCCTATGATTTCAAAGAGAGATTCACTTGTCTATTTTTTGGGGGCCTAAAATCCATCCAACTCCAAGGGTTATACTGTAGCCATGTAACCCCTCTCATATCCACCCATTTGCGCCGCTAGGAAACCTTGGTTTTCCCATGTTTTCCCCTTGTTGCCCTGGGTATGCCACAACTCAACCGACCAGCGGCCTGTAGCCGTGGCTGAGGCTTCTGTTTCTGCGCCATGTCCACTGCATGGAGCGTCGCTGCGGTTAGACTCAAGCCCACCTGGCTGCAAGAACCGCCACTGTGCCTTTATTGTGACTCTATGTGACTCTTAAGCAGAACTTTTGGCATAAAAAGATGCCATCAGAATCATATTGTTTGGGCATTTGATACCTGAATAAATTCCTGAATACATACAGTAAATAAACACACTTATAATACATATATATAATTATATATATATAACTATATAGATTCGTATAGTAAGTGATAGATCTGATCATACTGTACCAGTCCGTCTGCCCTCGTACCAAACGGGCCTGGATCAAGTACCAGGGACTTGCTGCTGGCCCCTCAGCTGTGAGTGACGCTTCCTGGTCACCAGCATACCCTCCGGTATTTTCTCAACATAGTAACATAATGTAACATAGCTAAAAAGGCTAAACATGTTAACATCATGTAATATACCTATATATATATTATATATATATCCAAAACAACCAGTTTATAATCATTTATAGCTGATGTACCTACTAAATATGGATTATGTACCTGGTGTAGCTACTAAAATTATACCCATATATTATATCATATAGCTATGTGAAATTTTGAATTATATACAAAATGGCTAGCCGAGCTGAACATCAGCACGTTGATGATGTTGATTGCTCAAAGGCATCATGACAGGGAAACTCCACTATGATGTTAAGGGGCTACCTGGACATTTGCAACTTAAATCGCCATCATCCTTTGTGTAGACTTTCATCTACTTCCCATACCATGCTCAAACTTGCCCCTAAATACAAGTCATTTTGCCATACTTGCCGTGCTTGCAATCACAATGAATGACCACAAAAAGAAACACATTTCCAGTGGTTCAATAGTTGTTCAAACAATTTCAATCCCTTGAAATTCCGAGTCAGTCCGATGGTACTAAGGTCTGATAAAACTGAACCTCTATATGAGTCTATATGCCCAATGGTGCTTCAAATTGTTCTCATACCCATTTAAATCCACACCGACTCAAACTCTCATATTTCATTTCAAACTATACCCTCAACCAATCAAAGCGAGCAGCTAGCAATGGCACCATCCCTCCCATTTCTATGATGTTCACGATGGATTTTCCAAGATGTTCCATGTTTTCCTATGGCTTCGCGGATTTCCAGCCAAATAACCTGGACCAGGGCCAGCATTGCCAGCATGGAAAGGCCGGGTGCCAAGGCGAACCAAGACGGCACCTGCCAAATGGATCATCTTTCATATTCCTGGTTGGTGGTGTGAACCCCTCTGAAAAATATTAGTCAGTTGGGATGAGTATTCCCAACTGAATGGACAAATAAAAAATGTTCCAAACCACCAACCAGTATTAGGTTTTGACCCATGCCATGTCGTGGGGTTGAACATGTCCATTTACCAGCTCAAATTCTGGTTCATATTTAGATGGTGGGTGTGTTATGATATGTCCTTTTACCAGCTGAAAATGAGGAGGTTAGGGCGTGGAAAAAATCAGTTGCGGAATCCTGAGACTCTCCCATTTCCCACAGACTGTTTCAGCTATATATTGAAATCAATTTCCGCCCAAGTTCCACCATGCAAGCAGGGCCTTTCTCTGCAGATAGGGTTTACCCAGCTGCAGCAAGCAAAGGCAAGTTACGCAGGCAGGCATAGACCTCAAGCGCTGGCGCCAACCATGAAGCTCCCGGAGGCATGGTTGGAATCCCAGCGATTTCTGAACAAATCTGGTGAAATTGAAAATGGTTTTTGCATTTGGTCACTGTAATTACGTTACATTGTGTTCAACTGAACTTTGGAATGGCCCCAACGTTCAATATGTTGTCCTAAAAATGTTTGGTAGTTACTGGCAGTTGTGCTTTAAAAAGGAAGGTTTGCTATTGCATTTCATGTGTCTTTGGCAAACATGGGAGGCATGCAACAGCGGACACATCAGTTGAGGATCATCCCATCTTTTCGGAAAGTGGAAGATCTGAATTCACCCATATACATCCTTATACCCAAGAGATTTCCACCTATTTCAACTATAGACCCAACGTTTCAGGGCTTGGGGGACCATATCATCACTTTCTACGCCATCCATGACTCCGACCCAGTGCCGTGCCAAGCGATCCAGGCGGCTCGGAATCGATGAAACTCTTCCAGTAGGGCACGGCCGGGAAAGGATCACCCCACATCCTGGGCGGAAGCACCATCACCGCCATCATTCAAATATGGTTAATATATGGTTATTATATATGGGTAATGATGGTTAATAATAATCTGGTTGGTGGTTTCAATCCCTCTGAAAAATAAAAAATGTTATATAGTCAGTTGGGATGATTATATATTCCCAACTGAATGGGGGAAAAAAAAAGTTCCAAACCACCAACCAGGATACAAGAGGTCCACTTAGATCATCTTAGATCCACATAGTGACTTAGTAGCCCCCAAGGCATGGGAACACATCAGGGTTTGCCTGAAAATCGGGGACCCCATTCAATAGCCAAATCTTCACCATCATTGTCATCGCGTCCTTTTATCACGTCTCATTGAAATGGTCACAACTGGGGGATCAGTGGGATCAGTCCCCAACTTTCAGACACACCCATATCCCCATACCCTCTGGTAATGTAACATAGCTATTGAAAATGGCCATAGAAATAGTGAGTTTTCCCATGAAACATGGTGATTTTCCATAGTTATGTTAGTTTACCAGAGGGTAAAACCCATTAGATCCCATTAAACCACCATATTCCCATAAATTCCCATTAGATCCCATTAAAATGTTGAGTTGCTTCATATTTAACTTTGCTGGTTGAATCCCAGGTCATCCATGCTTTGAACGCATCAAGCTGATGATCATAACGCATCCCGGTGGCCAAAGAATCACCAGCAGCACCTGAGCAAAAAACGGGGGAAGTTGCAGACCTCGTGGATCCTCTGGGAAGCTGCAGCAAACAAGCATGTTTAATATAAGTAAAATCATGGTAAATCATGGTAAATCATGGTAAATCACCAAAGATCATCTATAATTCTATAAATGGGTGATTGTCCACAGCTATGACAGCTATGACCAGAGGATAAATTCTCTGACAAATGGGCCACTTTCCACAGCAAGGTTGGATTGTGATAGGTTGTGTACTTTTGATGTGTGGCATCTTCTCCATTCAGGCACTCAACAGCTTCCGTATCTTCGATTGTCACAAGACAAGGTGGGACTTAATAATGTCGACCTTGAGCAGCAGCATGGCTACTGTAGATCTTCTGCCATAAGCATCAGCCGGAGAAAAAACAAAAAAAAATCCCAGTTCTCAGCCCATCAGAACAAAACACGAGAGAGATTGAAGACTTAGGACACCATCCACAGAGATGGCATAATCCTAATCCGCATCAGTGACCATCAGCTAATGATCCAGCCTCTGCTAGATTTGCTTCTTCCTGGCTTAGGAATGACAACTCATGAGCAATCAAACCTTGCCATAGAATAACCACCATTGTTCGATGATTCTCCTGTCAAAAACTGGGACACCTACCAATCATTTGGTGGCAACTTTTTCTTTTGCAGCATACTTCAATCCTCCTGCGCATGGCGTGATAGGCAGCAACGGGCACCGTTATGCCTGTCACTTGGGGAAGCACGAGGTAGCGTGCCATTCCCCAGCATCCTCCGAAACAGCTGCTGCGTCATACAACAACGACACTACCAAGAAACAAAGTCTAAGCAACAAAATCCGCAAACAAAATCTGTGGAAAATGGATCTTAATTAGATAATAATAGCTTTTTTGAATGTATTGCATTCCAACCAAAATAGAATGCAGGCTTGATCCTGTTCAAAGAAGCTGGTTCTCCATCAGGAAGCTAGTTACTTCCTACTTGTCACCCGGCTTTCTGGGCGCTTTATTGACACGCCCAGACCGGGCGTGTAAGGAGCCCAATCAGGGCAGAGCTTGAGGATTCTTTGGCGGCCAATCCTTGGTTTCAGATGGTTTCAGCATCACTTCCACAAGGAGAACACGGATGAGAACACGGCGCCCCAAAAACTTACTGGTGCTAAACGTAGGGAATGGATGGGTTGCTGGGGGTTGCTGGGATTCTTGATAGTTAGCCAGTGGATCATTCCCGAAAATTCCCTGCTTAAAACGCACCAGTAAGTTGGCCATCCGACCACGACCAGCTTTGCCAAGCTTCCATGGGCATACTCTGAAGCTCAGGAAACCTCAGATTCGGCCACCGATGGGGAAACTGTTCCATCAAGGCTGACATCCGGGGAAGTTTTTCGCTGCAACTTGCTGGGTTTTTTTGCGGTCGATCTGAAGATTTAGACCTTAAATTTACCCTCTGGTTATGTCACAATAGCTATTGAAAATGACCATTAATAGTGGATTTTCCCATTAAAAATGGTGATTTTCAATAGCTATGTTAAATTACCAGAGGGTAGATCAAAACTGGTTGAAACGATCCAACATGATCCAGGGAATCGTTCCCAATCGTTCCCAATCAGACTGCATCCAGCAGTGGCTCAGTCAATGTCACCTTTGAAAAAACCTTTGGCAAGACGCCATCTGGCAAAGTTCTGCGGATTGTAGTTCACTTCACCTTTCGCCATCCTCGGACACCGTGACACCGTTCGGGGGGCAACTGCTATGACCCGGTAGATGTTGAAGGCCAAAAAACAGGTTGGCCTAGGATATGAAACAAGACCAAGGGACCAAGGAATGGACCTGAACCACCTTTTGAACAGCAAAAGTGGATCTGCGCAGTTGCTGGTTTCAACCCCCCTCGGCCGCTGCTAATCAACCTGGCCCCCACTTCCAACACCATTGGCGGCCAAATCAAACGAGCTGCATGTGCATGATGATGCCATACCTCCAGCGTGGTTTCTGGTGATGATCAAAGGGTTACAGCCGTGGATTCTGTTCCAACATCTGCCGCAATATTCACTCACTGAAATTGTGCTAAGGAGCCCAAGGCATAGTTGATCATACTTCATCAAATGGGCATGGGTCGAAAGTAGGCATCCAAAAAATTGGAGAGTTCATTTCAAATCTAGCGCAATTTCAATTCTAGCATGTTTCATCCCAAAAAATGGCATTCCCAGGTACCATAGTTTAAAATCAACTTGCGAACCATTTTCCACTAGCACAAAAAGACCACGCTGCTGATGTTCGCTGATCATCGAAGAGCGCGAAGGAGTCATCGACCAAACCTGCAAAGTGATGATGATACAACTGAGCGCTGGTTAGAGGGGTCTTGAAGTCTGGAGCGAACAAAGAATGTGGCTTTCTTTTATATATATATATATATAAAAATAAATGGGTCAATTAATGACTCGAACACGGTTTTCTTAAATGGATCAATGACATAATGACTCATCTCAAGATTCAAATGGCAGGAATTAAAAATGAAGTGACAAAGGTAAATTGGCAAACCCCCTGAACAAAATAGATGTCTCAATATGTTGTCTAAGTATGGTTTTTGGATGTTATGTCTAAGTATGGTTTTTGGATGTTTTTGGCTATAAAAGTCGGGATCATTGCAAGTCATGTGACGCCAGCCCCAGAAACAAAAAACGCAGAAGTGAACTGCGGCCAAGGCTCAGTCTTATCCGCCCAGAACCTTCAGTTTTTGACGGATGAGTTGAAAAAAAAAAGGGATTACGTGCGTGGCTTAAGAAGGAAGAAAAAAAAAGGAAAGACACTATTTTAAAAAAAATGACAAGGAACAGCACTAATCTGTCTTGCATGGGCGAAATCCGCACCGCTCCGGTGGGTGTAATGACACCTGCGCAGGATGGCCAAAACATCCCCCCTCCAAAATCCATCCAACTCCAGCATCTTGAACTACCTTCCACACAACTACGATCCTCGTTTTTCGACATTTACCCACGACTTGCCTACGGATAAACAATGATGAACCTTGGCTTCAAACCGTTTTAACCAGAATGTTCACCCCAAACAAACAACAAACAATCAAACAAACGACCAACAAACAATAAAACAACACATGTTGATACTGAACACACGCCAAATTGTCGCAGCAAGTTCGACATGTTCGACACATCTCCAGCATGTTGGGCTTAACGGCCTTCGAGCTGCAGGACACCGCCCTGCTCTTCTCGATAGTTGGGATTGGCAAAATAGATTGCCACCAACTTGCCTTGTAAATGGAGGCCAGATCGGTGATGGGTGGTGGTGTTCAGTGACGATGGTCTTGATGGGAATGACTTGGATCAGGATGGGGTGAGGCTGATGGATGGTCCGGTGTCGAAAAGCTGGGAAAAGTATTGGATCCTGCATAGCTAACCTTCATTGGGTCATAGTATGCAGATGCCGGGAAGTGGGGTACGCGTTGAGAGGCTCAATTCATCTCAAACCCATACATATATGCTGGGATGGCAAAAACAAAGGCAGCTTGGTAAATCCATCCCCCAATTAAAAACATCTTGAAAAGTTCATTGAAAAGGGTGATATATAAACCTTCCTCGACTGGAGGTTTATTTCATAGGTTTATTAAACCATGCCATCCAAGGCACGTGGGTCTCGGACAAATCCTTGCTCAGTATTCCAGCCAAAGACATTGCTAACTCGTCTGTCATAGCGAGCACCTTGTCCACACAAAACGAAGAGCTCCGAAATGCCTGGACGATGAGTCGCAGCGTGCGAGGAGATTGTTACTCCACCTCCAGAAAAATCAACCCATGGCATCATGGACTGAACCCACATCAGAAACGAACAATATCAGTTGCCATTTTGCATTTCAAAGAATTAAATTCCTACTCTCATTTTCTTTGTTCCACTTCTTCAAGATGTCAAGCCCCCGCTGCCAGCGGTTTTCGGTCTGTGCGCCTTTGGTGTTCGACAGCCCGCTTTCGGTGAGTTCCCCCAAGGGCTGCGCAAAGGACACCAGCAGACTTCGGGTGAAGTTCACCACGGTGGGTGCCACCTCATACCTAGCCGCTGGAGCCATGCCATGCCATCATGGAATGGGGATGGTTTTGTGGGATTTGGATAGAATATCCACGGCATAACTATGTCATAACTATGGCACTTTTGGGGAAACCAGCCCAAAATATCCAAAATGCCAAGTGGTGTAGCTTATGACTGTTGGGTTTGCCACACTACTTAATCGCATCCAAAAACGATAGAGATTCTGCTGCACATGCTTCTGCAGTTACAGTAGTTTGTCGTTCTCAGGCCCACTTGTGGGTGCAAACCTCCCGTGGTATCCATGTAATGTGGGTAAAGGAATAGTACACCATCCCCAAATTTACCATAACAGGGTAGTATAAACCATCAAAAAATGGGTGGCTTATTAATCGTATTATATATTACTTTACTAACATTGAATCCATCATGCTAAGTCCTAGGTGCTGATTCTCAATCAAGCGTTCCATCTTTTCTTCGCCACTTCTACCTTTGATCCGGTAGCGAAATCGATGTTCTCTGTCCTGATTGGTGATTCCTCAGCGCGTCGCCAACGTCTCATGTCAGCCCTGCACAGGCCAAATGGCCAACCCTAAACCCCTGATATCCCCTGATGACCTGATGTATGCATTGCCATATGTTGCCATCACTGAAGTGGTGCGTCAAGATATTTAAAAAAAAAATGATAATTGAGCAATTTAAAGGTATCCCAATCTCATCCAATCTCTATGGGTCAGTCAGTGGTTTCAGCCTTCCCAAAAATCATACCATACGCTGCTTTATTGTCATCACAAGTCGGGTCATTAAACAAGAGGAGCTGAGGCAATCATACAGCACTTCATGTACCGCAACTTCAATGCAACTTCTAACCAGTGCTTGGGTACTGGGTACTTTTTGGGAGCTTCATTTTAACAAGCTTCGGTATGGCCCGACTTTAAACTGCGCTTCGGACTCAGGCTCCTCCTCAAACCATCCCCTGTCAAACATGCTCTTCATCTCATCTCTGATCTGGTCTGGGTAGCCATTAGCGGAACCACCCAGGAAACCATCCACTTGCGAATAGCCGTACTGATCAAGTTGTCTGAGAATTGCTTGCCTGGTTCATGCTCTTGAGGCAAGCAAACATAGCCCTGACGTACTGACAGCATCTTTTCCAATAACATCAATAACACACAAAAAAATGCTAGAAAAGCGTCTTAAGACCAAACAAAACACTTGCGAATCCGAGTTGCATATTGCTCAAGACCACATAAGACACTCGCGATCCAATCTGCGTGGACTGAATGTCCTGTTTCTGCTCCTCCGAAATGGGTGTGGGCCCAAAACTCGCCTGGCGCCTCACCCGGCCCCGGCCCCTCAGCAGGGGCAGGGCCATGGCTGCCCCCCATGGAGCCCACGGGGTGTGGCCATGGCCAAGGGATCCCCTGCCACGGCAGCCCCGGCAGGGCCCGGTTGGGCGGCCCAAAACACCGCGGACGCCAGGGACGAAGGTGGGATCCAACGACATGGCCCGGGAGATCCCAGAGATCGAGCTGAGAAGCTGCGAGAAGCTGCGAGATCTCTGAGCTGATGGGAATTCTTCTGGGAATATTGGTAGATATTGTTTTTTTATCGATAAAAAAAACAAAATCAATGCAGGTTTGACTCGGTTTGACCATCCCAAACTTACTTTCTTCTGGTGCTTTCTCAGCTCTGTGCCAATCACTGCTCAAGTCGACACGATGGCCAGATTGGTTGTTTCGACTGCCTCTTTGCAGCCATGGCACCAGGAGGCCTTGAAAAGACTGACAGGCTTGAAGAACGTCAATCCTTGAGTTTGGAGAAGTTGGATCTATTTCTCTGACGGTTAGTAGCTTCAAGCAATATTTATCGTGGGATGTTGGTGGAGATAATGGGATATCATAATATCATTCAACATTATCCATCTTTCAGGCATACCATTATATTCAAGTTGACATGGCATAGTTCATAGACTTTCAGGGCGACCTTACTCAATGTGACCCTGGTATTTGGTGAATTTTTGGTACATAAACTCTAAAACTCTTTAAAACTCTTTAAAACTCGTTAAAACTCGTTAAAACTCGTTAAAACTCTTTAAAGCTCTTTAAAGCTCTTTAAAGCTCTTTAAAACTCTTTAAAGCTCTTTAAAACTCTTTAACACTCTTTAGAGCTCTTTAAAGCTGTTTAAAACTCTTGAAACATTTAAAGACATGCTGACATACTTTAAAATGTTACATATTTTTAAAGAGTTCTACAGTTAAATTAAAGTTGGGAAGGTTAATTCATGTTCATTCTATCATTGGGATTGGAAACTTCTTGCACAAATTGAAGTCTATAGAGTCTACTTTATTTTTTTAGAGTTGCCTTTAACATTTTTAAGTGTGGAACCTCTGGGGTGCCCCAAAATGAGCAGTTCACCAGTTAATTCAAGGGTGTGATGCCCCACCTCTAAAATTCTTTAGAAAATGAAAGTGGATACCCCTTGGGAATGCCAAAATAACCATCCGGATGTTAGAATTGTTGGTTTTACATGTTTTCCGCTGAAGGGGGTCACATAAGAGAGGTCTGGGGGGGTTCCTATGAATAGTTAATATATCAAATCGTTAGTGTTTCATGCTGTTCTGGCTCGTTCTGGGATGGGTCTTGGTTGGGTCTTGGTTGAGATCACACATCCCAAATGAATTTCTCACTGGACAATCATTGTTCACGGAGGGATGGAAAGCAGCGCATTGAAACCACGATTCAGGTGCAAATACAGAAACAACACAGCAGAAATGGTTGGTTGTGGGGATCACAAGCAACCTTGTTTCCCAGGTTGGTTGACAAACTGACATAAACTGAAGTTTCCATTCAACCTAACCTTCACGTACCTTCACATACCTTCACAACATCCTGGAACGACCAAGCAACGGAGCAGCTGGTTGCGCCACGGCCATCACCACCTCCGCCACCGCAGCTGTCCCCACCTGCCCCAGCGCCGCCATCGCCCCAGCGCCGTACCCAGCTGCCGCCGCTGCTGCGGCCGCCGCGGCCGCAGCCACGGTGAGGTGACGACGAGAACGGGCCAAGGCGAGGGGCAGAGGAAGGCCTGGCAGAGTTGGTGGAGTCATTCTATAACTATCATCTGGGTTGGGAAACTCTTAGTAGCTCCTTGGCTCCCCATTTGCTATATTTACTAGGGAATATAGACATTTCTAGCTCCAAACCGCTCCTGCCAAACCACTGGGTAGATAAAGAACACGAGAATATTAATTAGCAATTTAATCTAATCATATCTAACTTTGTTATATTGGCAGAAAATGGAATCCCCTGAAACATCTACATGACAAGCAGGGATCATCATCGCAATTCTAGATAGAACGCAAGCGATAGCACAAGTCAGCCCAAAAATCGCGTATGCGAGTACATGATGATTGGCAATTATGATAATTACCCTCTGGTAGGCAAATATCGGCATGGGAAGGATTCTTGTGTATGGTCCGATTTTAATCCGAAGAAACATAGGGCCAGTACCGTTTTTTCTAATGCCTTGCTCCACCAACAATGTGGCTTTACCTCACCAAAATGTGCGCCATTGAATTGCATCAAAACAAGAGTTGGAATTGGAATTGGGTCAAGAAACATTGAGCTTGAAACGTGCTACTCACAGAAATAGCTCATGCCCACGGGAAATGAGGAAACATGGGCTTGCGTACCAACTTACTATCTTGAGACCTGGCTTCCAACAATGGGAGCCTAGTTTCCAGTTGCTTCCTGAAACTGTTCCCTTTTATATTGAAAACGGTGCGGGCCTGGGTGTTCCAAAGTAAGGTGTAGGAGACAGGATCCAGCGTAGCCAGGCTCAAAAAGCTCAGCCAAAGGCTCAGAGATTGGAAGGCTCCTGAGGACCCACGCGAGTGAATAAGGCATATCGTAGAACTAAATAGAACCAACCATGATCGATGCCCTCTGGTAATTGAACATAGAAATTGAAAACGGCCATTTATAGTTGATTAACCTATGACCTATGAGACATGGTGATTTTCCATGGCTATGTTAGTTTACCAGAGGGTACATGATTATCCTAAGGGCAGAAACCAAATCACCCAAAATCACCGAAGAAGAACGAGCATTTCAAAAACGACATATGGACGCCGGATTTAATGGGTGATTTCCCAAAACAATGCTGACCAGAGGAAACTTAGATTTTTTCCCTCATCCCATGAAAAATCATGAAACTACAAAACAGAACCTGTTCCAGCATCCAAACAGCATGCAGCAACCTGACTAATTCGACGCTCGCCTGCCAAAAGCATCCACCACCACACAGGCCACTGCTCAAAGATTTGAGCCTGACACCTGGGATTGCACTTGAGAATTGGGAAAGGGGATACAACTGGGTGACCGGGGTGAATCATTCGCAAAATCATGCAGAAACTACAATTCATTCGCAAACTGCTGGACAGTTGTCAATGATCACTCTTTTCTGCATGGTGGTTTTAACATGTCTTGGTCCATTCCAAAGAGATGAGCCATCTCAACCAATATCTGAAACCAACAACCAGGTTTTGAGCTTCATCCCCCAGCTGCGGCTGGAAAAGGCCCCATTGAGTTCCATGATTTCCCAGCTATACACCTCCATTTATCCTTACGATTTCCCAGCTAGCTATGTTTGATTAACTAAACTTTTTGCCATTCTATCCCATCAACAAAACAACTAAAAATCCCATTAGACCCTAAAAAAATCCCATTAGACCCCATAAAAAATCCCATTAAAAACAACATTAGATGCCATTCAATCATATTAAATCCCTATTTGTTGATGGTTAAAACGGTTAAACCATGCAATCCCAGGGAGATCTCTCATCCCCTTTCTGCCCAGGGACGGACATGCCATCAGCTGCTGCAAGGTGCCAGGTCCAGCAAGTCTGCGGGAAGCCAATAGGCCTGGCGATGCATGCGATGGGGCTGCAACGGCTTTTTCTGGATTGGCTCAAGGGAAAACATATGGGAAAACAAGATATATACAAGGTGGGGCCCCCTAGTTATAAGTTGGTTTATAAACCCCATTAACTCTAGTTATAAGTACCATAAACCATAGTTATTGCAGTTATAAACCAACTTAGCTATCTTGGGGGCACCACCTTGTAATATTTATATATAAATATATATATTATATATGCTGGTTGGTGGTTGACCTACCCCTCTGAAAAATGATGGAGTGAAAGTCAGTTGGGATGATTATTCCCAGCTGAATGGACAAATAAGAAATGGTCCAAACCACCATCCAGTAGGTTTTTACACCAAAGATCGAGGTTATCGGTTGTCTGGCAATTTGACCTTCCATTAATCCTGAGAATCGTGGGGAATCGCAACGCGAATGTGCTTTTTTCTTGGCTGGAACTGGTGAGCCAAAAAGACACCACTCCAGAAATCCCAGCATGGCCAAATAAATGACTACAGTACAGTACAGCACTCTGGGATGTAAGCGGAACTCTTGCCCTGCCTGCCACAACTGCTTGAACTGCTGATGCTGCCTGGGTGGAACTCGGCTGTGCCGAAAGAATTCCAAGAGTTGGAGAGCAACTCCCTTTTGAGACAAAGCGATGTTCATGATTCACCACTGAATTATGTTGAAACCCCAATTTCGACATGCTTAAATCACGTTCAATCCGAATGATGACTGGTTGAGCCGCCCGTAATTTATGGTACGCCATAACTGAAGGAACAAAATGTTGGGCTTCGAAGTTGGAGAGGCACCACCAAGTCTTTCACATAAGCCCAGTCTCAAGAGCATTGCTAGCCGCATAATGCAGTCGCAGCGAGGCGTGTTTTTGAAGCAAAATCCGGCCGCAAAACCTCCGTGTGAAGCCGTAAACCACAGATTTCACTTTTGGATGGTTCCCCTACTAAGCAATCATCATTTATGGTGAGGTCGGCCAGTGAGGCTGCTTACCCAGAAACAATATATAAATGATCTCAGATATCATTGAATAGTATACATTTACATACATTTACACCTTCACATCTATTCCACCCAACCTAGACCCTCCAAATCCTTCACCCGAAAATGGTGTAAAAGTACTAAGATTCAAGGGCAAGCCACCATTTTTTCATGTCGAGGGTACTTGGAGAGTCTAGGAACGCCCAAAGTATCAACCACCCGCCGAGGCGCGTCAAGGTGTAGGAGACCAAGAGAACGACCTACCCGTTTCCGGTTCGACCCTCGAAAATTAGTTAAGGTTTTCGAACTGGCACATTACCATTTAAAGTAGATAAATCACCTTTAAATTGGCAATTTCTATAGCCAAATAGACTAAATAAATCCGAACTAAATACGGCCATGTTCATCCATTTTCCAGTTCGCAAGCTGTTAAATTACCAGAGGTTAAGCGATGTAGTCGTTGAGCATTTTGTGCAGCTTCTTTGGAGGACAACCCGACGAACTCAAGTTACGCATGGCAAATATCATCCGATGATCTTCATCCAACTAAAGTGACACCACCAAGGCAATAGAAAATCTGGTTGATGGTTCCAACCGTTAGTAAGTAGGCTACCACTCAAAAAGTAGTTTCAGCACCTGGGAGGTTCCAACATGTGTAAGCTTAGAACCCTGCAAAAAGCTTCTTTGATCCCGCAGCTTGCTGGATTGGCCCTCAAACATCATCAAACATCCCAGCTGCAGTTGAGGTACCTCCACTCTTCCCACTGCCGCCATCCAGCCGCAGAGTGGCACCATCTTGGCACCGCGATGGAAAAGTGCGCCGGCGAAGATCTTCAGAACGATCAGCGTTAAAAGCACCTCAGAGCTCTTGAAGTTGAAATGACGGTTGTGAACAAGAATGAAGGCACCCCGAACCCCCAAAGTGGTAATTAAAGGTATTCAAAGGTATTCACATTATGGTGCATAAAACACAATTTTGTAAGGCTACTTGGAGGGTCTAGGTATGGATTGGTATGATATACATGCTCAAGCTGCGGGGTCTTGATCAAACATGACAAAATTAGTAATGGAAACACAAACATCATTAACACCAACCAACATTTGTGGATAGGACAAAATCCATTGATGTAGTGACTCCATAGTGAAACGGAAGATCCTCAACTTCCACCCCCCAGTTCCATCCAGTTCCAGCCCCAGCGACTCCGAAGACCCGCAGGAAGACGTTGGGCGGCACTGGGGCCGCCGCCACCTGAGCCGCGCTCCGGGACGTTGAGCGCGAAAAGGGTGCCAAGAGCCAAGTGGCACTCCTGGGCGGAGGGCATCCTGGACCATGGGATGAGCTAACTAGTTAAAAGGTGGGTTCTAAACCACTATAGTCACTCTCTCTCTCTCTATATATATATATATCATGAGCCTGAGCGTATACCATCTATAATTAATCTATTTGCGAACTAGTTAACTAACTCCATGGCCCATCTAAGTACTTGTGAGGTGAATTTACTGAGCTTAAGATATCTCAAGGTCTTCAATTTTGCCTTAGAAAAGTTTCTAATTACATTTAATTACAGTACTCATATCTTGAATCAACGGTCTATCACTACAGATACAACGCATGATAGCAAGGGTATGCCTTTCTTGTTTTGTATCTTCATGTATCGCATTGTTTCCATCAAATATTAAAGATCAAATGCATGCTACTGTTTTGCTACTTATACTACAGCACAAGTACCTTCAAAAGCGCCATTGACCTGAACAAGAAAAAAATCAAGACACGTCTCCTAGCATCTCCTACTTGGTGGATCATCCCATTTAATAACTGATGGTTATAGCGTTATAATAATGTATAGGTTAACCCACTTAGGGGACTTGCAAGGCTTGTTTTCATCAGTTGCTACAATGGATCCTCCAAGTAGCCACCTCCAAACGAGTCTCCTGTCGCGGAAGACTTCGTGCCACAACTCGTGTTCCGCTTCCGCCGCCCGAAACATGCGCTCCCCGTGGCGTTTCTCCACAGCTTTTTGGAGTCCTGAGAGCTGCGGAGATCTTAAAATCGCTCGACAAACCTATATCAAAGTAACCAACCGACTATGACTATAATGTACTGGAATTATATACCTTATAGACATCCTTAGAATCCATTTACTGGCGTTAAACCCTTTATAACCCTTTCAACACACATTTCCGTTTCACGCCTCGGTGCCCATGGCTTCCCAGGCGAGGTGCGCATGACCTCTGTCCGCCGCGGCAGGGAGGAGATGAAGCTTCGATAGGCCGAGAAGCTGAGACTCGAGGACCTCCGCCGTGTGCGTTGGAACGGGGAGGTTCACCCCCGAAGCCCGCATCCAAAAATGGGTTGGAGGAGTTCACTGACTTATACTGACTTTAACCATCCTGGAAAATGGAGGGGTCGAGAAATTTAACATGGACTTGGAGGATTCTCATGCGATTAAGCACCCAGAATATCCCAGATTTGAGGGAGTTCGTGCCAGTTTTTCTTCAGGACTAAGGCTTTGACCATCCAGAAGATGGAGTTAACCATTGGAGTTTAGTTCATAATCCATCCAGGACTGGATTCTTAAACCAAGAAAAATGGTGATTGAACGCGACACTCTACGAGAATTTATGGGATTTATATAACCCAATGAGCTTTCTGGTGAAAATGGAACATTTAATCATCCGAAGGGATTTCGGACATGGCTGGAAATGGCACTTGCTGCCATGGAGTGGCCCATCTCTGGCTCCATTGTTTCTGGGCCCAACATATGAGATATAGCAACTTAAATTCAACATAGAATTGGAAAAACATGGAGGAACCACATGGAACCACCATCTATGTCATCCTGGCCATACTTTTCTATCTGTTTGGGAGTTGCTATAACATCAATCCAGTCAAGGCACTGAGAGGGCAAGCACGACCTGCCCACCCCAGCCAGCGACATCGCTTGTGTGGTAAACCCAACAATGAACCTCCAAACTTAGAGGATATACCATGATATACCACCCCGTTCTGGTTTATTATTATTATATATATAGCATGTTTGGAAAACGCTTAGTAGCTCCTTGGCTCCCCATTTAGGGAAGAAAAGATACCCCAACCACGTTCCTTTGCTCCCAAGCACTCTAATTACATACCTAGACCATCCCAAGTACCATTAAAACTGTGTTTTAATCCATGGTCCATAACATAACCATAACATAGTCCACCATTAATAACAAACCCATCAACATTAATCTACGACAAATCCCATAAGGTATGTGGATTAATGTACCCTCTGGTAATTTAACATAGCTATTGAAAATGGTTCGTTTATAGTTGATTTACCCAAAAAAAAATATGTGGAATTACCATGGCTATGTTAAATTACCAGAGGGTATTTCTCATGGTTTATCATCCACTTCCCGTGTCCAAATTGTCCAAGCCACGGCTTGGACAACAAGCTCTTCGCCGGCTCCGGCCACTGCTCGCCATAGTCCACCGCCTACGTGGCACGACCCGACAGGACCCGATGGAATTCCAGCGGTGACAGCTGGGAGTTGCCGAAAAAACACCGAGAAAATGGATGGGCAACGGGAAACGAATGGACATATGCTGCAAAAATTATGGAAACATATGGGATTTAGAGTTAGCTTGGATTTATAGTATCCAATCCCATCTAAACTGGCTGGCTGGTATCTGGTGAATTGTGATTCATAATCCCCACTAGAGCATGTAGCTCAAGTTAACCAATCAACGGGTGTGTTTTAATTGGCTCAAGTGGACGGAAGTGGATGATGTTGAAACGCTTAGGTTTGGCTTTTGAGGGGTTTGATTGAAGTTGTGACTTCAACCTTTGTCCCCCGCCAGTCCTTCGGCTCCGCTATTCACGATAAAAAATGAGGTTTCCCCCTACTTTCACGCCCATGGCTGAAGCAAATTGGCCAATTTGCTTGGTATTTTCGACAGCACTGACAGGCTTCAAGAACTGAAGACCACCCCAAGACTACAACCACCCAATCCCAACCCCTTTCACCAAGTGCTCCCATCCTGTATTTGCCAAGAGGCCAAGTAGGTCTCCAAATTGGCTGGGACCCAAAAGGTCTCGTTCATCCAGGTCCTTTAGGAGTCATTGCTGGAAGGGAGTTCACTGTCGAATGGTTGAGATACCCCCAACCAGAAACAACACTCGGCCTTTGGTTTTTGCGACTCTGGCCGGGGAATGTCGTGGAACATATTGAATTGCGAGGACAATCGCCTATGCATTTTGCAAGGTATGTTCACATATTTTGTTGCTCAGCTGAATGGCTGAGCAGAAAATCCTCAAGCTGCTCGTGGGGAAGAAGTTCCAGTACCCAGCGATTCGGGTATCTCAGGACATTTGCCTAACCCTGACGTCTGGGTGATCTTCAAACCCGGTCCATGCAACTGGATTGGGTTTCCCCTTTCACTGGGGGAAAGGGGCTTGCAGCTTGCAAACAACCCAAAAAACACCTAACCTCTGGTAATTCAACATAGCTACTGCGCAACTATGGAAAAATGATCCGAAAAATGATCCACTATGATCGACGCTTCGCCATGGAAAAATGGTAGATTTTCCCATCATTCTTACCCAGTACCAAAGGGACCATCCCCTGGGTTCGGGCCAAAGCACGCCAGCTTGAAATCTGCCAAGGGTAATGGACCTCGGGTCGCCGGTCAGTGGCAACTGCCATAGCCCGGAAAAGGTCGCCATGACAATGGGAATTACCTTGTGAATGGAGATGGAAATGGAAAAAACATCGAACTAAATGGAAAATGGTGGTTTTTCCAGCTAGCCATGTTCGATTACCGGAGGGACCCGGAGGGTATATGTTGCCACCCCATGCGTTTCGTGATGTTTGATGAGGTCAATAGGTTTGGGGTTCTGATCACCATCATTCACCATCCCAAGAAAAAGAAACATCCCTAGCATTGTGCATGGGCCGTCTGTCATGGTAATGCTTGGCCAAGCACAAGCGTAGAAGCGACCAGGGTTCGCCTTGCGGCTAGTGAGAAGGAGATCTGGTGATTTCTCACTGCATCTGTGGGCGAGTTGCAGATGGCTATGGAAAATCACAATGAACAAATAGAAATTAAAAAAAACTCAACTGAAAAACTTCGGCACATGAATAATTTTTGCGTTGCACTGTTTCACATGTTTCACTGAGGGAGTGTATATTTTCCATGGCAAGTGTCCCGCATCCTGCGGCCATCGTTTCCCAGATGGTCTGGCTTGGATTTCATGCAGTGCCAGTACACAAAAAAGAAACATGGCTGCCAAGGGAGATGAAGGGAGTCCAACAATTCAAACGTGAAAGATGAAACTTGTCCAAGATTGTGCATCCCCTGCGATCTCAATGGGGTAATAATCAATCACTGGAGGATGCATTTCGAGGTACCTGATCTTCAGACAAAACCTTACATACACCTGAGCTCGCTCGCCGTTTGTTTTTTTACAGTTTCATCGTAAAGGGTATGCGGCATGCGGATCTTCCACCGCGGCCGCGGCTCGAACATCGAGATGCGAATCCGGTTGTGTTGACATGCAACAAATCATGCCTAAAATGTGTCAACCAGCAACAGGCTCTCTGTTAATCCAAATCATTTGATCAGTCCCAAAAATCTGGCTCAATTTTCGATACTCCCTCAATCAAAAGAATCGGCCCCTGAAACACAGTAGTGACCAGTTGAAGTTCTTTGTTGGCGGCTTGGATTCCTGAACATATTCCTTCAAGCACCTGTCGACCATTATCTTAACAGTGGTAGCAGACCACAAGCCCCCTGGAGATCATGAAAAGCCTGGCCGCGAAGTGGGACCTAATGAGTTGAGGGCAGCTTCAAGATCACTGGTTGCCAAAGGATCTGACACTCAAAATCTGAAAACTGACAAAGACGTTTCTGTAAAGAACGGTTGCGAGGGAAAGTCACCACTTGGTGTAGATTCATCTCCCATTCCAGGGAGTGATGTGCCATTGCCATCTTAGATCAGCAGGAGGGGTAAAATTGGATAAATCATAATCATTCACCGACCGTGCCACCTGAAAGGTTTGGCGGGCAGTTCCCCAATCCTAACCTCCTAACCACTACCCTCATTCCTGAATTCCTTAAGCAGCCTGAGGTTGTCAGGGATTACTTCTGCTACAGTACCAGCACGTCTCACACCCAGATCCTTTGTAAGAAGCGGGTTCTTCCACGGCCGTCGCTTCTTCGCACAGCGTCGAAAAAAACGGGTTGCAACGGGCGAGATGCGCACTGCAGCCAGGAGAGGATCAAGCCGTATAATTTCATGTCCGCTTAACTGGCTCGGACTAGAAGGCAATCCTCCAAAAATTGGCTGATGAGTATAGCAGTTATGTTAGGTTTGATATGCTCAGAATGTTTGGTTGATTTTGGTGATTCTTTGGTCACCTTTCTCTCGGGGGGCGTTTGGAAGTTGAGTCATGTGGTATAAAAACGTCTGGCAAAAGATTTCGCAACAGCTTACTGCAACTGGTAACAACTAATAAACTCGTGTCGCTAGCCTGCCTATCTGCATTCATGTGTTGATATACGATGTTCAACTGGGCCCACATGAGATGACATTCGAATTCCTGGGGCACAGTGCGCAACACAGTCGCATGCTGCTGGCAGCGAAGCTCAGGCATACATAGAGAAGAAGAAAAATGTCAACCTCTTGCAGGAAAGGCCCCCCTAGATAGCTAAGTTGGTTTATAACTTGGCATACTTGACCTAGGATTTATATATGGATTTATGGTATGATAGTTGTATGTACTAGTTAGATAGTGGCATAAACCAACTTATAACCAGGGGGGCCCTTCTGCGTCAGGAATACATGGGTATCGATCGGGTCACCTTGGTGTACCCTTGTACCCGGGAAGGAACTCCAAATGCTGAGCGTCCTGGCTCCAAATGGCTCCACATGGCCCTGTTGCTCCAAAACATGGGCTACAACATGACAATGCTACAACTACCAAGTCTGTTCGGATGATTTTGATACCCTCTGGTAAACTAACATAACTATGGAAAATCACAATTTTTAATGGGAAAACTCACTATAAATGGTCATTTTCAATAGCTATGTTAAATTACCAGAGGGTATATTTTGATATACTTTCATTTGGCTGAGCTGCGACTTGCGGGTTGTCCAGCAGTTGATAGGCCTCAAAACATGATTTGCAACTCTCTTAGCCTTAACAGCCTTAACATTTGCCGATTTGCCGGGGACAGCCACATTCACAAAGACCGCTGTCCCTTCATACTTCTATGAGCTTCTATGGGCCTGTTATGAAAGTTGCTTGGAATAAACAAATAACATCTATCGTATGTAACGAATTCGTTCTTCCCAACATGAAATACCTCCAATAAGGGGCACTTAAAATCCATAGATCCAGTACTAAAGATATGGTTTTACCCTCTGGTAATTTAGCATAGCTATTGAAAATCACCATATATAGTGGATTTTCCTATTAATCATGGTGATTTTCCATAGCTACGTTAGTTTACCAGAGGGTATGGTTTTAAGCGTTGTATTTGAGTGATTCTTACCGTAGAGGTCAACATCCGCTGGGTGAAATCTCGAAGGTGCCAAGGGGAATTTTCTTGGGATCTACTGGGTTTTTGTCGATATCTATAGAGGTGGATCACTTAAATAAAAACGTCAATCACCCAATCACCACATACAAATCATCAACTGAGATCAACTGAGTAGATTTAGTGGATCTTAACTTATTAAGTGGATATATTCCTCAATGATCAACCAGATGTGGTTATTGGTGTGGCCTACAACCAGATGGTCCAGTGGAGTGGCGGAACGTAGATCTGGCCACGTGGTGCAGCCACGATTTCTGCGTGTGCAAAGGCTCGGGTGAAATCGGATCTTAAACAGGATACAAATGGAAATCGGTATATTAATGGAATTATATTAATATATATATATACAACCCGCTTGATATGATCTGGATAATGTATAATAACTCACTCACCAACCTGAACTATTCGGTGATTTTGGGATAGGTACCCCTACTATCCAGCTTTCCAGTGAGGCCCATAATCATCCAAGGAGGATAGTTCTTACCCAATAAGTAAGACCTCGCTGAACATCATTTTTTTCACAAAGCTGAAAGTGAAGGTTATTGTCCTTGCCATCATTGATGTTGAAGCAGTGTTTGAGATCGTTGTAATTCACTTAGATTTAATTATTTAGATTTATATAATAATAACTATATATATATATGTACATATTGACACAGGATCTGGGATATATATATATAATTATATAATATATGTATATATATATATATCTATATACATGTGTGTGTTCCCTCTAGGAATCAGGATGACAACTTTCTCACGCGTGCCGCACCGCAGCCAGATGCTGACTTTCTGTGGTGAAAAAGTGACGTGCCAACACATAGCGCACCTTGTCATCTCTCCCTTTTCGCCAGGAAAAACATCACCAAATCAAGTACCGGCTCGGGTTTTGTGTGATAACTATGACTGGAAGTGACCAAGTTGGAATCCAGTTCGAAATCCAAACCTCAGCATGTGTTTGTAAATGCACGTGTACCATTATATCATATCACTATATCTTGGCACGCAAGATTCAGATAGATTCAGGGCAAAAAAATGAAATCTCTTTAAGAAATGGAGCGTGGCAGTGTCCCGGATGCTCCCATGGCAGCTTTTCCTCTGAAGACTTTAGTCCTTGTGATTCGCACTTCGGCAATGCATCCAACGTCCATGCGTACTCATGATCATCCCTCATTGATGGCCCAAAAAAAGGCCAGTTATACCATCACTTAACTTGTCCTCAACCAAGTTTGGCCCAGCGTCCAGATCCAATCTGGTAATCCCCTCCCGCTACGGATCAAAGATGATCAAAGCAACCGGTTGCTGCATACTCCGATGTGTAGCGATGCCTCTTCTGCATCCCACTTTACAACAGATGGGATGTGCAGATGGCGTTTGAAAAATGGCAGCCGCCGCTCCAGGTGCATCCTGCTAATGCTGCTAATGGCCAATGTCTAACTTAGGCAGATTTTTTTAAACAAAAAAACATGACATAACAATACATAACAAACTGACATAAACATCATAAAGTGACATGAGATTATCTTATAGCTTGATAATTGGTGTTTCCATGTGTTTCCTGCAAATCGTTCTTTCTTGTCTGACTATAACTGAACTTCGCATGATACCCTGTATAATCCTCTCTCCCTATTACTAAACACCCCCCCTCCCAAAATGGTAAACACGGTGGTCTATTTTCATTGTTAGGATTTCTTAGGGAGTATTTTGTATTAGGGTGCCCCTAAAAATTCCAATAAAAAAATATAGATAATGAAAATTTAAAAAAACTCGATTTCAAATTTGATTAACATTTTAGAACCCATCTCTGGGCCCTGGGAATCCCGGCAGCGGATGACAGTCACAGCCCAACAAGTTGGTCGGACTGTGGGTGCTCAGCAGAACTTCTCTTTATACATTGCCCACCATGGGTTTGGGCCAAGGGACGCTGGTTGGAAAACAGAAATCGGAATGAACCATACCTCAGATCTCTCTCTTTGCACGCCATGTTGACCCAGCGAGAGCTGATGACGATTCAATTCCTCTTTACAAGACGTGACTCTTGAAGGCTTTGCAGCCACGCCAGCTAGAAGTGAGGGTTGAGAAAGGCCGTTGTTGAGTGACTGGCGAATAATTCTAGGATAGTCCTCAAATATCCTCAAATATCCTCAAATTTTATTGTCCATGATTTGGACCTCCAAGTGGTGTGATCCTCCAAGTACAAATGCAGCATAACTCGCTGAGCATCAAAACATTGTGCTATAATTTCACTTATCAGGAAGTACCTGTTTTTTACTACTTAGGGGATCTTAGGGGTTAAAAGGTGATAAGTGCATCAAATTCCCATACTTGACAGAACTTGTTTTTTCCGATAAATTTAGGAGTCAGACTCAGGGCAGCATCAAGAATCTCAAAGCCTGGTATTTTTAGCGCATCCCTGCAGAATTGGTTTTGAAAGGGCTGTCACAGTCTGTCACGCGCAACCCAAAGGGAGATCCTTACACGTTTTGACATATTGTTTTTTTGCCACCATTGTTGCCTGGACATGCAGGAAAATCCAAGAAACGCCGATAAAAATCCGATAAGTAATATATTATATGTTTTTGAGCATTGTCAGAAAAGTGCCCTTGTGAGACCTACTTTGCCAATACTGCCCTATTTGTCTACTTTGATCCTCAGGGACTGGTGAACCATTGAAATCATTCGGATGGATGTGGCTCCCCTTAACCTTAACAGTGGCATAATAGTCTGGTGGAGTCCTTTTGAAGACTTTTTTGGGCGCATAGACATACACAGGAAAATGGATGAAAATGGATGAACATGGAACATTCTACCTGAATCTGCTCAGCATCGAACAACAAAGACCTTTCACGCTGAAGAAACAGGTCACTCCTGTGGATACCTGTCGAAAATACTGCTGTTCCGGAGCTTTTGCCCCGGCGCAGTCTTTACATGGGGCAAAAATCTTTGCACAACCGCTGCCACGCAGCCGTAGAACACTGATGACCTGAGGTCATCCGTTCCACGCTTCGTTGGTTTCCGCACAACCGAAGGAAGGGCCCAGCGATGCCCTGCCGACAAAAAGGAAGAGCGGCCTCTTGTAGGAACCGTCCATCGAAACAAGTCTCAAAGACATCCAAACCCATCTATTTTCAATAATTTGTCAATAAATTCCAAGTCAATGTGCACAAAGAGGAGTCTTGTTACAAGGTTCCTTGACATCATCCCCCCCAAAAAAAAACATCCACAGAGGATTCGGTCAGCTCCGGTCCTCAGAGTTCCACGCGCATCTTCGAGAAGCTGCGCTGCAGCTTTTTCGTCACCATCTCCTTGAACTGGCGCATGGTCACCATCTTCACCCGGCATTCCAATAGGTGGATCACCTGCATCTCGGCTGGTGAACTGGCAACCATCAGTGCTGGAAGTACGAGCCACCAACTACGGCTTATATTCTATATAATATTAAATTATATATATATAATTATATGTGAATATAATATATATATATATATGTGTGTGTGTGTTCATGGCTATATGGTTACACCCAAAAGGATAGAACAGTCACTCATATACTCCAATATGTTTTGTTTATATAGTAGGATTATTCGTCTATGCGTTTGCTTGGTGGTTTCTATCATATCATATTATCATATATATATATATATACACGTATATATAGAGCATGTATGCGTACGGACGCACATGTATACGTATGATAATGTATATATATATACAATAGATACTTACTTTAAACATCATGTTGATCCCCATTCTCAATGGATTAGTTTCAGGAAAAATGCCCAGATTCCATCATGGACATCCCAGAAACCTGACAGCTTTCCGGCCGGAACCCGTGGGCACCTCATCATGGGATCCTTCCACGTCCTTTTCCCGTGCATAGTCCAAGGGGGTCAATCCTTCCGAAGTCTTCCTTCGTCACCGAGTAGGGCACCAGAAAATTGGGATTTCATGGTTTCTATGACGGCTTGGATCGTGAAGTCATGACCATTTCCCCCAACTAACATTTCGACCCAGCCAGTTTTGTGGGCTGGAAGACGACCTTCCAAAAATTGGGACAAGGAAATTTCAAGCTCTGAATGTTGGGGAAGTGTGAGGAAAGCATGGTAGTTTTGTTGCACAATATCCAGGGAATATCCAGCATTGCATGGATGCGGATGGTCCCCTAGTCAGTCATCTCTATGATCAAGTGGAAACTCTGGATTTCCAGACGTGCTGGAGATGGCAACAAAATACACAGGTGAAGTTCAATTGGCCAGTTGTCTTCGAAGTGACGTGGACCCTCCACGCAGAAAAATGAGGTAATGCACCCATCATGGTGTGGGACTTTTACCGATCTTTATCCGCACTTGGAGGATATAGGTAGCTATTCCCTGAAAAATAATTCCAATAAATCTATCTTGGCAAAATGTCACTGCATTAAAGCAGTCAAAAAGTCAGGTCACTTTTCTATTTTTTGGACAAACCTATGTTTAACTGTTTGGTACATTGGCGAAATCATGCGAAATCCACATGTTTGCCTGGTTAGATCATGTTAAATCCACCTAAATCCCAAGTTCAACATTTTGGGCTGGCTGCAAGTTTGGCTGGTGACATCATCATGTTTGATGTGCTTTTTCTCTCCATTTGGGGCTTGTTTTTTATCGCCACTGTTCATGGTTTAATCCACATCGACTTGACTAATGGTAGTTTAATCACATGTTTTCATGGTTAAATTCATGTTGCTGATGGTAAAATCCATGGTTATTCCATGGTGACATGACCATCTTTGATGGTTAAATCACTATTTTGGATGGTTAAATATGGTTAAATCCCATAGTTCGTCATGTTAAGTATGGTTAAATCACTATGTTTGATGGTTAAATCACGATGTTTCCCCCTCTTTTGGTGGAAACCCGTTGCTATCCCCGGCCCTGCCAACATCCATAGCAGCGGCTGATCCGGATCAGCACCGCGCACCATCAGCACGCGCAGCAGCTTCGCGTCTCCCAGGAGAGCTGCCGCATGAATCGGCCAGAGGCCCGCCACACCTGGAACCGGTCTCCAGGTGAGTTCAGGTGAAAAAAGAGGTTTAATATGGCTATTGATGGTTATGAATGGTTAAAAATTGTTATATATATATAATATCATGGAATATAATATATTAATGGTTAATCACAGTTATTTGCATAGTCATTACATGGTTATTCATGGTTAATAATTAATAACCATTAAAGTTGAGTTCATTATAGAATGGTTATGAATGGTTTATAATGGTTCAATGGTTAGTAACTGGTAATCAAGGGTGTGAAACTAACAATAATGGACGAAAAATGGACAGTTGGAATAAGATAAATATAGGATGAACAGGGAGAAGCGATAAGCATTTATTTTCCAGCAGGTTTTCTGGAATATATGATCGACAATATTTTTTCTAAACCCTCCAAGTATCCAGAAAACGGAGTAATATTCTCATTATTTGGGGAACCCATTTCTATGGGTACTTGGAGGGCCTAGGTAGGTATCTATACAATGATCATTTCTACTGTTTATTGGCTTGTCAACCACTCCAACTATGCCTTTGGGTGGCAAACTGGGTAGGGAAGGATGTAAAATGACCCATTTCCGCCCAAGAGTAGCTACCATTTAAACTATTGTGGGTTGGAGCAAGCCAGTTATGTTTGTTGGTTGATCTTAGTTATACACCAACTTACCGATCGTTTCGGGGGGCCTTCACCCTTAACAGAAACAGGGGTGCACGCGGGTGCGGATGGTTCCTGTAAACTTCCATTCAACTTTCGATACCACGGTTGCTCATTGCTGTGCCTGAAACACCCCACAAGGAATGGCACCCCCAACAAATCGCAAATATATATTGAGTAGTGTGTTCATGGTGGGGAAATCCGGGGTTCAGAGCTGATCATCAGTTTGGGAATTTCGTCTGGGTAAATTGCTTTGTAGTTGAGAGATGTTCCATGGATTGAGAGGGACTTTTTTCAATAGCACATAAAAGGACATGCTCAAACATGAATGGTCACTTTACAAAAACATCACAAGGAGCATCAAAAATAAGCGAACAGCACCACCATTCCCAACCTGGAACCGAAACCTGCAGTTTTCCGGAGGAATCACCAGACTGTATCAAACTATGCCTGGGGAATCGATTTCGGTGAAGTCGTGCTTGCGCAAGAACGCTTCCAAGCGTGCTTGGCGACGTTTGGCTCGCAAGGTACGCTTGGACTCCTTTGCTGCTGGACCTCGGTGGCTTGATCCTGTTGCCTGCCGGGCTCGGACATGATCAAACCATATCAAAAAAAACATCTTGAATGATATACCCTCTGGGAATTTAACGTAGCTATTGAAAATGAATAGTGGATTTTCCCATTAAAAATGGTGATTTTCCATAGCTATGTTAATTTACCAGAGGGTAACCAGCTTCATATGCCAACCTCCTGAAGCTGACACCAAAAAGATACTGTTGCTTTTCGGTGGGCATATTCTTTTGAAAAAGCACAACATGTGCAAGAGGAACTGGGCAAAAACGAAACACCAGGAATCCCAACCCCCTGATATCAGATGTAAACCCAAACTCAGGCTGCAGCATTGGATCTGTCAGTTCTGGGACCCATGCGGGGGAATTGATCAGTATTCAATATGCGCAGGGGATTGCCTCTTTGACAAACACAGTTTCACTTGAGAACTTGAGGACCGGTTGATTTCGCCCCAGGTTTGTAACACTTAATGCCAAGTTAGGATTAATAATCCCCGCGGTATTAATCAACCCCCTCTGCCCCAAAACAAACATGTAATTTAAAAAAAGGTGGTCCCCCAGGATTAATAAACCCCCCCGATTAAAAAACCACCAGTGCTGGGATCAATTTTTTATCCAACAATTTTTATTTCCAACCCCATTTATTTCCAATTTGTTTTTACATTTTTTAATCATTATTGTTATACTTAAGGTTTAAGTTGATCATTGAAAATTTCAAAAAACGACTATTCCCCAAATGATCGATTTCTAATTAAAATCTTTATAAAAATCACCAGTTTGGATAGCTCCCAAAGGGTACCCCCCATGAGCCCATGTCCCCCATTCATAATAACCAGGGTTTGCCCCTGATTAATCAACCACCTTTCTGATCCGTGAGATTTTAACAAATCCAATAGAATTCTATTAAGATCTAATTGACGTAAGCCATATCCAAATTTTTATGGTTCAGAGTTGCTCATTATTAAGGGATGGTCAAGAAACTAGCCAGAAGGTACCCCCCCTACCTACCGGGGGGGGGGTTGATTAATCCGATGTTGGCATTACCCATGAGCCGGAATAGAACTAATTACCAAACAAAAATGACACAACCCAAAACTGTGGATAGAAGACAACCATGGTCATTCTTCATAAGCTTGCCTCATACTGTTGCATCCCACATCGTCCGCCGCATCGCACCAAGCAGCTGCTGTTCCAGCAAGGCATGTCATCCACGAAATCGATGAGGTCGGGCTTCAGAGATGGCTGTGACTTGACTTCTGGAAAGGTGACATCGACAACGTCGCCAAACAGCATGTCCTGAGAAATTGGCGAGGCCGAGGTGGAAGAAAGTCGAGTCTGAAGAATGCACATATCATACGGGTGGGCCCTGTGAGTTAGAAAGAGCCACCAACTATAAATGTATCATGTAAACCTATAGTCCCTGTAGTTATGTACAAAACAAACTTACCTAGGGGGCCCCACATTAATTAACAATGCCATTGCAGGCGTATTGGTTCAAGTTGTGTAACCAACCGGTGATGTTTTCAGCAGTTCAGGGCCACAATGTTGACATTTCTGGAGCCTTGCGGTAAATCATCGTGTTCCAGCAAACATGTGGGTGCCAAATTTTCAGACACAGTCATATGGAAAGTCAAAGATTGGAAGTGGCTATCCCGCCAGTGCAGTGGAAGAGCGAAGCTCAACAATATTAGTCGTTGGATGGATATAAAGGAAAATTAAAGAAAACAAACATGTGAGAGCAACATGTGTCCTTTAAATTTTAAGGTATATCTATGCATATCTTGGCCCCTGCTTGCAGGGTCATCTCAGAGTAACCGGGCAGCCAATGCCCCGCTTGCTTTGTATAAATAAGAAATATGCCAATGCGCTGACAATACTACCAGTACAAGAACCAGCCAAAAGCAGTAAGGATCTCTCTCCACCCATTGATTTACAATTACCCTCTGGCAATTTAATAGTTTGCTATGGAAAATGGATGAAAATGCATGAAAATTGCATATTTATAGACGAATTACCTCCTAAAAATGGTGATTTTCCATAGCAAACTCTTCAGTTCCCGCTTGTGACTCCCTGGGATAAACCGAGCATCGTCCCAGACGGGTGGTTCCTCAGCGTCCAAGTCCAGTTCGGGTTTCACCGGCGCACCAAGGGAAAGCAACATGGCGATGGCAAGGCGGTTTGCGAAAAGGGGAGGCCGAGGGGGCAGTGAAGCAGTGAAGCAGTGAAGCAGTGAAGCAGTGAATGGTGAAGCGTTACATGTGTTGAAATTGGAGAGTTGGCACGGTTGGCACGCCTAAGTTTGAGATCAACCGCACGCGGATAGGAATATATAGCTTGCCCACTCTGGACCTACCAGAGCCAAAATGGCAAAAGTCAACATCGCCTGCGCAGAAGAAATTGGATTTGGACTGGGGCATTTGCGATGCCGACACAACTACAACAAAACTACGCACATGCAGCCCCTATAAAATCACTTGCATTCAATGGATCTTAACTTTTCCAAGACTGAAGCCATAATACAAGAGTATATAAACAGGTCGGCTAGAAAAGCGTTTGAGTTGGGAAACACCTGCTGCAATTTTTGTCTCCAAACCTTCTTATTTCTGTACCTTCTGAGCCAGTTCATGCTGGCCAATCAAAGAAACACTAGAAAATCTATAAAAACAAAAGTTATACCCCAAAACTCCCTTGCAGTTTTAGGCTTAGGTGCAAAAGGATCTGCAATAAGCATCTACATGCCCATGACCCATGTCCATATCTATCAAATCTCCCTGTACAAGTTCGGCCACTTGGGGATGATTTCCCATACCATCATTCCAGTGATGTCACGACGTAAGGTCATCCAGAAATCGCATATAAGGTCACCATTTCAGTCTTGACTCATGTGAAATCCCATTAAGATATTTAAACAAAAAACACATAAAAAGCACAACCTTTACCACCCCAAGATGGCTTTCAAGATTCATGGGGTTTCATGGTCCTCATGGGTCTCACCCCATCAAAAAATCACCCGAACTTCGCCTTGCTGGGCTGTGGCCAAGCCAACCGGCAGCGTTCGCAGGTGCGGCCGCAGCCGGCCGCACAACGGGGGAAGAAGCCGGGACGGCGACCGACCTTTTGGAGCCGACCAGGCAGCCATTTGGTCCATGGGAAATAGAGGTGTTAACCATCAACAAAAGGGATTTTCTATGGGTTTTGAATGGGAATTCATGGGGGCTTATGGGAATTTATGGGAATTCATGGGAATTCATGGGAATATGATGGGAAACAAACATATTTGGAAAATCACCCGGCAATAGTTCCATGAGATTCCCAGCTTTAAAACCTCCATTTCTGGGGAGTTTGATTAACGGAGGGTAAAGCTTGATGATGTCTTCATATTTTTTCTCCAGCATGGAATTTGGATGAATTTTGTTGATTCAGTAGTTGGTTCTTTTAAAAATATATATATATATATTCAGTTCCATATCTTATCAGTTCAATGTCTCACTTTCTATCCATTTCTATTCATGTCAAGTATTCCCTGGAGATCCGAAGACTTGACTACAAATCAATTAATGCATGTTAAATCCCCCCTTTGTCTTCGCAAACAAGAACCACTCTGGATCACAGTTTTGCTGCCCAGCAGCCATGGCGGGGGGCGGTGACAGCAACACACCCAACTCCAGCGTCAGCCCATCGTCAATCCGGGGCAAGCGACCACGGAGCCTGGCAGATGGGAGAGGCCCTGATCGCCTGAGGGTCTAAGGAAAACATGTAGGTTTTTTTATCAATCATCCATCATCTCGGGGTTCAACACGGCTTCTAGTATCTTACAAGTAGATACTTAAGGCTTGAGATGTTTCAGAGGTTCGGGACACTTTTGTCTTGATGCGGCCGCAAAGTGGTATGTTGATACCCAAACAAACCATCGAAAATATAGTGACCACATATCAATCTGGCAAACATCAAAAAGTTCATGGGAATGCCACATGACCACACTTGTTTTTTCTCTAATGTTGGTAAGACAAAAGTACATCATTCCCAAAATTCCCATGAATAGGTGGTCTAAACCAAAATATTGGTGGTTTATTATTGATATGATTGCTTTACTCACATTATATAACTATCATTTTTAACATTTATCAACCATCAATGATCACCATTCATCTATCATTTTTATCCATTCATATCATTACAGGCCTTACCAGTCATAGTTTTAATGCCCGCCCATCGGCGCCCGCACCTGCAGCCGGCCATCAGCGGACCATGTGGGCATCTGGAGGTATCAAGTTCCAGGCCCTGCTTCCTGAAGGCCTGACATAACAAAAAAAAAAATACCACATTTTAAGCTATAGGTACTTCATTGAGGCGGCAAAAAAACACACACATTTATAGTGTTTGTATGTGTTTGTATATATATATATATGTATATGTGTATATATATATATATAGGTATATATATGTGTATATATATATATACACATATGCCAGATTTTTTTCACTTCAACCTTTTCTATTTGATTTCCGTGTCTTTTGTAACTGGTGAGGTCGCGTTTCTGTCGCCTTCTCCAAGGCGTTGAGGCCCAACTCGTGCAGCCAGGGCCCAAAGGTCGCCACGCTCAGCGTGGCGCCCGCGGAGGCCAGGCAGCCGCGCCTGGCGGGGGATGGGATAGGGATCGGATGGGCTGTCAGTGTGGTTATTCTTGTTATTAAATGATGATGGAAACATCATTTTAATGGTATATGATGATTATGATTGATGATGATGATGATGATGGTGGTGGTGATGATGATGGTGATGGTGATGGTGATGAGGAGGAGGAGGAGGTTGATCATGACCATGATGCTAAGGAAAGGATCATGTTGTGGTGGTCTGTGTTAACGGTTAACGGTTGCAACGCCCAAATGCCATGACAACAAAATCAACACACATAGCATGACAAATCTGAAGCAAAGCATCCGATCATCAAAATCCATTGAACATGGACCATGTCGAAAAATGTGGTTGATGCCGGTGATACCCGGCAGCTATTGTTGTTCAAATATGGGTTTGACCAAAACTACAGGACCCCACGAACTTGACGTTGAAATGTAGAAAATTCATGAAAATGATGATCGAACCTTAGTTTCTCCCAAGAAAAGTCTAACACCATACTTTTCACTAACCATAAATCTGGGTAAATTACAATGTGGTGCCCCCAAGATAGCTAAGTTGGTTTATAAATCTAATAACTAACTAGGACTTATGGTAGATATATCTTAATGGGATTTTTTGTTCCCAACTTATAACTGGGGGGCATCACCTTGTATAATATTTCACTCACCTGGGGGATGATTCCGCGTCGGCCTCCAGCCAAGTAGCAAGTCGCCCACCTCGCCCGGATGGGTCGATGGCCCGAAGGGGGAAAGATTCCCATCTATGAAGGGGTATACCCTCTGGTTATGTCAAAATAGCTATTGAAAATTGCCATCTATAGTGGATTTTCCCATGAAAAATGGTGGATCTTTCCATAGTTATGTTAGTTTACCAGAGGGTAATACTATATTACATGGAATATACTATATCATAGTATTAATATGGAATAGAATTCCCATCTATTGAGCGGATAACCTATATGAATATCTATGAAGATTGAATAGTACATATCCTATTGATGGAGTGAGTGGAGTGGACCATCTATGAATAGTATATTCCACTTTTTAGACTTTACACTTATATATATATATACTTATATCCAGTTTTATCAACAAACATTTCTCTTGATAAAATCCGCATGACCCTCCAACTTATCCCATCCCGAAAATAACATCATTGTTTGGTTTGCATGTGGGGATAGCCAAATACTTGGGATGGTTATCTTGTCCCCAAAAATCCCACGAGATTGCACATGTGTTCCCATATTGCCATAGTGTTGATTATATCATGTTACAGTATACCCCATGATATCCCCAAATTTCGTAGTCTACCCTCTGGTAAACTAACATAGCTATTGAAAATCACCATTTATAGTGGATTTTCCCATGAAAAATGGTGATTTTCCATAGTTATGTTAGTTTACCAGAGGGTAAAACCTCCTGTTTTACTCCCAACTTGCCATCCCATCTCGGCATCGGCCCCGCGACCACGATCAACGGCAAGGACTGCGTCGCGAAGATGCGCTTGATCTCTCGAAGGCCGCGCATCGCCTTTTGGCGCAGCAGCTGAGGGTGTTATGAGGATAGCCTTGCTCATGTCACTGGATTGGTTTAAGGGAAAATCTACAGGAAACCATGGTTTTTACCATCAAATATAGGGCTTTCCTGTAAAATTTCCCATAATCCAATTCTATGCTCATGGTAATATTCTATGGTAATATAAAGAAAAGATGTTCTTTCTATGGTAATGGTAATATTATAGTAATATCCTATGGTAATATTCTATGTATATGAGTTCTATAGACGGTAAATTATAGTAATATTATCTTTCAATATGTAATGTAATCTATATAAGTTGCCACTATGGTAAAATTCTATGAGGATAGCCTTCCCCCCCATGTTCCAGCCAATGATGTGTCTCCCCCAAAATCTACTGATATGACACCTTATTGAAAAGCATCTCTCAATGATTATTGTTACGAGACTTGTTGAAAACATAGAATTGACCAAAAATTGATTGCAAAAGCGTAGGGTACCCCCTGTGGTTCTGTGATTAATGGGATGCTTGGTGGCTTTCAAATGTTTTTGGATTGTATGGCTGGAAGATAGGCAAGGCTATCCCTAGATCTATCTACCCTCTGGTTAGATCTATCCACCCTCTGGTAAACTAACATATGGAACATCACCATTTTTAATAGGTAAATCAACTCTGGCCCCTTTGCCATGTTCTATATAGCTTTCTGTATGTTTACCAGAGGGCATGTATCCATGACAATGATTCCTGAAGTTGGTGGATGAACTTCATCTCCAGCTGAGGTGCCGCCAGTTGCGTATGCATCTTGTCGGCATTCCGACGAAATGGATGCGTTTGCCAAAAGGCGTCCGCCTCGGCAAAAAAGGGCCGGGAGGCGTTTGCCATGGCCATCTTCAACCAACATGGGGTGTTTTTTTTGTTGTTTTGCGCCCAAAAATAAAAAAAGGGATCTCAACTTAACCCAGCAAAATAAGGGATTTACATGGATTTGCTTCAGATCAACGAGCAAAAAACACCTGGTCAATCCTGGTCATCTCAAGTTGATGAGAGGCAGGAGATTGTGTTGGAGCACCTTTCGAAACAATCGTGATGCTTTACCTACATAATTTTCGGTCCGCAGCAGTGGGGCACACAATCGAAATGATGAACAACCTGTCCATCAAATCATGGCCAATAATGTGGTAAACCCAATAATCAACCATCTCCCAAATTACCATTATAATGGGTTGTATAAACCATCCCCAAATGGTAGCTTGATGGCATTCGCTTTGCCACATGAGGTTTTTTCACAACTACATCATGGACACCAACTGCTTGATCACTGGGTTAACCCCCAATAATTATCATTTAGCAAAATCAATTGGTAGATAGATGATAGACATTGATAGACTATCATAATCTACCCTCTGGTAATTTAACATAACTATAGAAAATCACAATTTTTCATGGGAAAATTCACTATTTCAATGGTGATTTTCCATAGCTACGTTAAATTACCAGAGGGTAAAACAAAATCATGACCAATGATTTACATCCAAACCGTTAATTGGTCGTTGATGTTACACTTAAGATTAACTAGCCACCTCTGCGAACAGATTAAATCCACCAAACATGGGCTCTGATCGAATGACATCTATCCTATCTATCTCCAATGGTTGATTAATAAAGTTCTCAGACAGTCTTTTGAGTCTTATCGTAGGTCCCAAAAAAAGATAGAGAAAAAAAATCACATTGAAAATAGTATAGAATAGTGGTGAACTACTATATAATATATCTTGCAGGTAGCGAACTCTTACAATTTTTAATCTATCTTTTGGGTATTTGAAATGCGGTTTTGGATGTTTTGGTTCCTGATTTGGATCCAATTGTCTTTATTTGTCTCTATTTGTCTCTATTTGTCTCTATTTGTCTCTATTTGTCTCTATTTGCTTTTTCCAAGTTTTTTTATATCATGAATATGCTTCTCCAGGTCCCTGGTTCAAACCCTTCTGGTTCAAACCCTGCTTTACTTCTGGTGATATATATATATTATATCATATCATATCAGAATCATATCCCCATTCTACCACCCCACAAGCTACAACGTTTGGCGCCCATATTCCCCGGCCTCTTCCATGTCGCACGTGACCAGTTCGTCGTGTGCGAAGTGCAGGGAGAGGTCCGGCGGGTCCGGGACGGTGTTGAGGTCACGACCTGCCACGCGGGTGGACCGAATGGGTTATAATATAATGTAGTGATTATAGTTAGTATTATATATAGTTATGATATATATATATAGTGTTATCATATATAATCACTACATTACTGTCATTTATATCCAATTAATAGTAGTGATTATATATATCCAATTTAATATCTACTATATATGGATATACTATATATGGATATAATATACTATATAATGTAGTGATTATAGTTTCCCCAATAATCCAATTCCCATCCATCAATGATAAATAGCCATGGTGCCTGGGGTTTGTCGTTGTTTGTCGTTTATAAGTTATAAGTGTGGAATGGGGGACTTAAACACTTTGAACCAATATTGGGATGTTACTTGGGGTTTGATATGAACTTTGTGTAGTTTAGAATAGCCATGGCAGAAATGGTTTATGGCAATTTGAAGCCTAGTTAATGGATGTACAGCTGGGCTGAAACTAAACCAACTTGTACTGTAACTGGGAGTCCCACCTTTTACAAATCTCTGTAGGGCATAATAATCATAATACCTTGTAAAGGTGCATATTTGATATATTATATAGATGTACTGTAAAAATCTGCAGATGCCCTCGTTGGTTAATCGCTCCGAGGCCCCAACTGTCTTCCAACAGCCCCGATCCTCGGAACATCCAGGATGAGCCAAAGGTATTTTTTCCTACTGGGGGACATTGATAGGTGGAATATGGTGGAATATGGTATGGTTGTATTGAGATGTATTGAGTTGTATTGAGATGTACTGACATGTATTGACATGATTCTATAGGGATGTAATTTTTGGGATGGCCCTGGATGGGTCTACAGAGTCTACATCCCTGGCGCCTGGATGAGCATCCTGGTTGGCCCGTATACATGGATTGTTCATAGGGGTGTTGCGTGTCCTTGTTATTTGAATTTGCCCATGGGTTCTGCAGATTGTCATTTCAGTAGTGCTCAATGATCTGTACTTGGCAAGTAGGTCAAAGTCATTTTGGAAATCGCGAGGGCCTTTCTGGGTCCATGTTCGATCCAATGCAGTTTCTCCGTTTGTTTTTTGGAAAAACTATGGTGGATTCTCGCATAATTACCAGATCCAGGCCCAGTATTACAAATCTGGGACACGCATCGTTCAGATCGACGTGGCATCACATCAAGCGCTGCCCTCTACTATCATCTACCAGGGCAACCATCTACCACCGTGCAAAGAAAGAGGACCCAAAAAAAACAGGTTGTTCTATCTGACAGTTTCTCAACGATTCAAACTCTTAAAGGCCAAACACATATGTTCGAAGTTCCGCCCAAAAATCCGCGTTTTTTTTTGGGTTTCCCCCCATTTTTCCCGGGGTCAATGGCCATTTCAGATACCAATTTATTGGAGGTACCTACCTCCGCTTCAACCGCCGCATCCCAACAGCACCTGCATCCCGTCGCATTAAGTGGGACCGTCCCAGCCACGGCTCATGGTTCTGCGCAGAAATCGGCGTTTTGCAATTGAAATCGGTATTGGAAAACTATAGGAATCATAAACAATGGATGTTGAAAGGTTTTTCTTTCAAGAACCCTCAATGGCAAACCTGGAAAGTACGAAACTTGGTGGGCTGCAGGTGCACTCCTTGCAATTAGTTGACCCGGTGCACCCTGTGCACACGGTGCAGCAGTTGGTGCGTACGGTCACTGATCGCGGTGGCCATGGAAAATGCAGTGACTTTGTGACAAACGGCCTTTTAGTCATGGTAGATGATGGACGCTGATGCATCAAACAAGGACTTGCATACAAGATAGTGATTTGAAATATTTGAGCATGCCAAAACAATGGATTTTTAATGATTTTTACGCATCTAGCGATGTTTGTTGATTTATAAACCGCATTGACTAGTTCTTACAGTAAATCCAAATTTAACTTTATCTGGTTGGTGGTTTTAACCATCTTGAAAAATATTAATTAGTCAATGGGAACGATTATCCCATATAGTATGGAACATAAAAAATGATTGAAACCACCAACCAGAATCCTATTTAATCCTATTTACCCTCTGGTGAACTAACATAGCAATGGAAAGATCCACCATTTTTCATGGGAAAATCCACTATTTCTATGGCCATTTTCCATTGCTATCAACATCTGATGCACCGGATCAAGTCGTCGTCACGCCTCTGCAGCAGCGGACCACAGGCAGGCGGCGATTTTCAGCACCTGCGAAAGGCTTCCCCAATTTGAACGCGGGCTGGGAGGGTTCAAAGCGGTGGATGAGCCAAAATGGAAGGGTACTGTGGATGGAAGAAATCCTGCACCAGGTAATAGGTCTAATAGGTGGTTTATCCCATTATTTATAGATTTTATAGGTTTTCTACCATCCCAGGTGGTGCAGGATTTCTTCCATCCACAGTAGCTGAAGGAAAAGGGAACATTAGCTATGTGGATTCTAGGCGGTGATAGGTGATCGTTGTCAATAACAGCTACTGCAAATGTATTATATATATATATGCTCAGTTAGGTTTGTTGATATTTCAGCCACCCACCCATTGGGCATACTTGGGTTTCATCATATGCTGCGGTCAGGCACTGAGATCGCCTTTGTTTACCTTGATTTCAGCCTAGATGATCAAAGTTAGACAGAGGTCTCCCCCAAAACAAAAGTCATTACCCTCCAGTAAACATAGCAAACAAACTAACAGTTTGCCATGGACCACCGCCATGTTCAATTGATAAATTATCTGCAAAAGGGCAATTCTCCAAAGCTATGTTAGTCTACTAGAGGGTACTTGGAATGATGATCCTCATTCCACCAAGGCTTTCCACCATCACAAGCTTGGGGGAATCTACATCCACCAGACCCTAGAACATTCCACAAACATCGCTGTGAGTCCTAGCTTGTTCTTTGGAGAACTCCTCCTTGTTGCTATCTTCAACCTATCTTCCAAGGCCAGCTGAGTGCGCCTGAGTCATACATGGAAACGAGGACGCAGTGTGACCCCGTCCTCGATTCAGGGCCTGCTAAGGACAGTGCCTGAAGCACCTTGAACCCAAAAGGTGCCAGAGAAAGGGCGTGGAAGCGGATGGAACAATGACCACATGGCCTGATTTTGATGGCGGGGTGACAGTCATTGCTGGCTCATGGGTGCTCAGCATTTAACACTAGGTCAGCATCACTTTCGCGAACCACAAAATAGAGATTGACATTTCCGCAGGGTGCAGATGGGTGCAGCCTATCTTCAACAGATTGCCAAAGCCAGCTTAAAGGAGACAACCATCCAACGGAACTAACATGAACCAACTAACATCGCGCTTGGAGATGTTGGATTAGGCTGGTCTCAACCCTCCTCAACAATATGTGAGGGTAGCTGGAATCACCATTCCAAGGATTAAACTATGCAGTGTTTCAAGAACACGAAACCAACAACGAGACTATAAAACCAACCAATCTCCCAGCTATATCCTTATTTTTGCTGGGTCAGCTCCCATTGATAGCCGGTGAACTACCTATATATAATTATTAATATATATATATATATACATACATATTCAATCAGTTTTTCATGGCCATCCTCTGCGGATGCGGTCGTCGCATTCAATCTATCCATGGTCTCCACTGCATTGCGTGGAGACAACCCTTGAACTGCGTACGTGAGACAGGTGACACGGGTGAAACAACGAGCATCTGCCTCTGAGAATTCCTGGCCAACAGACTACCCATTTAATTTGTGTCACCATCTTTGAACACCAAGTGTGAAATCGTCATTCAACCATCATCAGAAACTCCTGCAATAGTTGTCGAAGCATCATAAAACCATCATAAAACCAAACCACCATGACCATTGCACCACTATCAGAAACCCAACACAACTTCTAAACAGCGTAAACCCATGACCTGTGGCGTGATTTTGACACCTTTCAGCGGCTCAGCGGCTCAGTAGGGCTGGGACAGGCTACGCAGCAGTTCACAGCCCCAGCGCTGGATGTCCAGCGAGCGCGCCTTGCTAATCACCTCAGTCACGGATGGGTAAGTTGCTGGTTACTTTTATGGCAGTGTGTCAAAACCAATAGTACCCCTGTAGTTCACATCAAGTCATAGCTGGGTTAAAATGGATGTTCATTCCCCTAAAAATGGTATTTTCATAGGTATTGATCCATGGCCATATATAAATGTTGGCTAAGAAGTGGTAATCTACAGTTGCATGGGTATTTCACAAATCTGGGGAGATGGCCCAGCAATATTGGAAAGATAGGAGGGTTTTACCATCGGGTAATCAGTCACATGGCTTGCCCGAGAATAAACCTCCATTAGTTCGGGGATTTCCCAGGCATTTCCCAGGCATTTCCCAGCTGCCTGCCATATTTGATTACCAATATTGCCAATAATACTCCATGACAAACCCATGAATATCCACTAATATATTCCGGTCCAGTCTATCCCATTATAACATCTGTTCTTTTCTCCGATCAGTTTGTTAGTTAGTGCAATCATTTAAACCCCCATAAACTACCCTCTGGTAATTTAGCATAGCTATTGAAAACAGCCTATTTGTAGTTGATTCACTATTAAAGATGGTGGATCTTTCGAGTTCGCAAACAACGTTAGTTTACCAGGCCGGGTATCGCCCATTCATTCAGTCCTACCCTCTGGTAAACTAACGTAGCTATGGAAAATCACCATTTTCAATGGGAAAACTCACTGTAAATGGCCATTTTCAATAGCTATTTTGACATAACCATAGGGTATCATATATCAAATCCCAAGATTTCATGGTTCTATCAACATTCATCACCATCATGACCATCATTCATCAAATTACCACCATCAAATGACCATCTTTTTGGGTTTTTTTGCCATCTGGCCATCTGAGACGCCCCACCTGTTTGGCGACGTTCAGGGCCCCTGCGTTCACCATCTCCTGCCGCAGCTTCTGATCGTCCGAGAACCTGGTGCAGCTGAAGGACTTAGCTATGGCAGCTATGGAACATCACCATTTTTAATAGGTAAATCAACTATTTCTATGGTAGATCAACTATAAATTAGCTATAGGTCTATAGGTAAATACTTAAATCACCCTTTTGTAATAGGTAAATCAACTATAAACCCATAGGATCCATGGTGTTGGTATATATGCTAACATAAAGGGGGTATATTGATGGGTCCATGTTACCATATATAGCAGCACCATGGATCCTATGGGAAATGGTAGATCAACTATAAATTAGCTATAGGTAAATACAAATCACCCTTTTTTAAGAGGTAAATCAACTATATCTATGGCCATGGCCATCGCCCATGGCTACAAGAGCTATGTCAAATTACCAGAGGGTAAATAGGTTAAATAGCCGAAAATAGCTGAAGGTCCTTTGTGGTCAGCCCAATATGTTTGAAATGGAGAGTGTTAATAGGATTTAATAGGTGCTTAATTCACGGGCAGTTATGGTGAATAAAAGATGATTAAACCATTGGTTTATGGTTGTGTCATTGGGTTTAATCATCATTTAATGGGTTTATCACCATTAACCATAAACCATTATGGTTTAAACAATATAATGTGATAAACCCAATGACATGACAACCATTCCCCAAATAACCCTTTCTGATGGTGCGATTCAAACCACCCCCAAGGTTTGGAGTTGTTTATGGCATTGGGTTTCCCACATTAGTGAATGTTCATGTTGATTGATTGTTAATTCCTGGGCAATAATGGTTTTTAAAACATGATCAAATTCTGATTCATGGCGATGAATGGAGATACCCTCTGGATCCTCTGGTAATTAAATATGGCAAGCTGGAACATCCTATATAAATGGTTCTTAAATGGGAAGATCATGGGTAAGTCCATTTGTTTCCCATTTTTATGTTTGATTTCCAGGAGGGCTATGCCTGATTCTCCTATGTTTTCTTAGTTGTTCTATGCTTTTCTGGGTAGACCTTGAAGCCAAACGTAGTTCCTTTTTGTTGGGTTGTAGACCTTGAATGAGCTCTTCTAGGAACTGGTGGGAGCTAAGCCGCCGTCAAGAATCCAAGGATGGCGCAGGATTATGTAAAACCCCGGTGTGTAAAATAACCCGTTCAATGGTGATTGCTGGATATAGTACATCAGAATACAACAATGCCATCTATGTTGGGATAAAAGACCATCTAAATATGTATGGCATATATATATATATAATATCACATATCATATATCTTGTATAACTGTTTAGGAGTAGGCTTGCGGGGGATCTAACAAAGCCCGTGAAATGGTGAATGCACCGTGTTGCACCCAGCAGCATACAGAGGATGATGCAGCTTAACTCGGTGAGCTTCCCTTCGATCTCTCCATAGTTCTGACCTCAGGTGGCAAAGGTTGGCCAGCCAAGCCGCACTGATGAAAAGGTGACAAGGTAGTTGGTATAGTCTGGGAAAAGGAAAATAACCTGTAAGAACCTGTGTAAAGCTGTGAAACTGAGACCCCACTTCCTGAGACTATGCAGGAACATGCGACTTTTCCTGGTGCTGTGAGTCTACCTGAAACACACCAGGCCACCTGGCGATACATGGCGACCACCGGAGGCAAAGATGGAAAAGTATTGACATTTGAATTCACAAGCCTAGAATATAACAACTTAGTATCTTAGTTTCATTGTTTTATATTGTTTAATATTCCAGCTGTTTCCCAATGACTTGATGTTCTCCCGGTTGTTCTCCGAATGACTTATCAACTTATCAGATTGTTCATATCCGTCATATCCCAATCACTGGTTTACCATGGTATACCCATCCGACTTAGTCAGCAGGCTCTTGATGGCTGCAATGACGGCATCAATGAGGCCTCGACGGGGCGGCGACCTGGCAGACCTTTTCTTTCCTCGTTTGAAACCGGGACAAAAATCATAAGTCGAACAACTTGAACCAATCAATAAGAACGACCATATAAAAATGATTCGTATAAGAATCAACCTCGGTATTTCCCCCCAAACTAACTCTCCATAGTGATGTCTTCTGCGGAAAGTCATTGAAACATCATCAAAACCATTCAAAACCACCGGATTTTCCTCGCCTAAGCGTGCTGCAACGGAGGCGCGACCCAAGGTGTCACAAAGTTTGGTGAGGCAATTGATGGCCTGGCGCGGCGAAGCGGCGAAGGTGACAGGTCATGATGGGCTTATGATGAGTTTGATGGGTTCATATGGTGGGTTTATGATGGGTTTATGTTTGTTGTTTTTTTGCGTGCATGGTTTTTTTTTATGAATTCTTAATGATAACTGATGATGGTCCAATATGACGGATGTTTGCTGGATTTACGATGTTTGATTTACTTTTGTTGGGTGGAAATTCAACTGTTTACCTCAAAGATTCGGATATCATTGATAATTAATTATTGAGGACTAGGCTTGGGATTCGCATGAATCTGTTTGCAACTAGGATGCTATTTGGTCGAACGGACTAGCGGGGTTACAGTGGAAGCGGGTCAAGGGGGTAGATCTGCACCACCAAACTGATTGTCTTTGAACTATTTCGGGGTCTCAAATTCCAACATATTCCAACCGGCCAATCAAAACAGCCCTGGCCTTTATTGATATGGTAGTGACATTCTAGCTCTCTGGAACGCACATTATTTGAGCTGCAATGGTTAATCTTCCATTAAAAACGAACCAGTACAGTGTTCAGAGATGTGGTCTTGTGGTCTTTGTAAGGTAGGATGCAATTTGATCTCATGCGTGCGACCTTTTAATCAAAGAAGCAACTTAAAATTTTCGCCACATACATGGCTTGTACCACGATGCACCATGGCTCACCAGAGCAGCTTGTCATGACGATCTGTGGGGCGCCTCTTCTTGAAGATCTGCTTCCTTCTTGAAACGCTGCATGGCCTTGGATAAATTAGGTTTCCGTCCCCATGGCCAGAACGTCTCTGTTCGGGTTGTGTTTGGTCAAGACTTTTAGACCAAAAGTTGATGGTTGAATGAGTTGAATGTGGTTTTTACCCTGGCTGCCGTAAACCTATGTTTTCACAACTTCCATTTGGGGATGGAAGTTAATCCCGCCCCTAAGTTGTCAGGCGACTCTGGGGATGGTTTATGGGGCATCCCGAATCTACAAAATGAGCTATCGCCCAAACGTGTCCTGAACGCGGCAAAGCCAAAGTAACAACATTTAATTCACATGTCCAATGCTACCATATATATATAACATACATAGAGCTGTCGTACAGTATCCCCAATCAATTACCCTCTGGTAAACTAACATAACTATGGAAAATCACAATTTTTAATGGGAAAATCCACTATAAATGGCCATTTTCAATAGCTATGTTAAATTACCAGAGGGTAACACCTGTATCGGTTGATCTCTGCCACATAGAAAGCCATATCCCAACCATGGTCGTGGTTCGAGTCTCCCGGCAGTAATCAACGTGGGGATTGCCGCAGCCCGGGCCGCCGCAGTCTTGTTCATGTCACCGCCACTCCTTGGCACAAAAACTGGTGATGCTGCGACACCTCGAAACCATGTGTGACCAACTACCCATAGGATCCATGGTGCTGGTATATATGCTAACATTTGGGGTATATTGATGGTAAATGTTACCATATATATAGCATACATGGATCCTATGGGCTATGAAAAATGCATCAATCACTCAGGATCTGGGACTTTCGGATTTTCTGATGTGGTCCAAAAAAAACATAAGAACGTATTCCCTATCGAATTCCCAAATGGTGGATTTGCGGCCAATGACACCACGTTGGTGCCTTCCTACTTGGCTGCATCCCACACCAATTCACCTAGCATCCATGGTGCTGCCATGACCCTCAGTTGACCTAAAAAAATATGGAATGAATTGCGTAGACCTAAAAAAATCATTAGGGCTACCGTTTTTTGAGGAATTAAATAATATTAAATACCAATCATCACGGGTAAATTGAGGTTTTTTTGTGTAAATAACCAACACCATGTCCTCAAGGAACTTCTCGCCAGGATTCAAGAAGTTCCCGAGCACGCCCATGGCCAAGCGTTGCAAGTGCCTTGTGGCGCAAACATGGCGTAACGCTCAACGGCAACTGGCCCAGGAGATGGGTGTTACATGATTTTAGAATGTTTTAGACAGGTTTTAGATGGGAAAAATCCCTCTATCATATCATTTTCTTTGGATTATTGAGGGGAGAGGAGAAAAAAATGGTAATGTGGGTAAAACAACGCCATTTTTACCACCCATAAAAATGGCAATGGTAAGTTTGTACCTATAAAAATAGTGATGACTGTGGGATGATTTATTGTTTTACCCTCTGGTAAACTAACATAACTATGGAAAATCACCATTTTTCATGGGGAAAATCAACTATAAATGGCCATTTTCAATAGCAAACTGTTAGTTTACCAGAGGGTACCCAGAAAAAACTTCACCAAAATGATCCAAGAGGCAAATTGCATGGCAATTCCTTCATGGCCTGCACCAATGGACCTAGAGGCGACTGGGCGATGATTCCAGCAGGATTTTATCCTCCGATCTGTGGTAAACCGCCATGAATGGCACATTTTATGGGTACAAAAAAAAAACATGAACAACTAAAGATTCATTTGTTGATTTCCCCACATTACATGAGTTTTGAGTTCCATGTGTTTTCATCGCGGGTATATTGTGTACATATACATATATATATACACACTATATGGATATATAATAGATATATATAGCACATGATACACTGCGTACAGTCTCCATGTGCCCGGGCATTGTATCTAGAGTCCACTGTGATCGTTGTTTGTTTCCTTGAAGCCCCCATGTTCATTGCTCCAGCAATCAAGTGTGGCGATGGAAAATCCCTAAATCATAGATGATGTTCCGATCACCTCCATTTGCTTCGGGGATCTTCCCAATTTGTTCCATCTGTTTCATTAGTTTTCCATATGTTTTCCAGATTTTTTCCATGTGTTCCTATGTGTCTTTTTCCCCATCAACAACCTGGATTTTCCACCTAACTTGGCTCCTGGCTGACGCCGCAGCACTTGCCGAACTTTTGGATGGCTTCCTACCATGGGGCACAACCATGTGGTATAACCATCAAACATATGGGTATAACCATCGAAAATATAGGGAGGAACAGCGTAGAACCATCAAAAATATGGGAATAACTCAAACATATGAGAAGGATTGTGATCAAAAATGCCGGATAATGTAGTATAACCCAAAAATATGGGAAACATATGGCATAACCATGAAACATATGGGAATATATATATAAGCATCAGCAATATTGTAAACACGGTGTATAACCATCAGACATATTGGAAAAATGGGGGATAACAAAACATAATATGATAAAAATGCGGAATAACCACACCATCAAAAAATACTGGAAACATATGGAAACATCGTATATAATCATCAAACATAAGGGAAACATGGGGTGTAACAACAAAGCACATGGGAAAATGTGGTATAACATGGTATAACCATCAAACATATGGAGACTAAGACTAACCATCGAAAATATGTGAAAATTGGAATAGCCATTAAAGATATGTGAAGGATTGGGCAGGTAACCATGAAGTCATCGTAGTTAGTCCCGAACAGAAAATCGGATAGAACATGAAGCTTGAGAACTTACAGTAATTTGAAGTGGTGTCAGCTCTAATTTGCAAGTCCTGAGAGTTACAATCCTTTGCAAGTCAAAAATCCAGAGGCGAAGACACTAAATCCTGCGGCCTCATGTTCATTGCCGAGGCTTCCACTGCTAGTTAGGCCTTGGTTTAGGCATGGGCATCGGGAAGTGAAATCAACAAGCTGTGGGACTCATGCATACGCCCTGCCCTTAGGGCCCAGAGATCTGCAAATAATCACGCAGTTACTTGTCCTTGTTGGTTTCTCGGTGTACCTATCTCTCTTTCTCTGCCTCTATATATGTGTGTGTATGTATCTCACTCTTTCTCTCTCTCTGTGGGTGGGTGGGTAAATGACTGGGTGCTTGTTGACTCATTGCTGGTTCACATGTGGATAATCACACACACATATATATATATATATATATCATATCTGGGCAAATTATAAATAATTCACAAACCTGAATTGTTGGGCCATTTGGGATGATTCCCCTTATTAACATTTACTAACCATGATTCCAGGGCTCGGTCGCGACGTGAGGTCGTTATAATTTACCCAGGACATGACCCCCTAGTGGCCCTAGGGGGCTACCGGCTACCATGCAGCCAAATCTCTCAGAAGGATCTGGCAAGAGGGCACCTGTGGGCACAGATGTGGACCATCAAATGGAAGGCTTAACCGCGTGAAATGAATTGTCAAACTACCCTCTGGTTATGTCAAAATAGCTATTGAAAATGACCCATTTATAGTTGTTTTACCCATTAATATATAATGGTGATTTTCCATAGCTATGTTAAATTACCGGAGGGTATCTACTTTTTTAGAATAAGGGTCATATCGATTCCAGGAATCCGGTCATATGCATGTTTGATCATATGTGCTATGTTTATCCGGTAGTTCATCAACAATTATCATAATGTTATCCATGTTGAATTTGTAAATGTGTACATCAACTGGCCATTCATACCACCAGCCACCAGCCCCAGCCCTGTCTCAGACCTGGATCCGGGGGTTGCCGGGAAACATCCTCGCTGCGGAGTCCGTTTTGGAACCCAGTTTTGAACAGAGATAGAACCAAATTTTGCTGTTGAATGAGTATCTAAGCACTAATTTTTGCTTTTGAGCATGTTTGAACCATATATACAGCATATACAAATCAAGAACAGTAGCACTGATGATACTGATGAGCATAGAGCCAACAAAAAATTGATGTTTCAACTAGTTTGATAAAGGATGATAGGCCCCTTTTGGGGCTCTCTCCACCATCTTCTGCCATCTAGCAAGTTTGATCTACTACTGTATGTGCATTTGTTGGGCAACTGCTCGTGATCAGGCTATAATCTGCCACTATAATCCCCAGCCATGAATGAACCGAAGACGCATCAATCATAGGATATTCACATGGCACTACTCCCGATGCGGCAGGCCATTGATGTAGGCTGAGGCGCTGCATGCAAACCACCACGGGCTGCACGATGTTGAGGAACTTATATCGCACCGGATCTTCCATGAAGATGCAAATGGTCGCCAAGATGGCCTGTGGGCTGCCGGAGGGTCCAAACTACCCCAATCATCCACAATTTTCAACCCCTGTTTGAACACTTGAAAAGTGTAATCCGATTCCCCGTCCAATGCCACAAAAACAGGGAGCCCCAAATTAACAGATCCAGGGAGCTAACCCCGAGTGTCTGGGGAGTGTTTACATTATGATTAGGGAAATTTAGGGAAGGTGTTGCTTTTGTTGTGGGACTGGTATCAAGCCCCCAACATCCCCCAACTTTTTCGCCTCAAGAACTCCAGTGGTCAAAGGACCACGGAGCTTCTCGCAACAGGCTCTCAAGCCCGCCTGTGCCAGGGGAAATTTTGCTGAAGGAACTCACGTGTTTTCTGCGTTGCTTGGAGGACATACCGTAAGTCCATGGTGCCCCATGGTCTGGGAACCGATCGCGGACACACTTTGAAACTTCAAAAGATCAGCTTCGAACCCACTGGATCCATCTGGATCCCTTTGTGAACTTGGCACCTCTCTTTCTTCTCGAAGACGCCCCTCCCAAAGGGCCTAACATCGCAGGGCACAGCATCGGTTTGACTCAACATTGGGGTGCTAATGGGGCCACAAATTACTAATGTGTTCTAGTGTTTTCTACTTATTATATATAGTTAAATCATGAAAAGTCGCGGGGCGATCATATTTCAATCATAGCCATCCCTGCGCCTAAATCAGCCCCCACTTCTTTGAAGGACGGAACTTAGTTCGTGCATGAATGGATCGGTTTAAGAGAAAATCATCGAGTGGAAACCCTGGTTTGGGGGTTTCCTAATGATGTTCCCCTACACCAATCCTGAGAATGCAACCACCTGTGGCACACCACCTCCCGGCCTGAAGGTTCTCCGCTTGCGCGTCGGTGCCTCGAAAATCCACCTGGCAGGTGGTCAGATTTTAAGTCAACCTGCTGAAGGATTTCCGCTCTGAGACCAAATAAATTCTTGGGCATGCGCCGGTTATGATGGTTGCGATTTTATTTCCCCAGAATCCCCAGCAACCGAAGCTACCAACGAAGTATTGGCACGGAAACGGATTCAGAACCACTTCTGTTGCAAAGTGATCCATTTGAAATGTGGTCTCCACCCATCATACCAAGCAAAAGTAAAACATATTGTAAACCACCAGCTAGTCCCATTTTCCCATCTGTCGAATTCTCTGCGTCTCTGATGCCAGACCCTGAAATTACCGAGGGCCCGTGAAAACGCCAAGAGCTATGTGCCTGGATGATGGAGGAAACCTCCAATGGATGAGAATGATGAGGAACGTATAACGTATAATCACTCAAATCATGCTTATTGGCCTTCCTCCATCAAGAATGAAGCTGAGCATGGGAGGAAAACATTAGTCTTTTAACTCTTTTCCGCTTTCGTGTGACTTTGATACATTATAGTTGCACTCAACCTCACAACAGTGCACCAAACCAAATGAACCTCAGCCACCGTGCCTAACATTAGCCCTAACGCCAAAGAACTGGAAGGCCCTTCTTAGGCCTTCCATAATTTCTATATACAGCTCCCGTATGCTCCATGTATAGTATATTTACCTACATTTGGGCCATTTATGGGGTAAATGTTGGTAAATGTTCCATACATGGAGCAATTGGGGCTGGGAGCGGCAAATCATAAAAGTGGAAATCTCAGTTCCAAAGTCTTCAGCTTTCTCCTCCACCGAGCTTCCAGATCGCCAACTTTCTCCTGCAACTCCGTTACGAAAGACGGGATGACCAAACGTTGCAAGCGTCTTTTGCGTTACAGTCTCTATTATGTGCATTTTTTTCAAGTTGAGTTGTCATGAAAAAGAAGAGACACATCGATAAATATATTTATATTATATTATATATATGGGACGTATATTATTTATTTATTTATTCGTTTATTTATTTAGTCACACGTCTGATTGAAACTACTTGCTTACCATGATGTATTGTGCGTATAGCCCCCAAGCCACCTGATAAGGGTCACACAAAGCCAGCTGAATGCTGTGAGATTCGAACCAAATCTGGAGAGGCAAACTGAGATATGCGCGTTTTTTTTTCATCCTGTGCCATCTCTGTGTGCGTATGTATGTATCAAACGGGCCCGTATGCTGCAGCATTGAACGCAGAAAATCAATGAAAATCAGGCAGAAACAACTCTAAATATATACAAGTTCCGGTCCGAGAAACTCAACTCCAGGCTTTCCAGGCAAAATCCGAAAACCACACCAACTCAGCCAAAAATAGCCAAAATGTCAAAAAATGTCTCCCAAAAATCCGCAAGAAAAGTCACCCTAAAGAGCTCCAGGAGTTTTCCAGGTGGCCAGCCCTCTCTCCGCCTCCGGCAGGGCCAAGTGGAGAACATCCCCTGGACATTTTTCGAAGGTCAGGGACATTGCCCGTGACACATCATCCACCGCCAGGTCCAGGTCATCCATGGTCCTTGGTCGAGGTGAAATTCATCACTTGGGAGAGCCACATCCCATACCGATTTTGTCGTAAGGAACAAAGGATGTCTAGTTGACATGTTTTTTTAAGAGATCAATCGAAAAGAATCCTAACAATGGACGAAGAAACACCCAAGTGTTTCTACCAAGCATCATGCCTGTCAGGTAGAAGAAATTGCCTTACTCTGCCTTACCATGCCTTACTATCAGTACTATCATGTGGCTCTGGATCGACCCTTAGGGATAGCCTGGATAGCCATAGCTCCTCTCCCAACATCTCCCACTGGGCCCATCCAAGATTCACATCTGAAAGCGACTCCTTGAGTTGGATACTCAGCACCACTTGCCCATCCAAGCGCTCATGACTCACCTGCTCAACCCAGCTAGTGCTGTTCCTCACCTAGGGCCAACATGGGGCACCAAATGGCATCAATGGGGCCACAACTGGCGAAGGTATCAATGAAATGGTGAGAAAGAACTGCAGGACACCATTGAAGTTAACATCAAATATAAGGAATTCCTCGGACCTCTAACTTCCCCCCTTCGTCAAACAATGCTGGCATATTCATCAAACATCATCAAACCATCCATCATCCCATGTTTCCGGCGTATGTTTAGCAACGTTTAAAATGAAACCGGGCTACTTTGCAAGGATCATTTTAAAGCCACAGTCACCTCTTTGGATTCCGCCGGTCTCTCGTTCTCAGGTCTTTCCTGACTCCCTGGGCGACCCTCCGGAACGAAGGAGCTGGGCCGGTTGTCGCTGGAGGTGGTTCCTGGTTTGGGCAGCTTGGCAATCTCCTCTGGCGTCAGAGGATTCAGCAAGCTGCCTTTTGGGGCAGCTCCCTTCCTGTCAGGGGCTCAAGCTTTGGAGGAAACTGTCAAAGCACGTCGGAAGAACTGGAAAAATAAGAAGAACACAACAGCATCGATTAAGGCGTTCCTATTGTAGCTTTTTTTTTTGCATCTCATATATATCCCGCGATATCCAGGATACGCCTTTTCTACCTGTGGAAAATGTCCACCAACCACCAGCCTGTGCTTCTCGTTCTTTTCAGGCTTCGGAAGCTCTGCCACCAGATCTCCAAACCACTTCTGGTCTTTTTCACCTACGCCAATTCAAACTCCAACCATCCCAGGCATGGAATGGAAAACACCAAATTGACCAAAATCAATTTTCAAGATTTTTCAAGTATGCTCAATACCAACAAAGTATAGCTTGAAACCCCAGCTCTTCAAAATTTGGCTCCCCATTTCCACGACTTTCAATCTTCCATCCCTCTTCATCCTTTTTCTCCGCAAAGATTACTAGAACACTGAACCTGACTGAAGAGTTTCGTGATTTTTTGAGATGCCCGTACCCATATACTATTATTCACCAATATCCACGTCTACTCCCTTCAAACCCAAAACTTATATAAAACTTGGGGACATGTAATCCATATGCACATTCCTGTCCTTCCATCAACTTCCAGAAGTCAACAATTTGAAGACGTTTAAGAGAATTAATTACAGTAATCAGTATGTCAAACATGTTCAATCCCTTTTCCGACCAGAAATCCTTCGTAGACCCACATGTTTCACTGGAAATCTCGCATACATGTCAAGAATATTTATATATTAGCCACTAAGCACGGAAATAAGAATCCTGTAAAACAAGCAACCATCAAATCCCAGTTCTAGATGGTACAATGACATACAACAACCATTTTGGATGATCAGGTAACAAAATACTTGTTCCACATCAACCCATGTCCATAAATGTTTCTCCATCAAAAATCCAAGAACCCTTGTGAAAATAGATCCATGTTCGAAACAACAACAAAACAAAACATCCGGCCCAACTTGGATCCGAATAGTTTTTCCCACAAAAATAGCAATCAAAATGAGCTTGCTTAGTTCGTAGATATGCCTATGGCATATGGGTTATAATATGTTATAATCACAATCCCCAGTTAGCAAAACTACAAAAACCAGAGTTCAACCATCAACAGAGGTACCAAAAATTGGTTCCAATGTCATCCAATGTCCACAACGGTTAACCATCCCAAGTCACGTTTGAAGAGCTTCACCTCCAATCTCCTTTTCGCCTCCTTGCCGCGAAGCCGTGGCACTGTGTCCTCAGGAATGATCTCGCGACTCAGGGGATCCAGCCTGCGACTCAGGGGTGTCGAGAGAAGCCGGGTTGGCTCGGGAAAATGGGAGATTTGAGGGTCAAAACTGGAGATTTAACATGATGAAATGGGGATTTAGATGGATTTAATTGCAGTATATGATTTCAAGCTATCCAATATGATTTAATTGGATTGGTTGAGGGGAAAATTCGAAGGATACTGGCTCCTTTTAATGCTCTTCTCTCTTTCTCTCCATATGTTGCCTCTCGGCTGCAAATAAATTTCCCTTCAAGATCCTTCACGCAAGTCTGGGAAACAGAAAATCAAACCGTACCACTATGACATGAATCACTATGACACTGTGGTTCTGTAAATTGCGACCCCCCTAAACTATGGAATTTCCCTTCCTGGATGGAGCCTGGAAATGCTGTTTCAAGGTTGGAGGATTTCACCTTCAAGGGTGATTCTGCGCCCATGTCACCTTCAAAGAAACTGTGGAGACACTTCCCCCACCCTTGATGCCGTAAAGTGTGCGTTTCCGCAGACTCCAAGTGACTTCGGATCCCATTTTTGGGGACCTGCTGGGGGAATTGGGGGCCTGCAACCCCCCCATTGACGCCTCAAAATGAAGTGCATCACACGGCCATTCGCATCCGGACTGCGCAAGCGCAGCTGAATCTCCACCGCCTTCTCTTCACAGGTCACACGGAACTGGCGCAGAGAAGTAACCTGAGACCCGGAAGCTGCGGTGGCTTGATGTCAGCATCCCCAGGTCATTCTGAAATGTGTTGTCATGAGAATTCGTCCCAAGTTGACACAGAAGATTTACAGACATAGGGCTTAATGCTGACTGGATTCAAGCAACTTACAGGTTTCAACAAATATAGACCTGGCCACTGAAATAAAGCTCACCAAGCTTCATGAAAAGTCATAGGCATTTCACAATCCTAGCTCTTCTCAAGCTAGGCAACGGCTGCCGAGGCATCATGTCCAATCGGCAGGTGATCATTCAAATCCAGCATGACCAGGACAGTGGGGCCCTCGTCCACGAAGCGATACTGCTTCAATCGCACCTCTTCAGAGGGCCTCTCGGCCCAGAGCTGCTTGTAGGGATCCAACTCATTCCTGGCGACCATGGGGAGCATGGGGAGCATGGGGACCATGGGGACCATGGGGAAGGGTGGCGCACCAGCCATGACATCTAAAGGACCTTCTAAGACTGCTGGTAAATTTAAACTTTGCCAACTGATGGACAGCAGGATTTGCCTAAAACTGGCCCAACAACTCTCAACCTGACATCAACTCAGAAAAAATGCCAACAAAATACGATCTTGAAGGTTCCATCGCCCATATGTCCATCCCATCCCTAACCCACTATCACTAAAATGGGCCGCGGACTTACTTCACCGGTGCTCGGGAATCCCCTGCCTGGCCGACGCACCCGCATCCGTTGCGCCCGCTGACGTCCTCTCCACGGCGTCACCTGAGAGCTGCTGCTGCAGCCGCTGGGCCTCCGACGCGTGGGCCTGGGCCGCAGCGCTGTCGCCGAGTTTCATGCAAGTCTGGCACAGGAACTTCTCCACCTTGGGGAAGCTGATTCTGTTGCCTAAAGGTTGGCTATTGAATTATAGAATGGCCAAATGCTGTGTGGGAAGATGGATGGTGCTAACACAAACAATATGGTTGTATATGAAGCCTTCAATGTTGTGGGTATGTTATGGGGGACATCACCAACAATATGGAGGTGCATTGGGATACAACTGTGGATCAACCAGAAAGATTTGATAAGAAGCGGGATCAGTATGAGACCCAAGAGTATACAAACAAAAACATCGGTTTACTAATAACTTACAAGCGAGGAACGAGTTGTAACCGTAATTTTCCTGTTGTTCACTACGTCGGAGTAATCTCCACAATTAAATCCAATTAATAGTGAGGGTTTATTAAGCAGTTGGCACTGTGCGCACTATAGACATAAAGAGGCATGAATGCAATGTGATAAGATATGTTGAGATATAGGTGCATGTATTTGGTATTCTTCATCCCTATCAGGTCACCCTATTTGTGGCCAAGTTGGTGAAGTTTGTGTGGAAAGGATCTGAAAAGCAGGGTGGGGGAGATGTTGAAAACAAAAAACACATAGCAATCAATTAGCCGATATAGCGAAGAAACAAAGAGATTTGAGCAAGCATCTTAATTTACCAAAGAAAAAACCGGATCTGAATCTGAACACTTGGTAGAGTTCACCAATGAAAATCAGAGGATCATGCATATGGCAAGTTGCAAAAGCGGACAGGGGAGTCAATCACTTTAAACGTTTCAGTCTGGCAGGCAATACTGCTCGGGTCGAGGCTGGGTTTCTCACCGCAAATCGTGATATTAATGATTAAATGATTATAGTGATTTGTTCCTATTGACCTGATAAAAATCAAGGTCAGATACCCTGCAAACATGCCAATCTTCATGCTTGCTCCATTTACGGCTCACACTGCCCAAGCAAAGTTTACTGGGCACAGCCCCAGACAGACCAAGACACCATGGTTGCGAACTCCAAACGCGTTTGTTGCGTGGAAAACGAGCCCTGGAAGAGCTTGACGTCTCTGGGATGCCCTGCAGCTGTTCGACAGAGCGCACTACACTCCTCACCAGCGGGGACGAAGGGGGCGGGGCATCATCTGAGCTCCGGGGGATCTAGGTATTTATGCCAATAACTCACATGTTTGCCGTTTACGAAAGCCTATGATCAACTATGACAGCAAGTTGAAGTTTGTTGGGGATGCCCAGACCCTCCAAATACCACCAAATTGTGAGGCAAAACACCGATTTTTGATGGGTACCCTCTGGTAAACTAACACAACTATGGAAAATCACTATTTTTTAATGGGTATATCCACTATAAATATCTATAAATGGCCATTTTCCATAGCTATGTTAGGTTACCAGAGGGTACCCGGTTAGGGTCGTGGCGGTTCCACCAATTTTTCCCCTTGCAGATGGTTCAATGGTCCTTCAGCCAGCCCAGAGCCTCCTCGAATAGGCCGACCCTGAGCCAGGTGACATCCCCCGGTAAACTTAAACCTGGCAGACCTCAACCCACAAAATATGGAAATATATGGAAACATATGGAAATATATGGAGATGTGGTTTACTCATTGGTGCTATTCGTCCCCCTGCTTTCCCTTTACCAAGAACTGTGGAGCTTTTTCAAGCATGGTGGACCATTAATTTTAGCCATTCAGATTTGGCCGCGTATTGGGAAAACATGGCCGGAATCCCAATCATTACCCCGGGAGCCCGTGCGGCTCTATTCCATTTTTTGCGGAGTCTAATGTAGCCAATGAGAGAAGCTCAGCGAATGAAGGCGATGAAGGCAGTGAAAGCAATGAACGCAGTGTTTATCGTTCCCAGGCAATCAAGGCGATCAAGGCGATGAAGACACCCTTAAAACTTGTTGATGTTTTCTTCATGTTTTGCTTAGCCTGAAAGCTGAGATGCTCCTTGGTTTGCAGTTTGGTGGCTCTAAGCCTTCCTCAGGTTTAGGCTAGCGCTTAAGGCCCTTGAGGGCCGCACATCGGTGGGCTTGAGGAAATGGATGGATGAATTCTCTGTGTGTGTGGAAATATATGGACGAAATCTTTTTTTGCTCTGTTTTTTGTGGGAAATGTTGCTTGCATTGTCCTGTTGGTCCCTCAGTGTGGCCGAATATTTTTTGGGGTACCCAATTTTTGGACAAACCCGCATTGTTGGGTGATATCAGTTTCCTATTATACAGATATCACCAATAACATCAGATTGCTCATACCCCCCATCCTTTTGGAAAAAATCATTGAAATCATTCTTAACAAAAGTAAAATCACCGTGTTTTGATGAATTTTGGATGGTTTTTTTTTGATGTTTAACTCCCCATGTTGCACCACTGGTCGCGAAATCCAGGTCTTCCTTGTCTTCCTTCCTGGCCCGTTGGCTGGCACCTCAATGAGGCGGCGCCCAGCTGTTGAAGCAACACGCAGCGTTCCCAGTCGTTTCCCCTGAGCAACTGCAAAGCCTGGCGAGTCGCGGAAAATCCGTGGAAATCCCCTGGCGAAAAAGGGCATTTCAATGGGAATATACTGGGAATATACTGGGAATAGCATGGAAAATCATCAGAATCCTGGGGATTCAACCAGTGGTTAAGTAGTTGGTGATTGTAACAAGCTTGTAGCCCATGATAGCTGCACCCATGAAGTTATGTTGGGGTTATAACCCAGTTACGATAAACAGTTGACAAACTCCATGGCCATCGTACATCTAAGCAGCTTCAGGGATTTACTTCATACTCCCCGGAGGAACCTCCAGGTGATGAATCAAAATCGCCGTGAATTGGTGCAGCTTGAAACACCCTCCGTCAATTGCAACATGTTGGACCATCATAGCTGGAAAAAGAATAGGAGTCAAAAATAGTCAAAACCTTAAGGTCTTGCCATGTTGCCAGTTGCTTCCTATTTCTTTCACCAGCCCCGGGTTTCCCTGTCAGCACCAGCCCTGCCTTCTTGTAGGACGCCACGGCGCCACGTCCTAATCTGGGCTTCTCCTCTAAAGCCATCCCCAGCAGAGTAAAGGTGGAGGCTGGGGCCACCACCTGCGCCGCCTCCTGAAAGGATCTGGCGGAGGGCCATGGAGGTTCTTCGGAACGTGGTTGAAAAAACAGCGTGCATTATGGTTAGTTTTGGTTAGTTATGGTTAGTAATTTGGTATGCTATATGGTTAGTTAGGATGGTAAGTCCCACAAATTCGGGGTTGTCCCAGTTGAAGCTGGCTTTTAGCCCCATATACAGAGCACTGAATGGGATGCCTCGCTGGTCATGAGCATCTCCATGTGGGCAATGGCACGGTCGATGCCAGCTTGATCAGGCTCATGCATCTGGCCAGAGTCATCCTCCCCTCTGGACGCCCTCAGCAACGCTGCAAGCTGACTGGATCCCAAACTATTTAACCGGAGCTAGACCAGTGCAGCTGGTCGAAAGAGACCCCCGGAATGACCTGGCAAAGCATCGAAAAAACCGTGATGTTACAGATTGTCTGACCGATCCTTGCGATGTTGATTGGATACACGGCTTCCTGATGGGTTAAGGGATCACGGCTTCATGATGCCCCCCAGAATCACAATAGGCTAACCACCCCCATTGCCCAATGATGTTGACACACCTTGGACATCCAGCCAAACATGGTGATGTCAGACATTCCCAACAAGGGGACATCAATTTCAACTCTGTGCCAATCATTTACACTGGCCCCTAACTAACTAACCGTCAAGAAATATCCAATAATTACCCAATGAAATTCAATAATCCACACTTGTACGATAATTTCCCAGACTCATTTTTTTTTCCGATCCAAACACGTCAAAAAATACGATCACTTGCACAACAATCAATGATTGTCCCAGAATTCTCCAAGAAATTGTCCCAACTTCTCCATCTTCAACCGCCATGGCGTGTCACTGCAAGAATAGCTCCACCAAGCGATCTGTTGACATGGCGATTCGCGGCGATCGGCTCAAGGCTGGGCCGTTGGGCAGCTGCAGGGAAGATCTTTTTTCACCCGGTGATATGTGACTGGAAGATTCCCAACGGTGTGGAGATATTCACTGGGATATAATGATATATAACTTATAACTTATAACCAACTCAAGATGATTTGGCGAAAAGTTTGAAAACACATGAAGTTCATATATCTGACTTACATTAGTCGTAATTCTCTGAGATCCCTTTCTTGTACAGCACCTCTCCGGCACATTGGAGCGCCCCAATGGCTTTGGATGCCAGACCTTGGCTGAAATGAGCGGTTCACTGGTAGCCTCTGGTGATGTCAACAGTTAGCTATTGAACATGGCCAAAGAAATAGTGAGTTTTCCCATTGAAAATGGTGATTTTCCATATAGTTATATATGTTAAATTACCAGAGGGTAAAAGCTGAGAGGTGTGTCAAGTGGAGCGATGTGAAAACCAGAAAAAGATTCGCATGTTTTCAGAGGTGTTTCCAAACAAACCAGGGTAGCCATGAGAATCCCATCGGCTTCAGAGCTGGGTCGGCCCAGCCGCCGGGAACCCATCAGAGACTTTTCAAACATGTTAGCGATTGAAAGGGTAATCGGGCAATCCATCCTCATTTTTTCTGACCTATCTTCGATACCATGCACTTTTTTTTGCTGGTTAGTCGATATTTTGCCCATTTCGTTTAGAGCAACATCTCCTACCGTGCCCCTCGGTGGACCCAATAAATGGCTAAATGGCCCATCCTCTTGGTTACTCCTTGGCCTGAGATCCCCCAGCTGCTCACTGAATCATCTGGATACTCCAAAGCCTGGAGATCTGAAAACGAGTTCTAATCGGACAAAAATGGGGCTGGATATCAAAGGCCTATCAAATTGATATAAATTGATGCGCATACGTCGCATAGGTGCATCATCATGCACATTTTTCGGGAGAAAGAAAAGAAGAAAGGATGACGGCAAAGTATGGTGAGCTTGGAGGTTACAGTTGAACATGGTTGAACCATATATGATATTCCAAGATTTCAGAGCCAGCTTCTACCTTGAAAACCCATCGAACCTCCATACAGTACTTGAAGCCGTCGTTTTCGATGATTCTCCGAGCGCCCACCTTAGAAGTCAACGACGACCGTGCACGACGGAGGGTTCACGATAGAATTCCTTACCCTCCAGTAATCAAACATGGCTAGCTGGGAAATTCCCGAACTAAATGTAGGGGTGAAATGGTTTGAATACAAAAACCCGAACTAAATCTATGTAAATTGGTGATTTTCCAGCAAGCCATGTTTGATTCCCAGGGGGTAGATATCGAAAAACCCACAATTTCCAAATCATTTTCCCGAGGAAACCCAACATCTCCATTCTGTCGGCAAGTGAATGCGCTGCAGGGAAGAAACTTCTGAGATGCTTTTGTTTGCCAAGCCAAGCTACTGTACTACCCCCCTTTCACTCCAAATAGATCGCTGTTGAATTGGCACTGGCCCGCCCAGAGGATCAGATCATACAATCAGTCCAAGCATCATGGTGCCATCTTTGCCCCACTCGTCAGCAAATGATTTAGGGGGAACCAGAGCTACCAAGTACTATATAATTTTGGTCCAATTGTCCAATAAGTGAATTGCATCGACATGGTATCAACGATGTTCAAGCACCAGATATATTTTATTTCACTAAAGAAACCAAGTGAGCCATTCTCAAAACCTTCAGTCACTCCCTATGTCGTATCATTTTGGGTACGCCAAAGCTTCCGCCATGCTTATGCGCGTAGAGTTTTTCGTTACGCGAAGCAAATTTCAAAAACCCTTACGCGAAGTCCTCACGCGGCCTTACGCAAGTGAGGGTTTTGCTTACGCCAAACCCGTTCTGACAAGGCCCTTACTGAAAATGTAAAGGGAGGGTTTTTAGAGCGGCTCAAGTGTGTCTCAGTCTCAGAATGAAATACCCCAAATCTATATACCCTCCAGTAATCAGTCACATGGCTGGCTGGAAAATCCTCCATTTAGTTCAATGATTTTCCCATCAAAATCCCATGGGGGATTTTAAAATGCCATGATTGATTCTCAAAACCTCATTTTCCGTGACTTGGATCCCTTGGCGCAGCCAAGGCACAGGATTCTTGTGTGCCATGGCCCTCAACGCTCCACATGCTTCTCGCATGACCTGAGGTCGAGAAGGTCATGGAAAAAGTGGAGATCCATCAGCGGACACGAAATCAGCCAAGATCATCCAAGATCATCCAAGTCATAGATGACCATTAATTGGTATTGAAGCAACCATGGTGACTTGGGGATACCCCATTTCAGGAAACCTCCATGTGCAGTAATGGTAACCATTATGTTAAACCATGGGTTTGGGATGGTTGGGGGGGCACCCTTTGTCGTCTGAACCAAACAGATGCACCCTTCACCTTCGGTAATCTAACCTGGGGAACATAACCGACCGTCTTACCATGCTTTTCACGTGGACAATTGGGATTGCCCATTGTTATATGACTGATTAAAAGGGTATGGCCAATGTTGAACACGTTTTCGGTTTCAACAGATCGGACAACTTGGGTTGGGATTCTTAAACGATGGGCTTCACCATCATACCCCTGGCAAATCAAACTTAATTATGGAATAGGTGAGATTCCATGTTCAAGTTGAATTACCAGAGGTTATGTATCAAAAGGTGGCCCGTTCTACCCTCACTGAACAAAAAAAACAAAAACTTGAACTAGGCTCATCAATGAGAACGCCAATGACCCACCTGCAAAATCCTATTCATACCCCTGAAAAACCACCAAAATCCACAGCTATGGAAACTCACCATTTTTAAGAGGTAAATCTTAGTCTTAATTATAAATGAAATTCTCGATAGCTATTTTGACATAACCAGAGGGTAGCCCCCCATCGCCAGGTCCAATCGGACCAGTGATTTTTCGCTCCAGCGCACCTCGCAGTCGTCCGGGAAGGTTTGGATGGCGTTCAGGATGGACTCGGCACCCCCCAGGAAGATGACGCGCCGGCGATTCCGCTGCGCTAACCTGGAGCCATGGAGTGGGATGATCCGACAGCGGTAACTGCGGCAACCCTGGAAAAATACTCTACAAAACAGTGGGAAAAGGACATCCATGGTGATTTATCCAGTGATGATATGCGATGATTGTAGATACCATCAGGTTTAAATATTGAATCTATGGGCTAACTGGGGGTAACTCTATATCTATCTATCTACATTATACATATATATATATATTATATATATATATTATATATATATATATTATATATATAATATATATATATTATATTATATTATATATATATATATTATATACATATATATATATATATCAAGAAACTGTGGATCTACCTCGGCCTCCAAGTGCCCAAAAACATGAACCATTCGGGACTTTCACCCTTTGCGCCTGTGGCCACTGCACAGCAGTCGCAGCACGCCAGCGCCCGCTGCTTGGAGCTCTGGGTTGTTGCTATGAAACGCAATGGCCTGGATGGCGGGGTTTTTATTGGCAGCCTGGTGACTTCAACTCCACATCCTCCACATGGGGATGGGTCAAAACCCTGGTACCTAGTGAACCCCAAAATAGCTGGTAAATGGATGTTCATCCCACTAAAAATGTATCTATAGGTATTGACCCATACCCACATCTTCATGGCCATCACCCTGTGATGAATGTTTTTGGGGGGTTATATTTCATGATGGACATGACCACGGGGAAATATGATTAGTGGTGGGGATTGAGTGGTGATATCATGGGAAAATATGACTACCAATGGACCTAAGTATGGTAATAACCCCCATAAGTTGGGATATGGGACCCCTATAACTATATCGTGACATATATCCGCATCTGATGGAAATTCAGCCCCAATCACAATGCGGATGGCTTCGTGAGGGGCCATACATAGCCAACTGATTTCTAATACATCCTAAGTGCAAATGGTTCTGGAAATTCCAGACCCTTGGTTTCTACAGGGAACTCTGAGTATTTCCAGTACATATCTTTCAATCAATCCGTTGAGATGAAAGTCACGAGTGAAACGCTGAGTATATCAAATGCTCTAACCTCGAGGACCAATGGGAATCCTTGGAATTGTGAAGTTTGCGGTTCTCCTTTGGGGCACCCCAAGTTTGAGACGCACCTAAGTCACCTTGTTGGCTGCTGACTTATACCCGACTGATTTTCTTCACCCTATCGACAATGGGGTATACCCCAAAATGGTCCTTTTAAATGGGAAAATGATCATCAACCATCATAAATGTTGGATTTTCAGCTACCCTCTGGTAAACTAACATAACTATAGAAAATTACAATTTTCAGTGGGAAAATCCACTATAAATGGTCATTTTCAATCGCTATGTTAAATTACCATGGGTACCTTATTTTCAGACTGGGACTCACTAGTCCTCCCCTCATCCGCACCGGGCGTGCCTTGGCCGTGAGTTCCAAGGCTCCCGCTTTGGTGAGCTGCTCTCTTTGAGAGGCTCTCAAGGCCAAGGTCCACACCTCGATCACAGGCGCCAAGCTAGGCCCGTTCAGTTCCATGATTTATATAATGTGGGTAAAACAATAATACACCACACCCATTTGGCAACGGTTTATACCCCCTATATTTTTTTTTCACCCACCCAAATCCGCCGGCGCGCGTCAGAAACGAGATTTTAACCACATTACCTACTGATTTCCCATAGCATCCATAGCTATGTTACATTACCAGAGGGTATATGCCATAATAATATCCCTTCTGATGATATCTGATGATTGATTTTGGATCTTTGGTCAATATCGTATTGTTGGTCATATCCTATTGTTGGTTATAGTAGCGCCCTAGCAGATAGAATTCGTAAATCAGAGCGACAACCACTTAGAATTGCTCCTCAGTGATACTTTGGGGCTGCACTAAGAATTGTTGGCAGTGATGCCATAAGAACGCATTGTGCGGGCTCTGGGGCATGAGCAGCATCTGCTGTTGCGTGTGGTTTTGTTTTTGCTGCTGTTTCTGCTGTTGTTTCTGTTGAAGGACTGCTGATGCAATTTCATGTTCAGGTGCCTGCTCTGCCAGTTCTGGAAAGGGAGGCCTGATGGGAAACTAATTCTAACTGCATCACCATTGTGCCCGGGTGGTTTTACAACCATTAAAGAAAAAATGAACATAATTTTTCGTACCCTGTCGTTAGGGGTCGCCATGCCATTCATGCAAGGCTGCGATCTCCTAAACCCCACAAACTGCAGAATCAATACTGTGGTAAATATGGGTGTTTGGATGGATCTGTACGATACATTGTGTAAATTTGGATTTGGTATTCAAAACATTTCAAAACATTTCTCATCCATCATACTTCGCCCTTAAAATCCATGTATGTACATTTGGTGTTTCCCTTAAGATTGGGAAAATGGTGGTAGTGATATTTACATATATATACATAATTATTCTCAATATCACATGACCATATACAACACACATATATATATATATTATATAACAAAACAATTCTATATGTAAAAAAACTATGTGTTAGAAATGCGTATGAACCGATTCTAAACCGTTTTTTTCTAGCACCTAGAAATCGCAGATATATGCGATGCAAATGTTGAAAGAAAAAATGCTAACTGCTAGGGTTCCACTATACATCCTATGAAATATTCCCACTAATCATCTTCAATAATCATGGTAGTAGAAGAAAATGGACCAACGCCTCATTTCTCAAGAAGCTGGTGCCCACCCACTCCCCTGAGCACAATCATAGGAAGGGACGCGCTGTTCTTAAGGGCCAACATGCACATGGTGGAGACATCCTGTTAGATTTTTCATGTGGAAATTCACTTAGAGTAACATGAATTTCCCATGGGCCATCGCTGATGATCAATTTGCATTCACATGTTCCCATAGCATCATTCTTAGTTACTCTATCCCCTATGTATAGATTTAAAAAAGAATCCCGGCAAGAGACCCCAAACAGTGTGGGGGAGCGGGGGGATAATGTATGATAATGTGGATGATGACGATGATGATAATGATGGTGATGTTGATGATGATGATGATGAATTATTATTATTACTACTATTATTATTACTACTATTTTTTGCTGTTATTATTCTTGTTTTTTATTACATGTCATTATTATTATTGTTATTATTATTGTTATTATTATTATTTATTAAAACAGTTGTGGTTATTTTATGACGAATATGATGATGGTGATGATGATGATGATGATGGTGGTGGTGGCGGTGATGATGATGGTGATGATGTTGGTGAAGAAGAAGAAGATGATGATGATGACGATGATGATGATGATGACGGCCCAAAACCACGGTGCAGACTTCGTGCGAGCCTGTTTAGTCGAAACGCATGCCAAATTTTCACAAGAGCCACTTTAATCAAACCAGAAATTTACAGGAAAAATGCCGCGGCCAAAAACCACGGCGCAGACTGTGTGCGAGCATGCGCAGTCGAAACGCTTGTCAAAATTTCACAAGAGCCAGCTTTATACCGAAATTTACAGGAAAATGCCGCGGCCCAAAACCACGGCGCAGACTTTGTGCGAGCCTGCGCAGTCGAAACGCATGTCAAGATTTCACCAGAGCCACTTTATACGGAAATTTACAGGAAAAATGCCACAGCCCAAAACCACGGTGCAGCCTGCGCAGTCGAAACGCATATGTCAAGACTTTACAAAACCACTTTATACGGAAATTTACAGGAAAAATGCCGCGGCCCAGAGTGAGCACCCACACCTAACGTAAGAACCCCTCAGTGTGGACACACTGTTTGGGGAAATTCCCATTATAACATATTATAACCTCCATTTATGTAGGCCCTATCCCAGCCAGCTGGAATGTTGAAACCCAGGTGCTGCGATGGCGGCTTTCGCGGCGATCTCTTCTCCAAGGGCCAACAATGCCACGGCCTCGCGTTGAACCATATTTTTCTGGGGGGAGGGCTTCATAATTCCGGATCTATATCCCGTTGCACCACCACTAATTGCACCTCCTAAATTTAACATGGAACCCTAAAAAAATAACAATGCTTATATTTTTAAAGATATACTTTGACGAATCATCCATGGGACCCTAATTTTTGGGTTCCATGTTTAAATTTCCACGACCCCACATCCAGCCACCTCCATCCCCATGTGAGCGTCATCCGGCTTCACGTTGTGCAAAAACCAGGTGGCATCTTCGACGGACCTCCAGCAGTTTGTTGAGGTGGGAAATCACGCAATTCCATGCAATTCCCACAAATTTGGTGGATCTTCAAGGCCGAAACATATTTTTATAGTTTGTTTCCCCCTGGAAATCCTGAAAATGCATTAAACTGTCACAATGCTGGGTCCTAAGTACCAGAAATTGCCAGTTGATCTGCGGCCTGGTGTGTTTGATTTTTTGGACTCATACCCCTAGTTTTGTTTTTGAAACAATTCAGGTCCAACAAAATGGCCCAGGAACCTGCATGAAGACTTGGCAAGCAAACATTCAACATGAAAATTGTAGGAAAACACCAGCATACATTTCTTCATCACCATTTCCCTTACCAGTGGCCATAAAACGGCATTATCCCCGCTTTCCGGACCAAACTCACTTCCCGAAACCCATCCACCTGTAGGTGCTGCTCTTCTTGAAGAGCGTTTGGCCCACCTCATAGTTCCCAGCCTGGCCAAAGGTTCACATGACACATTCAAAGCCCATGGCCGCTTTCATCACAGCAACAGCATCTACAGCGATTTGGATTGATTAAGGCTTATAAGGATTTCTTTATCTTTCCTCGGTGGCTGAAGGATGAATTTGTTGATGGTTTCTTCATCTTGTTAAAAGCTCTGCCTGCCCTTGGCATTTACCACCTTTGCAGCCGATCCCCGGCCTGAAACTGATCAGCGCCCTCGCGCCAGGCCAACATGCGCAGGTACAACGATTCGGCCCGCTCCACATCGCCAGCAGATTCGTGGGCAGCTGCCAACTTGTCCATGGCCTCATTGGGGTGGAGGCTAGCAGTGACTAGCATATACGTGGTAGACTTTTTTGAGGCGATCCAACATCTCAATCTGATGGCAATCTGGCGATAGCGGGACTCTGAACTGATGGAAAATCCGCAAAAGTCAAAATGTGCTTCATACATTCATCTCGGGTTGGTCATTGCCTTGTTTAGTTTCCAGAGGGTACGAACATCTTGATGCCTCATCATCGGCCAAGCATGGCCAAGCGGGAGTCAATCGCTGCAGTCCCATGCTGGTTGGGTTTACTAATTGAGCGCTACCAAATATAAACGGGGCTACCAGGGGGCGACAACAAACCAGAACTGAGTGAGGGTCTATCGATAAGAGTGGATTAGGATGAAATAAAGTAAAATAATGTCAAATAATAGCATGCCCGGTGCATATACAAGCCTGCTTCTATCTCGCAGGTGACACATATCATATCAATGATAGGGCCCACCAATAACCCAATTCGAACCCCATCTACAGTTGCCACTGCTGAGGTCTCAAACCGCACGCCAGGCATCCTCCTGCGCCAGGGTGGAAGTCATGGCCCACTGCCCATAGAACTTTAGATGATATAAACATTATGATTTACCTATAAAAACGGGTGAAAAATGATGATTTACTTATGAACATGTTGATTTTCTGATTCGCAAAGTTAAAATTACCAGAGGGTCATGGATGTTAATTTTAGGGGATGTTCGTCGTGCGATATAAAGCAGCAGCCAACTGACATGGATATGATTATATAATTCTCTAGATTGGTTTCGGGGAAACGTGATTTTTGCTGTTAAGTTATCTTACCAACCAAAATCAGGATTTCTCAAAACCAATCCTTGAAAGTATGACTTCCCATCTCAGTTTTCAGGTGGAAACCAACGACATGACACATCCCCGTGTGTGGTGCATATCTGTGGATGGTGATCCATGCACTGGGGCACCTGAATTTCACATGAGACCTAACAATGCTCCTTTCTAGATCCTTTCTACACGTATAACACACGTATACCCATCTAAAATCATCCCCGGGACGCTGTTCAGGTTCCATATTTACCCAACCCCCCAGTCGCCTCCATCGCCATGTGAGCGTCACCCGGCTTCTGCGGAAACCAGGTAGAACTTTCTACGGACCTCCAGCAGGTTGAAGTGGGAAGTCACGCAATTCCCACAAAATTGGTGGATCTTCAAGGCCGAAACATATTTTTATTTATTTTTATAGTTTGTTTCCCCCTGGAAATCCTGAAAATGCATTAAACTCATCACAATGTCGGGTCCAAAGTGCTATAGAAATTGCAGATCTGCGGCCTGGTGTGTTTGAATTTTCGGACTCATACCACAAGCCTAAATATATTTTATTCAGGTCCAACAAAATGGCCCAGGAACCGGCATGAAGACTTGGCAAGCAAACATTCAACATGAAAATTGTAGGAAAACACCAGCATCCATTTCTTCATCACCATTTCCCTTACCAGTGGCCATAAAACGGCATTATCCCCGCTTTCCGGACCAAACTCACTTCCCGAAACCCATCCACCTGTAGGTGCTGCTCTTCTTGAAGAGCGTTTGGCCCACCTCATAGTTCCCAGCCTGGCCAAAGGTTCACATGACACATTCAAAGCCCATGGCCGCTTTCATCACAGCAACAGCATCTACAGCGATTTGGATTGATTAAGGCTTATAAGGATTTCTTTATCTTTCCTCGGTGGCTGAAGGATGAATTTGTTGATGGTTTCTTCATCTTGTTAAAAGCTCTGCCTGCCCTTGGCATTTACCACCCTGCACATCGATGGGAGCACCGATCCCGGCCTGAGACCGATCAGCGCCCTCGCGCCAGGCCAACATGCGCAGGTACAGCGATTCGGCGCGCTGCAGATCGTCAGCGGAGTCGTTGGCGTCCTTGGCCTCACTGGGGTGAGGACTTGCCTATGTATATAGATTTTTTTTTGGAGGCCATCCAACATCTCAATTTTGATGGCAATCTGATGGCGATAGTGGGACTCTGAACTGATGGAAAATCCGCAAAAGACAAAATGTGCTTCATACATTCATCTTGGGTTGGTCATTGTCTTGTTTGGTTTCCAGAGGGTACGAACATCTGATGCCTCATCATCGGCCAAGCGGGAGTCAATCGCTGCTGGGTCGGGCTTGCTGCCTTTCCTTGTACTAATTGAATACAAACGGGGGCTACCAGGGGGCTACAACAAACCAGAACTGAGTGAAGGTCTTTCGTGGATTGGGATAAGATAAAATAGTATGCCCTTTGCATGTACAAGCCAGCTTCTCTATCTCGCAGCAGGTGGCAGAAATAAATGATTGGGCCTTTAAATAGCCCAATTAGAATGCATCTAATTCTATTGCAATAAAACGACCACCATGAAACCACTTCCGGCAGAAGTCTAAGTAGCACAAGCAACTGAATAAAACTGAATATACCAGTAGTACCGCACAAGGCGGTGGCGGAAGTTTCAAAAATAGGAAACCTATAGGAGAGATTGATTGTTGTGAATCATGGATGGCAGAGCGAATCCACTGATTGACCGAAAGGTGGTTGGAGTTGTGTTTGCTGGAATGGTTGCAATGGTTGCAGTGGTCACCTCACCCACAAGTGCTGGATGTAGAGTGATGTACTGCAGCTGTAGTTGTAGTTGTAGCGTAGTGGAGTTGTAGTTGTGGTGTAATGTAATTAGTGTAATGTAGTTGCAGTCATATAGTTGTAGCTGTAGTTGTTTTGCAGTTGTAGTTGTAGTTGTTGTAGTTGTAGTTGTTGTTGTTGTTGTAGTTGTAGCTGTAGTTGTTGCGTAGTGTAGTTGTAGTTGTAGTTGTAGTTGTAGTTGTAGTTGTAGTTGTAGTAGTAGTAGTAGCAGTAGCAGTAGCAGTAGCAGTAGGAGTAGGAGTAGTAGTAGTAGTGATAGTAGTGATAGTTGTTGTTGTTGTTGTTGTTGTAGTTGTTGTAGTTGTAGTTGTAGTTGTAGTTGCAGTTGTAGTTGTAGTTGTAGTTGTAGTAGTAGTAGTAGCAGCAGTAGCAGTAGCAGTAGCAGTAGCAGTAGCAGTAGCAGTAGCAGTAGCAGTAGCAGTAGCAGCAGCAGCAGGAGCAGGAGCAGTAGCAGTAGCAGTAGCAGTAGCAGTAGCAGTAGTAGTAGTAGTGATAGTTGTTGTAGTTGTTGTAGTTGTTGTAGTTGTAGTTGTTGTTGTTCTTGTTGTTGTTGTTGCTGTAGTAGTAGTAGTAGTAGTTGTTGTTGTTGTTGTTGTAGCTGTAGTTGTTGTAGTTGTAGTTGTAGTTCTAGTTGTAGTTGTAGTAGTAGTAGTTGTAGCTGTAGTTGTTGTAGTAGTTGTTGTTGTTGTTGTGGTTGGTGTTGTTGCTGTTGTTGTTGTTGTTGCTGTTGCTGTTGCTGTTGTCGTCGAAGTTAGGATAGTTAAGTTAGTGAAGTTAGTTAAGTTAGTCAAGTTAGTTAAGTTAATCAGTGTCTACTTTTTCGACATCTTCACGTCAAAAAAGGCTCAAAACCCTCATTTTTTTTACACTTTTGACTTCGAAATGTGCTTCGCGCCACAACGGCGTGCACTTTTTCGACACTTTTTCGACATCTGAACCTCCAAAAGTGGTCCGAGAATGGTGTGCTTTGTACATTTTGACTTGGAAATGTGCTTCGCACCACAACGGCGTGCACTTTTTCGACATCGCAACCTCCAAAAGTGGTCCGAAGCTGAGGTTTTTTGTACATTTTGACTTGGAAATGTGCTTCGCGCCACAACGGCGTGCACTTTTTTGACATCTCAACTTCCAAAAGTGGTCCGACGCTGAGGTGTTTTGTACATTTTCACTTGGAAATGTGCTTCGCGCCACAACGGCGTGCAATTTTTCATCGCTCCTGTGGCCAGCTGGCTCCGCATCCGCCGCTTTAGCGAGCCTACTTTTCGACCCTCCGGAGCCACAAATCATTGGAAAAACACAGTGTTTCGCGACTTTCCTACCTTTTCGCGCATCTGTATCTTCTGTCCTCTTACTCTTTCTCTTCTGATCTTTCTCTTCTCTATGCCTCTGCCCTGCTCTGCTTTTCATCTCTCCATATTGTCGGAAGTTTGACTTCTAAACTTCCTTCGATTATATAGTTTGATATAATATGGGGATTGCCAGTTAAATCCCAAGTTCTGGTTGGTTTATGTTGGTTTGAAGGTGAAACAGTTAAACCATGTTAAACTCATATTATTATCATCTATTAGCCATATTATCCCCATCCCATATCACCATATATCACCCAAACCCATATGATTATCCCATATCACTCCCATATCAAGCCACCCCGCAGCCAGGGCTCCCCCTTCCCCTTGCTGAGTTCTCAGGCCGCGTTCGCCGCGTTCGCATCGGGATCTCTGTTATGAATCTCCTGGCTGGGTGGAAAGGGAATATTTATATATGGTTATGGGTCAATACCTATAGATACATTTTTAGTGGGATGAACATCCATTTACCAGCTATTTTGGGGTTCACCAGGGGTACAAGGTTTTGACACACTGCCATATATTTATAGGATGTAACTTGATGTAAAGCAACAACCAACTGATATGGATTTGCTTAGTGCACTGATATTGTTTTTAATGGCAGAATTTCATTCTTTTGCCGGATCCGAGATTGGCAATCCTTGGGTTCCAGTTTAACTAGGGGAATCAACGATGGAAAGGTAAGACATAAATGCTGAATAGTTGCCAAAGCGGATGAAACACCAGTACCAAAACAGAACCAACATCTGCTCAAACCAATGGGGCAAACCCCATGCACACCAAACGGCTCAAATCATCTCAAATCGACATCAAACTTCTAGATGGCAATGACATGCAATGACGGCAAAAGAAACATCTTGGTTACGGAAACTGAATCCAATCCAAGCTGGTTGGTGTGTTCAATGCTCGTCCCAAACATGTAGTTCAAGTCGAAATCAATGTTTTCCCTCCTTGAAAAAACCAAGGCCATAAGGACAGGCACCAAGCATACAGGGTTGGCAACAGAAACACTTGTCCCATAGGGAAAATAGTGTGCATATGTGTGCATGCGCGTGCGTGCTTGTGCAGGTGTGTGCGTGCCCACCGTATGAGTGTATAAGAGGGATCTATATACTGCATGCACACTCATATCCCAACAAGTAAATGATTCAGCCTATTTCATAAATGTCAGTCGTTAGGGATAATATGGGATCATAACATGTTTCAAGACTATGGGGTTTTAAAGAGACAAACCACCAACTAGCCAAACTATAGCCTAAATCATTCCAAACCCATTTCTGCAACATCTTTGGCTGGTTATTCTATATTGCTATGCACGCATTTTGGACCATGTTTGGCAGTATCGTTCGCAACCAAAAAACTGAGACATCGCCTCCCTCCAGCCCCAGATCATCCCAGATCTCCTGCGGTCCGCTCGGAAACTCGGCCTCCTGCCAGCTTCAACACCCGTCCAAAATCATGCAGCCCATCCCCTTCATCCCTGCGGTTCCAGTCAAAACGCCTGCAAAGTGAGAAGATTTTGTACCTTTCTGTTCAGTTTGTGATGGGTAGACCTGGGACAATTACAAATCCAAATCTGATTTGAAACCTTTTTGAGTGCTTACCATGTACAGTACTATCACTTTTTTTCACCTCCAGAATTACATACCCCACACACAAGGGTTTAAAAAAATAGCCCTGACAGAGGGGGGCCCAGCTATGGCGCCTCGTCTTCGTCAGGCCTCAGGGGTCACCCATTGGCCAGGACACGGCCAGGCCAGTTTGGAAAGCGCAACTCTGCTATCTTTTCCGATTTCCTCTCGTAATCAAACATGGTTTGCCGGAAAACCATAATCTGGAGTAATTTGACAAGCAGGAAAGCCTCGTTTTGATATAGACTTTGTCGATTTCCCCATTTTTAAACGTTGCTAGGGGAAGTCACAGCCACGTTGATTGGCGGAAGGTAACCATATGATTTTGAGGCCTCAAATGAGGCTTCCGTTTCTGCTCCAGCCATGTCACTGGTTCAAATCAGCTCTCGACGGATCCTCCTGCGAAAATCCAGTGGATACCAAGGCGAAAAAAGGCACAAGAAACTTGCCCGAAGTTGGGATATTTATAAATTATACCCTCTGGCAAACTAACATAACTACGTATGGAAAATCACCATTTTTAATGGGAACATCCACTATAAACGGCCCCATTTTCAATAGCTATGTTAGTTTACCAGAGGGTAAATGTGTTGCCCTCACCCTTTGGTAATGAAACATGGCTGGAAAATCAACCATTTATGGATGATTTTCCTCCATTTGTAAGGGATGTTCCATTGCTATGTTTGATTCACAGGAGGGTATGTAACTAGCATATGGGCATCACCCCCGAAAAAAACGAAACCGAAACTGAAATATCCCCAGCTGTAACTGGAATCATGCCAAGAGGTCAAGAAGAGCTGGTGCATACCTCCATCCTCCACCTATGTCATCCATATGTCATCCGTTTGGTCACCATTTCAACGCTTTCCGTGGTATCCAAGCCTCAGGCCTGCAGCATCCAACGCTTGCAAGGTTCATTTTTGGGATCCAATCAGGACCCGGCACAAAACATTTTTGGGTCTATGGCGCTTTGAACCTATATACACCGTTGGTGAGAGCCTGCATCATTCTACCGTTCCAAACATGTCCAATGCTTTTGAACATGTTTTCGTTTCCAACGTTACTAATTTACTATAAGTACATGTTGCATGCTCTATTGACGTTCAGTGTTTTTGCGTTTGGAAAACCAGCCGCGAAACTACACAATATCAAGAAACGCATGCCAGATGCCAAGTTGCTAGAACATTTGGGAGTGTCACGTCTCGGGTATTTTGAACATGGGAAAGAATCAAATGCCTTGATAAATCAAAACATCCCAAAATACTCTTCAAGAATATCCGTCAAACACACATCATAAAAAATATTAAAAAGCCGCGCGACCAACAAAACAACGCCAACAAATTAAAATAATTTGTTTTTTTTGCCTAAACCGATGTTTGAACGAAATATGAAAGTTTAAAGAAACAGTAGTGATTTGTGGGGAAGGTCTGGTGGTACAAGACCAAGAGGCGGAATCCAACAATTCATGACTGATTGCGCCGGTCCTCACCGCCGAATTGCACGGTGGGTGGCGGGTCTTCAGCCCAGGGAAGGTTTGGTTCCTGAAACTCCCTACTGGATGCCCGGCTGCCATCGTCGTCCATGTGGAAAGAATGCCTCAGATGTACAATATCCACTCGCCAGGTCGAGGCAAGGGGCCTGGTTTTGTTCTATAACATTCTTGTTGCAGAAATGGGATTTCCTCTAGACATGCGTGCTACTTTCAAGTAGGTTTTCAAGATAAACGTCACATTCATGTACTTGAGTGTTTAAAAAATGCCAAACGCGGTGTCAAACTACTGGTTTGTCTAACAACCCCCTTGCTAATTGCTAACGCAGCCATGTCACTGCTTCAAACCAGCCTCCGATGGACCGTGTTGCGCTTCCTGCGTGACCCGGCTGGGCTGATGGCACACGGATGTTGCCCCGAATTCGTATGAACGCACGTAGCACGTGGATGTAACACCTGATATATATATATATATAAATCCTGAATAACGCCAGTTCCACGTGGACTCAGCGGATGCCAACACAAGTTTGTGCATATAATTTCATGTTGGTGATGCTCTGGTGACTCTGGTGGCACACCACTAATTAAGCTGACAAATATTCCAATAACCCAAAAATTCATCACTGATTGCGACGGTCCTCACCGCCAAATTGCACGTTGGGCGGTGGGTCTTCGGCCCAAGGAAGGTCTGGTTCTTGGAACTCCCTACTGGATGCCCGGCTGCCATCGTCGTCCATGTGGAAGGAATGCCTCAGATGTAGAATATCCACTCGCCGGGTTGAGGCAAGGGACCTGGTATTTTGTTAACTTATATAGATTATATATATATATACAACATTTTTTTTGCAGGAATAGGGTTTTCCGCCGGACATGCACACTAGATCACACTAGTTTAAAATTGTCTTCTCAAGAAGCACCAAATTCGTCGTCAAATTACTGGTTTGGCCCGGCAAGGCAACTCCCTTCCTATCGTTTCAATTTTTTGGGGTCTAACAACCCTAAGGCAGCCATGTCACTGCTTCAAACCAGCCTCCGTTGGACCGTGTTGCGCTTCCTGTGTGACCCGGCTGGGCTGATGGCACACGGATGTTGCCCCGAATTCGTATGAACGCACGTAGCACGTGGATGTAACACCTGATATATATAAATCCTGAATAACGCCAGTTCCACGTGGACTCAGCGGATGCCAACACAAGTTTGTGCATATAATTTCATGTTGGTGATGCTCTGGTGACTCTGGTGGCACACCACTAATTAAGCTGACAAATAATCCAATAACCCAAAAATTCATCACTGATTGCGACGGTCCTCACCGCCAAATTGCACGTTGGGCGGTGGGTCTTCGGCCCAAGGAAGGTCTGGTTCTTGGAACTCCCTACTGGATGCCCTGCTGCCATCGTCGTCCATGTGGAAGGCGTGCCTCAGATGACACAACACCTGCTGGGGCGAGGTAAAGGACATGATGTTGTTCAAGCGTTCTTTTGCGAGAAGGTTACTTCACCTCAGAAATAAATAAGTTGATCATGGAATAAAAACCTTAGGGCCCAGTTACCCTTGCGCCCGTCGCCGTGTTTGATGGTTTTTTCGTGGCTACTCAGCTTGGTTGATGTGTGGGCATACCACGCATCATCGGCATCATCTTGTATCAGGTCAGCTACCTGAAAAATCTGATTGATGGCCTTACCATGAACATAAATTCGATGTAATTCTGCACTTGGACCCTGGAGGTTTCAACGTGAAGCCTCCAAACAATAGCGCTCAGCGCCGCAGCGCCATCCCGGTTTGCGTGATTGTGGCCACTGCGGCGCAGGACTACCTTAACCAACCTCCATATTCAGAAGGGAATTTAACCCTTCAATTTTCTATGCGTGCGACACCTTGCCACAATTCTCAAGTCCGTTGCATGCGCTCACCCATGCGCCTTTTTCTAGTCTCAATGTAACGGGGTCCCGGAAACACATCGAGCTTTCACTTGCCAGCTCCGTCAAAGACCACGTTAAGGCTTAGCATCAGGATTTTTCTATATTTTCTTCTAGCCTGCAAAGCAAATGGAGGTAATGATAAGCCGTCGCCCAATAAAGAATTACCCGTCACCGTGGAGGGCCCCTCAGTGACCTTGGAGGGCGCTTGCAATCCATTGCAGCACTCCCCGATTCCTGGACCGCAAGACTAGAAGGGTCACTGCATCGGATGCCATTGCTGTGGATGGACAGGCTCGATCTGGAAGTGCTGGCGAGCACCCATGGGTAGTCTGCAGGCTTGCCAAGATTCGACAGGGGAAAAGGCAGTGGATATACTTCCGATTGCTCAATCGGTTGATTGAACAGTGATTGCGGACCCGAGGAAGGAGTCAGAGCGTCAATGCAGACATCCAGCGATCCAACACTGTGTCAACGTTTTCTTTCTGTCCGAAGGACCGCCTGGATACGGTCCTATATTTTAGTCGTGCTTGCATTGCCAGAGGGACCGTCGAGATCCTCTAGGTTGAAGCCTTGATCGGCAGCTCCAGGGCAGGCGTGGCACGCAAAACGAACGTCGATGTCAGCAAGTGCCACGCCTGCCACGCAAAGTGCCGCGGCGTCACGGGCGACTAACGGCGACCAAGCGCAACACCAGACCCAGCCCAGTGCCACAAGTGCCACGCCTGCCACGCAAAACGAAGGTGGATGTCGCCAGGTGCCACGCCTGCCACGCAAATTGTGAGTGAAAGATGGTGGGTGTGTGTGTGGGTGTGTGTGTGTGACAAAGTTGTTTGTGACAAAGTCGTGTGTTGAAGATGGTTGGAGGCAGCAGAGCGGGAGTGTGTTGCAAAGTTGTATGTGACAAAGTTGTGTGTGTGACAAAGTTGTCTGTGAAAGATGGTGTGTGACAAAGTTGTGTGTGACCAAGTTGTGTGTGTGTGTGACAAAGAAGTGTGGGACAAAGTTGTGCGTGACATAGTGGTGTGTGGCAAAGTTGTGTGTGTGTGACATAGTTGTGTGAAAGATGGCGTGTGAAAAAGTTGTGTGTGTGACAAAGTGGTGGAGGCGGCGGAGCGGGAGGAGGAGGAGAAGGAGGAGCGGGATACAGAATCAAAAACAAGACCCCACACAAAGCTGTGGGGAAAAAATATACATTGTATGTAACATATGCATGTGTGCGTGCGTGCGTGCGTGCGTGCGTGTGTGTGCGCGTGTGTGTGTGTGCGCGTGTGTGCGCGTGTGTTTTCCTACGAGGAGAGGATCGTTTGGCCGCGGCTATTTATAGAATTTTGGAACCCATCTACTCTTGAGATGACACAGACAACTTCTCAGACGACTCAGTTTGGTACCATTTGCATCCATTTTACCATCATGTTTCCATTGACAGCAATCAAACATGACTAGCTGGGGAAATCCCTGAACTAACTAGGTATATGGGAAACTCATCGAACTGAGAGGACTTCAAACAAAAACCAGGTTTGATCACCCGAAGGTATATCAACATAAATATTCCTATGAAAATCCCTCGGATATAAATATCTATATATATGTGTATATATATATAATATAATATATAATAAATATATATATACACACATTCCCCATATCTGATCCACCTGTCTCCTTCCTTTAATTCGTTTAATCGCCCCGAAACTCTCGATGATCCTCGTTCGGTTCATCGAAGGCATCGTCCGGACCTCGGAGATCTGGGCCATCTGGGGCCATCTGGGGCCAGGAACTGCAAGGGGGTCAGGGATCAACAGCTGATCCAGTGGGCTAACTATAGGGCTAATGCACTTGTAACTGGGGTTTATATGGGTTTATAACGTGTTAATACATGTTATAACTTACTTGCTGAGTTTTGCCATCAAATAAAGAGACTTCTGCATGTTCCCACGTCTGTTTAAAATGTCTAATCACCGGTTCCCTATACTCAAGACTGGTCAAACCTTTCGTTTGACAAAGCGCCAAATGACTGACCCCATTCGCATCCATTCGCAGTATGGTTGTTGAAGTTGTTGATGAGATCCAAACTATACAAATTTTAACCCCTGCCATACCGTACCCAATGTTAAGTGGTTGGTTATAAGGGGTCAACAAAACAAAAAAACAAAAACAAAATAATTTACATTACATTACGTATGTTTACAGCATAAGCTCAAGGTGCCCACCATTTCCTATCTATTTGGAGGTACCTTAACATCAAATTGCAGAGGCCAGCCCCATCATCAGGAAGACTCACATTCACCAATACCGGCGGCGTCTGTATTTACATACATACCATCTGACCCAATCTTCAATCTTCAGCGGATAACCAAATCTGAATTCAGCTTAAATTCAAACATCATTCCGCAACTCTGTCTTCATTCATATTTGTGGCTAAGGATCTGCTAAAAGGCAACACATCTGCAACAAAAATCCACAACCTCTCCATTTTTGCCGCTTAAAGTTCTCATATGTCCCCCTCCACCTGATTATCAAATCTCAGTGACCGTTCGGCGCGTCCTCATCGTCAGGCTTGAAGTCTTGGCTCGAGCCTCTGGAGCCACGACCACCTCGGCAACATGGGGCACTGGGTGATTGTCAGGGCATCTTACTTTGGGAATTGGTTTGATATGGGTGTGTCTGAAAATAGTGTACCCCTAAACCCAATGGTTAATGATCATTATCCCTATTAAATTGCTATAATTGGGAATATACCCTATTTTCAGACAAACCCATATGCTGATATGCTGATACATCATGATATATCGCAGTAGCTGACCACATCTGACCAGTCACGTTGGGGCATGATTCCAGCATCCAAGGGCTCATCATGGGGATATCGTGGGATATCACCACGAACTGCATATCATGGATGTGTACCCGACATTAACAAACAAATCATGGTCATAGGACCAATCTTGCCACCAACCATCCCAGGTTATCTGTGCTCCTCCCCGGCTTTCAGTCAAACTGCCAGACTTGACCAGCTACTACAGCATTCCAGGAACAAGGTTTTTGGAGTGTCTGAAAATGGAGTACCCCAAAACCACCCCAGATCCATATGCTGGTGGGCTCAGGTCCCCAGTTTTCAGGTAGAAACCCATTTCATGTGTTGGTTATGCCGGGTTATGCCGCTATACGGCCCCATTCAACCCTATAGTTATGTAAATATCCCAATTCCCAATATGTGTGTTGCTCACTATCCCCACTTGACCCCCATATGGTTTCTCTCCAAAACAGTTACCCCAGTCTAATTCTCTTAGTAAAACTAGTAAATATCCCAATATTACCCCCAGTTCCACTCACCTGTGTCATCTCTCTTCACCGCCGCCGCCGCCGCAGCTGCGGTGTTGGAGGCCCGCGAGTTCTTGCGGCTTGGATCGTCCTGGAAGTCAATCCAATTGGAGATTTTGTTGGGATGGTGGATGTTGATGGAATATATATATATATATTGATTTGTTTGGTAATATGATTAGTATCTCTCTCTCTCTCTAGCGCCATCTCTCAATATTAACTGGTAGTTTCGTGGTGTTTTTCCCCATAATCTTTTATAGTACGTTTACCGTTTACATCCGTTTACCATTTTTCTGGGCTATTTGGAGGGTCTAGGTATCGCTAACATATGGATTTGTTTGGTAATATGGAGAATGCTGGGTTGCGGCTAGGATGTTTATGGCATGCAATGGCAATCTCGGATTACATCATTAAAAAAAATGGGTTACCCGCAAAAAGTACTGTAAATGTCTAGAAAAATGGGCCAACCCACCCCCCCATTCAACAAAAAAAACGGTTGCTGGATTACTCAGGGGTTGATGATACAAAATGATGGGCTCCAAGCCTCGAATCTAATCTATCTGCAGGTACGCAGCCCTGTGAAAAGTCTTTTGACATGTTTGACATGCAAACATGGTGCAGGAAAAACAATTGAAGAAATCAAAGCATCAATGGGAATTCCTTATATAGGCCTTATATATGGTAGGTACCTCCAATTTAGGATCCTGGAATGGCCATTGAAAGCAAACATGTTCACAATCAAACGCTCGTATTCAAGATCTCCTCTTCGAAGCCATACTCGTCTTCTGACCTCGGAGCAGAGCTCGGAGGCTCGGCGAATCAGTGTTTGATGACCAAACACTTAGGAACCAAGAGATACCAGCCAAAAAATTCCACTGGGTATATTACTGTATCATTATTTATTATTATATCATTACGATTACACTCTCCCATTTATAGTTAAATGATGTTATATAAATGTTAAAAAAATGTTTGAAAAATCAATCGCTGTCTGGCAAACAGTTCTCAACTTACCCCAGCTCTCGGTTCCTCTGTGGAAATCCTTGTGGCTTGGCCAGCTGGGCGATGGGCCAAGGCGGCCAAGGGACTCCTGGGTATTTTCATCTCCAAAGCCATCGTCATAGTCATCATCACCGTCATCACCCATGGCGCCCCAGCTCTCGAGCCATCTATCACTGGCAGCAGTACTGGTGAGGGTGGCACTGTTAAAACGCAATGGATTGGCAGGAAAATCTGCAGAGAATAATGTTTGATAATGCTTGTTCCCTTCCAGTCCTCTTCTAAACTGATCCAATGATTGTATTAAAATTAATTTAAAAACTTGTCGGTTTCCCCTTGCCATGTCGTTGGACAACCCATCATGGACAAGCAAACAGCATCATGTACATACTGATGACCTGATTGCCCACTTCCACTTCTCCCCTATACCTGCCGTTGAGTCATGGATGGTATAGCCTTTTCTGCGGCTGCATGCACTGCATGCCCCTACTTCCACAATACCTGTTTCCTTCAGCGCAGTCTACAAACAGACAAGATCAGACAAGCAAATGATCTGGCGATACCTCAACCCGCAGTAGAGATACCAGGATAGAATTACTTCCACTCTGTCAGATCTACGTTCTTCTCAGAAATTACACTGACACCTCAATGATACCATGATATGTGGTTCCCCTTAAATAACGCAAGAGCTCCGAACTCCCAAATCTCCCAAATCAAAATACACAATCCTTGGGCGTGATTCTGTCTCTGTGCTTTGTAGTCTGTAGTGTTCGCAAGAACCATCAGCCCCAGCAGCTGGCCGCAGCTTTTCCAAACTAAGTCGGTCTAACAGCTTCGGCTGGTGCCGCTGCAGAGAATCGTTTTTGTCCGCAAAACCGCCGAACATAAAGGGTTTTAAAAAGACATGCAGGTAGAAATTGGCGAATGACATGCGGGTATCAAAAGAACGTCACACATTGCTTGCATAATCAATGTACAGATGTCTAAATCATACATAATGTGACAATGTTCAACTATTAGACACATAATTGTGTGATGTTGTATGATGTTGTGTGAAAGCAAGTGAAAATCATTGAATATCACCATCTTCTGGTCATTGGCTGGCTGGTCATGTCAAAAAGGTTATTCCCATCTTATATCCTTTGGTGAACTAACATAGCAATGGAAAATCACCATTTTTAATGGGAAAATCCACTATAAATGGCCATTTTCAATTGCTATGTTAGTTCACCAGAGGGTATATCCTTTGGTGGTCATTCTCTGCAATGAAAATCTGCTGCGAGCTAAAACTCTCGGAAAATCTGAGTTGACGCTGAAATTGTTTATGTGCGGAAGCGACAATGAAAACATGACACATGCGACAACAAACACCCCAGCAACTACCCTCTGGTTATGTCAAAATAGCTATTGAAAATGACCATTTATAGTGGATTTTCCCATTGAAAATTGTGATTTTCCATAGTTATGTTAAATTACCAGAGGGTATATTACCTGGATTTACCAACAAGATCCTCAAACTGCGCGTGGCTTCTCCGCCTTTCTTCACCATAAAGCCTAGCCTGAGAAGATGTCCAGCGGAGGATCACCCGTCACACGAAGATTTGGCCGCTCAGGCTTCGCAGCTTAGAGATACCTGAGCGCCAACATAAACGGAGCACCCGAATAGCTGGAACCGATTCATCCCAAAAAGTGGGATTTAACGCCCAACTATTGGCGTTATGGCGTTTGGCTTCCAGATTTCACCCGATTTTGGGGGATTCAACTGCCGGCAATTCAATGAGTGTTGGAAATTGAACCAAAACTTGGCATCTAACAACCACCACGGCCCCCGTGGCATCCGGATCTCCTCAATTCCGTCCAGGAGACTTTGCATCTCGGAGGCAGTGAGCTGAAAGGAGAAGAGCTCCAAGTCCGTCTTCATGTGGTCCACCTTTTCCTGCAAAAAAAAGGATTTCGCCAACCTTCCCCAGAGGTGACCCCCCAATAGATGGTTCAGAATCTGGCCCTGAAAGTGCTTGTTGTTGGTGTGTTGCCGTACCGAGGCGCAGTGCCCACCACCACGCTGACGTTCTGCTGCAGCGACCATCTCAGGACCACCTGTGCGGTGGAGACGTTGTACTTGGCGGCCACCTCCTACCAGGCAACTGTTGAGATGTCACGACTATCTGTTGGGAATGACATCTTCGTGTTAGCCGTGTTAGCCATGAAAATGGAGCGATAATGGGGATATCATTAGATATTTAAACTTTTGGCAAGCATATGGATTGTGGCTATATATTGTTCGATAAGAATCAATAAGAAGGATCATCAAGGGAGAATCTTCACAAGCAACACTCACAACAAGGGCGAATCTTAAGCTTTCATCATTGGGTCACCTTTGAATGCTACAAGGGGGCAGTGCAAAATCAAACCTTTCTTTTTCTGTGTTCACAAACAAAGCCTACAATTCTTAATGTGTGCCCTTGTCCATCTATTTGGGGATGAAAAACCATTTGATAATGTATCGAACCAAAACATGTATCATCCTGATTTTCAGGTGGAAGCAGCATGCTGCATGCTATTGGCTGAACAATAGTCATACCACCTGCCGAAAGTACCAGGTCAGGGTTTCCTGTGGTCCTGTGGGTTATCTGATGTACCTCCTGTAATTAGGCATAGCTATTGAACATGGCTCATGTATAGGAATTGATATGATAGACTTGCAAATACAGATAGATAGATAGATAGATAGATAGATAGATAGATAGATAGATAGATAGATAGATAGATAGATAGATAGATAGATAGATAGATAGATAGATAGATAGATGAGTTAAGACTTCAAAATGTTTTCCATGGCTACGATAAATTACCAGAGGGTACAATCCTTCGAGGCACAAACAGCATTTTGGAGCTGGGACAAGTTTATCCTCAAACTTCTGGCCAAAGACATCTATAGTAGATCATCTCCAAAAACCCGAGCCCTCAAAGTTGCATGTTCTATCCTTCATACCAACTTTCACACCATCACCTACACATGTGTTGCACCTTTTGTGCCCAATTCAGAAGCATCAAAATCAGGTAATATAAAGCCACTAACAACTGTTTCGAAACACCTACATACACGTCTATCAAAACTCAACAAATATATGTATATATATACATATATACCCTCTGGTAAACTAACATAACTATGGAAAATCACCATTTTTGATAGGTAAATCCACTATAAATGGTCATTTTCAATAGCTATGTTAAATAACCAGAGGGTATACATCCGTCAAAAATCAACAACTGAATCCACTGAATCCACATGGATTTTCTCCACATGGAATCCGTCCTTCACCGTGGGGTCCGACAAAGCACTGGCATTCTGTCCGGACAGTGGCGACCAGGCTTCGACTGCGATGCCGTGAGCATCACAGAAGGCTTTCCTGGGAGGCACTGTGGAGTTGGGGAAACGGGCTCCGTAACAGGAACAACTTACTTGGAATTCAGGGGCTCACATGAACTTCGGTGTTTTTTGGCAAAAAAAGAGCACCCATGTATACACATCTATATACAAATATCAACATGGCACATCTTAAGAATTACATGTTAAATCACATTCAATCCTAACTCAACCCGGTTCTGTATAGTTTGTTTGGGAGGCGCCGTGGGAAAGTTACGATCAACAGGCCAAATAAAAATATAAAGCATGTTCGAGGCTTGAATTAAGGAGCTAAGCAAGCTATGGGTGAAATTGATGTTAGTTGTGACCTCTTTCCAGGATACCCTCTGGTAATTTAACATAGCTATTGAAAATAGCCAGTTATAGTGGATTTTCCCATTAAAAATTGTGATTTTCATTGATTTTCCATAGTTATGTTAGTTTACCAGAGGGTATCTCCAGTAACAGGTTGGATGACCATCAGGGTCACCAACCATCGCTGCCACCGCCGAGCGATGCCGAGCGACAGCTGATCGTCGTGATGATAAGGATGCCATTCCACCTGATTCACTGCGGGCTTCTCTGCGAAATCGCTGATCTCCTCAGGGCAGCTACCCTCTGGTAAACCTACAAAAAGCTATGGAAAATCACAATTTTCAATGGGAAAATCCACTATAAATGGTCATTTTCAATAGCTATGTTAAATTACCAGAGGGTAAGTCACAAGGCGAGGCCAAGTCTGGGTTTTTGATGTTCAAAGTTCGGGCGTATGCCGGGCTATGACCAGACCCAGCCATCAAAATCCAGTTGAGTTTCCATCAACCCCACCGCACGCACCCGTCCCATGCGCAGGGCGAATTCCATGGCGGCCCAGGTCTCTCGGTGAACTTCGCTGCCCGGGTCGTAGTAGGGAGCCTCGCACTCAGATCCCCCCGTCACGCCGTTGCACTCCGGCTTGATGGCGAAGGGGAAATGGACCAAGACCTCACAAATCAAGGGATTCAGATGGATTTAGGATGTTTCAATCACCCCATGGATGGGAGTTAACCACCAGAGATATCAATTTGGAGCTTTCACTGCGTTTATGTACTCAAGTTCTACCGGATACCCACCAGGACAAGGGTCTTGTCGTGTGGGCATATGCAGCCCGATAGTATACGACCCAGTGTTAACTGTTAACCAGGAGCAGTCTTGGCCAACCGTTCAGTGTTCTCCGGTGCCAGCCTGCGAGGGGGCCTGGGAAGTCTGGTCGAATGCCTTCACTTACATCTGCTCCAGCATTTGGACTCAAGTGCTCAGTAGACCAACAAAGCGGCATGGGGCAATGTTGGGTCCCATGTTCTTTATCCAAATACCAAATAGGGTACTAAAAAGTTGTTTCCCCTTGAAGCACTGGGTTTTTTCCATCCAAACAAAACATCATGATGACTTCCGATGACCTTTTATGATTTCCCAAGATTTTCCCTTCAGATTTCTCTTCAAACCAAGTCAGGGAACCAAGTCGATGTAGGGTTTCTCCTCACTGTAGAAGCCAAGCATCTGGATGTTATCCTCAATGCCTCGGGCTGCCGCCAGACAGGGATTTTCTAGGTCAAAAAAAACATGATTCACGGCCCGAGCCTGGAAAACTGCTGAAAAACGAGGATGGATATCTCTCTCTCCATCGCCATCTCTTATCTCCAGGAGTCTAGCCAAAGGCTGAAAAATGGATGGATTTGGATGGTTCAAATTTGGAAAAAGATACGAAAATTGGCAAACAGAACAGCATGAGCATCATTGACCTTCAAGGCCCAACTGATGAACTGATGATTCTCACAGGCATTGATTATGACATCCGGATATACACACACTCCATCGAATGTTCAAATGAAACCCAAACAGCAACGTCTAATTTTTTGCCGCTACATATCCGCACATATTGGGCTTTGGTGCTCAATTTCAACAACACCCCATCCTCCGAACCAGCCAAGTGTCCTCCACATGTTTTTGTCTGAAAATAGAATACCCTCATTGGCCCCATTTCATCCCATTCTGTCCCATACCTTTTGTTCCCCTTCTATCCCGAAACTCGATCTTCAGTTTCAAGTTTGGTTATATCCCATATGATCTCCCCAAAGCACGGCTCTTCCCACCATCTCCCCATATTTGTTGGTTCTCCAATGGTTCTCCCCCATCCTGGCCCCAGACATCCCAGCTGCACTGCAGGGTCGCGTTGAAACCGATGGCCCCGGGACATTTGGTGGTCACAAAGGCCTCCTCTCGCGCAAGGCCGGAGGCCTTTAAGGCCTCACCCACCTGCACCTGTGTGCGATAGTCATTCGCCTCAGCCCAAACAGAGGGAGATTTCACTGGAACTCCTTACTCATGGGATTCGAATGGGATGTACCACCTAATAATGTGAACAATAGTTATATAATAAATGTATAGATGTTAGATATCATGGGATTATCATCCACCTAATGGGATATACCCTTTGGTTATCTTTGGTTAACAATTGCTAGTCATAGCAAAATAGCCAACAACAATGGATGAATAGAAAATACTGCAATTGGAATACCCTCTGGTTATGTAGCATAGCTATGGCATATATTATGGCCGATTTCGTTCGATGATTTATGATGAATTGCAGGTTTTAATAAATGACATTTATAAAACTGAAAATGTTGATATAACAGTTAAACGATTGTTATTTGATCAAACAAGAGTGTGATATAATCATGATGTAACCAACAAAAATAGAACTTTAGTAAGCACCATTCAAACACCTCCAAATTCGATGGGTGAAATTGAAAATTCTGATAAACCATGACATCTTGGCAAGATCAATTGCCAGGAGTGTCAAATCTAAAATCCTTGGGGTTTCCCATGGTGTTTTTCTCCATGAGTCTAGAGGTTATAGGGGCTCTGCAGCGCAGATTTCCGGAGGGGAAGTCTATGTGAAACATGTGCCACATGTGCCACCAGCCCCAGCTTTGGGTAGTTGTAACATGAAACAAGTGATGCGAAAGTTGTAGGGGCCCATGAATCACCATGAGGAGATCTTCAAATTTGGTCAGCAAAACCAAAGCCTCCGTGTCTACTTGGAGGCTTCCAGTCTAGTTTGGGCTGCATAATTTGGATCAATTTAGGCTGGGTAATCATCCTACATTAGGATTTGAAACGTACCGGATTAAAAATATCAACTAAATTTCAGCTTGGCGCCTTGTCTTGGTACACTGTAACATGTCTGATGGGTGTTGTTAAACTTTGAGGAGAAAGTCACTGAAACCCCTCTGGCAATCTAATATGCAACTTATGTGTATAACTACCGCAGTCTCTACATGTTTCAAAGAAGTATGCGACTGTTGGGGACTTGTTCACTCAGAGCAACAAGTGACCGTATCCACATGAGTTCCACCAACGCTCTGGAGCCAGGATTGCACTGCCTGACGCGCATGCTCTTGCGCGCAGGAATAGTTGTTGTCGGCGCAGTCCTCCAGGGCAGTGGCTCCTCTATCTTTGCGACTCGGTTCCCCCCTAATCATTGGATAGTTCAACAACCAGTCAAGTCCTATATGGTTCAACATCTGAAGAATGTGGCACTGTTACACCCTTGATCCGGTGGTTCATTCATTTCATCATTTTGCTTGGTTACCCTCTGGTAAACTAACATAGCTATGGAAAATCACCATTTTCAATGGGTAAATCCACTATAAATGGTCATTTTCAATAGCTATGTTAAATCATCAGAGGGTATCCCATGACTCATTTCCCGGCGTCCTTGTAGCTCCCACGCCACGAACCCAAGGCCACCATGGGCATCTGAACCCCATGAGGCAGCTGAACGCAGGGAATGGAAGAGTTGCTACACAGCTTTGCCGCGATGGCGGGCAACATCAACCTGGGGTATCTGCAGGTGGCTGGGCCACCGGCTCATGTGGCGCAAAATCCCAATTACCCTCTGGTAAACGTTTACATAACTATGGAAAATCACTATTTTTAATGGGTATATCCACTATAAATGGCCATTTTCCATAGCTATGTTAGGTTACCAGAGGGTAAGGGTTGGGAACCGCCAATCAAATGATAGGGAAAATGGTAGGGAGTTTCATGAGCCAGAAACACCTGTGTGAGGGATGGAAAAGAGAAAAACTGAAGCCATCGACCAGCCACCAACAGAGACGCAGCATGGCCCGCAGAAGTTGCCCCAGGATTGGCTACTCTGAAGCTGATCCAAAGGCAAGTTGCGCAACATGACAAGCGCCACCCATCGAACCGGCATCTGCCGCATGCACCTACTCCAATTACATTCTTAACCTTCTGTCCAGCAACAAATCGCCGTCCAATCTATGACATGTTTATGACGTGTTTGGTGCTTGCACGGTTTTTTTCTCCAGTGGGTATAGCACCAGCCGAAGTTCTCGGGCTGGCTCTGTCTTTGGCATCAGCAGCGCCGTGATGGCACCGCCTCGTAAAAAGCAGAATCGCATCATTCTCTGCTGACAGCACAGCTTCGGCCCAGGCATGAGGGTCACCCCCAAAAACTACAGTAATCTTTACAGGACAATGCTGATTAACCTGGATAGAATCCTATCATCGCAATGTAGGGCTGGATGTAGGATGGATAGCATTAGACATTCGTGAAACCGCGGGTTGGTCGCCTCACTCTTCAAATGGTGAATTATCTCCAGAAACGCCGTATCATAGGGCATGCAGGCTTTTGGCCCCATCAAACTAACACACCTCGTTGTATTGAAGCAACATCTTTACGGGGCTTCACATGCGGGTGACATTGGAAATTGCTGTAAAGCACTGGCAGGCAGGTACATGGGCAGCTAGGCAAATCTTGAAATAGCAAGAAACTAATGAGGCAAGATCAGATTTGTAGATCTCAGAGTGACTGCAGAACATGAGAATACATGGACAGATTACATCTACAAACGCTACCATTAATATAACGTCAAATTGCTACGTCAATGCTCCGACTCATTATGTCAATTTCTGGCCCTCGGCCACAGCTGGACCATCGCATAAAATCACTCCAAAGCAAAGGCCCTAGAAAGGAAAAGCTGCAAGAAAAATGGAAACATCAGCTCCAAAGCTGCAAGTTTTGAAATTTTAGCTATTGTGCCAAACCACATTTGATGATTTCAAATAAGAGCCGCCTAGAAATATCGAGTCATTCCACTGCCACATGGTATCTTTGTGTGTCCATTTTTCCCGCATTTGATTCAGAGTATGCTCATTTGCACTCTCCGCCTGCTATGCATGTCATGACCACTTGCCCGACTTTAAATGAGGAGCATCGGGGCAAACTTGGACGTCGAATTTGATGATGCAGCTTCATAATCTTCATACTTGACAAACTTTAGATGATTTACCTACTCAAAAACAGTGATTCTCCCGCAGATATGTTGGTTCATGTTGTTTCCTGTACCCTCTGGTAAACAAACAGTTTGCTATTGAAAATGACCATTCATAGTTAATTTACCCATTAATAGCATGGTGGATCTTTCCATAGTTATGTAGACATTTACCAGAGGATAAAACTTGATAAAACCCATTAGATCCCATTAAACCACCATATTCCCATAAATTCCCATTAGATCTCATTAAAATGTTGGTTTACCGCTAATAATTGTGGCCTTGTCACATCGATCCTGTTCCGGCCCAAGGCCGTACGCCGTGCGTAATACGTCCATCGTTTTTTTGTTTCGTCTCAATGATTCGGCATCGAAGAATTTAAGCGTCGAAAAGATTTGCATGGTATAATCCTATATAATCCTATATAA